ATCGTGTCAAGTCCACGATCCGATCAGATGCCTAGTTTAAGTCATGTTTTACCTGTTTATTTATTTGTTGCGCGGTAATCTTCCCCATTAATCTTGGCGCGCGAGGTATTTCAGATCCGGCCGGTTGACGACCCTTGTTCGCTGCGAGGAATCCGAAATCCTTCCAGGCTAACGCCGCTGGTCAGCCATTGCGGGCTTTTCTGTGAGACATTCCTACTTCTCCTAGATTGGGGATTGGAATTCCTTTTTTTTCTCGCGGGAAAAAAAAAAGAAAAAAGAAAAGAAAAAAGAAAAAAAAGTAGCACTGCCGTACGAGTTGCAAAAGCAGAAGCACTAAAGAAGACTGCATGCTGTGGTGTAACCTGATCAGCGTACCGCACTTCAAGTGACAGTTTGGGTGGGTTTGAATCCGCGGTAGAGGTGTTGTTGCCCACGACTTGGCTGGGCTTCATGTTTGACTTCGCTGGTTTCGGGTCGCAGGAGGGCTCTGTGCGTATGCATATTGCAGACTTGACCTTGACCGAAGGTGGTAGGGACCAGTACTTGTACGGTTGCCGAACAGCAATCAACCAGATCATGCTGTGATGCATAAAATCGAGACAGGGCAACAAAAAAAGAGGACGCTCCGACCAAGTAAGGCAGTAGTTACTGTCTGTGGTTTCCGTTGTTTGCTTGCCCTTGTCCCAGTCATCATGGTGGTACAGACGATCAGAAAAAGCCAGAATTAAAGAAACCTGTCCTACGGTATTCGTGCTGCTGCTTCACCCACACCCACAACCCATCCCCCTCGACCCCTGCTCGTCCTCCTCTCTTTCCCTTTCTCCCCTCCGCCCCTCTCTTTCCTCTATTTACCTGCCTACCTACATACACACGTACAGGATGTAAGTCCTCTGTCGTGTACCCATGCACAATGCATGGTGTAGTCATGTTCGACCCTGTCGAAACTACATGAGCACGGCGCGCGGCTGTACGTGCATCGAAGTACAGACCCAACCGAGAAGGTACCCGGAGGGAGGAAGAGCAAGGATCCCTGAGCCGGAAGATGCCATCTGGATGCTAGATCCCTACCTCAGGAGCATTGTTCGCTGGCTGCTGCATTTGCATTTGGCCAAAGCTTAATGGTCCTCGGGGGGTGTTGTTTGACGGTTGGAGACACCAGCGGATTTTGCAAACCGGACTGATGGGCGACATCGACAAGGCGGAGTAGGATGATGTCGTTTGGATGGTCGGGAGGTATTCGGTAGACGCCTACTGCATGGATATCTGGGTAGTTACCTATATATTTTCTCCCGTGGGGTTGTTGTTTTCTTTTTTTACTCCCGGACCCATACATATCTACCGGTGCTGCGTGTCGAAAAGTACGACGAATGACGGCATCTCCACAGCTAGAAGGTTCTGAGTTTCGGTGGGTGGAGCGTGGACTCCGTGAGGGAATGACTCCGTGCGGACTGCTGCCCATCGGCGATGTATCTACGGCTGCGTCGGGGCGAGCCTATCAAGCATCTGCCATCTACGGTACAGAGTGAGGGCGGGTACACCGTAAATCTACGGAGTAGCGGATGCAGATCATGAATCCTCTTTCTATATATAATTATGACGAGTCGATGACACTTGCTGCATACCGAGTGTCAAAGGAATTGTTGGCAACGCTGATCGCGCGTCGCTACTTAGTGTTGCGGTTACGGATGGCGGTGACTCGAACGCGATGCCTCCGGGTATGAGAGGGCCGAGACTCGGGCCCGAAGTAGGGCAAAAGAAAAGAGGAGATTTTCTGGGTCCCCTAACACGCATGAGGAAAGGGGGGCAGAAGGTTAAGAATTCTCGGGTAGTTCTCCAGAACCAGCTAGCCGCGGTCTCTGCGGCAGAAGAACTAAAAAAAAGAAAAAAAAAAGAAAAAAAAAAAAAAAAAAAAAGAAAAAGGGAAGAATTAGGACCTAGGTGTAGACAGCAAGGGGTGGAAAAAAGCCAGAATGCCAATAGAGTAGACAGGTACTCAACTTAGTGGTGGGCGTGGGCGGCATTTATTGTTTGATTGATTTGAAAGGGGGTGGGAAGGGAAGAGACGACGGGGTCAGGCTGTAGGATAATAATAACCAACCGCGGGAAAAAAGAAAGGAAAGGAAATAAAAGCCAGAAATTAGAAAATACTCCAGAGAAAAAAAGAAAGGGAAAAAAAAGATCGGCCCACCTAGGTGATGTATCAAGATCATCGACATCAACTGAACAGCCGACGGATCAGCATCGGGAAGAGCCCCACTTAATGGAATCCGTTAGGATTCTTAGGAATCTGTGGCTGCCAGGGTGGCTCATGGGCCTAATTTTCCCTCGCGCGTTGTACTTTGGTTCTGCGCCTAATGGGGGGATTAGATAAGCGGTTGCCCTGCGAAGAAACAATGACGACAGGGGCAAACTCAAGAATTTCGAAGAAATAATTGTTATAATTATGGTCGCTATCAATCGACTTTGTATTCTATACCAGGTCTTGCAAAGAGATCATCCATTTTTTATTGTTCATAAATTTTTCTTATTACTCCGTACAGGGGAATGGAAAGACAAAAGAAAATAAGACAAGGGAGGGAAAAAAATCCTGCAGGCAGCTGCAATCCAGCACAGACACTCATCTGCCAGACGGCTGAATATTGCCGGGTATATGCAGACGAGGTTGACGTATGGCACTTGTCAGATTAATGGGAGGGGGAGGGAATAAAAACCAGAAAGGAGGGTAGCAAGGGCAAATCCTAGAAAGAGAGGGGTGGATTTTCGCTTGGATAGTGGTTGACGGATCCGAGAGTCGTTACTGGTAAAACCATGGGAGGGGGGGGGAAGGAGGGATTGGAGAATGGACCGCAGAGGGTCCTACTCCATATGTACGCAAGTGCATGTATTGTCCGGCACCCGCCTCAGCCTAAAGGTAAGGCCAGTTTCTGGGATTATTGGGGGCGGCGACTGCAACATTTGCAGGTGGTCTGGGTGGAGTACGCCTCATGCCTAACTAGGCTGCCGGGAGCTTAGGTAGTTGAGCTTATGGCTCGTACGCCAGTCATGGATGTCGGCGGCAGCCCCACTTCCGCAGTCAGGAATTATTGGCGGCCATAAATAATAAACGGCACTAATTTTTGATTTATTAAATAATAAATCAATGGCACGGGGAAGAGAGGGCCAGTGGGTCCGTGTTCCATGGACCACCTGCAGCCTCTCGGCGAGTCACAACCGGGGGTTCGTGCTAGACTCCGTCCCCCCCATCCCTGGTGGTTGCTTTTCTGGCTCTGGCTCCAGCGCTTGCATCCTCGTCAGACACTGCCCTGTTTCGGGGGGCCGGTTCACTCCATAGGAGTACGGAGTATGCAGTATGAAGTTGTGAACTTTTATTTTATTTTTTATTTTATTTTATTTTTTTTTTACCTTTGAATTTTGAATTTTCAAATCATTTTGGTGGTTAAAATAATATTGCTGGCTCTCCAACTTGGTATTTCTGAGGGCTTCCCCCCTGCTCACGTCCCAACATCCTCGAAATCTACCCGTTTCCTTTCCCCTCCCAAAAATCCCTTTTGCTTACCCGCTCCGTTAACGCGATTTATTTTCTATCACATTGGCCCCGCCCGCCAACACAACACTAATCTTTGCTTCCCTAGCGTATCGAATCAATGGGCATTTGTCCCCCTCACCAAAAATAAAAAAAAAATAACGATTGTCTTATTCGGGATTAGTCGAGTATCGAGTTTCAAAAATAAAAGAAAATCAAAATGCCATAAAAATAAAAAAGAGGGAGGGGAAAATGAGACAAGGTGATGGATAACAACCACGCGTGGTGAGGCTGAGACCTGCCAGATAATATGGAGTACGGAGTACATACGTAGTATACATGTACGGAGCAGCATGGGATCGAGGGAATAAAATCTCCCTTCGGCGCTGTCATTCCATCAGGACGGGATAGGACGGTGTATATATATAGAGCCACGCATCGACCCGACCGAGAACCGATCTGGTATCTTCTCCCTGACGGAGTATGTGTAGCCTCAGCCAGCAGGACCAGCAGGCGACTCACCTGAGCTCCGGCGCCCGGAAAATATTAACTGTAAATATCCGCGGACACGACTCCAGATTGTCCCCACCCGCTAGGCCGTTCCTGGACAGAAAGCTGTCTGTCTGGTCTTGGCGCCGGACGACCGCCATCTCTCAGCTTTTCCGTGCTTTCCTTTGCTCTCGCTGACTGCTCGAGAGCTGCACAACCACTAGCGCCGCTTGGCAAATTTCACTCATTACCACCAGCCCCTCGACCATTTCTCTCTCTCTTCCTCTTCCTTTTCTCTTCTTCTTCTTGCCTCTTTTTACTTCCCCTTTCTCGTTTCCTTGCTTTCCATTTTGGTTGCCTTTTGCTCCCCACCCCTGTTCTTGTCTTCCACTCCCGTCGCGTTGCTTTTCACCCCAGTCTTTCCATCCTCTACTCTTTCGCTCTTCACTATCCCTTTCTGGCCTCTTGGGGCCTCTCCCCGTCCTGTCTCTCGGACCCTCTATTCTTGCCTCATTCCCTTCGCCTCCACCCAACCAATTTCTTTCTCTTTCACCCTCTTTGCCAGACCACCCTGTCCCCTTGGCCGCCTCTGTACCTGGGATTCAGCCGCATTGTACATCGATTGGCTGTCTGCAGCTGTCGGCGCTTGCTCAAACACCTTTCTCGTGTCACCTGATCCCGCTCGTCGAGAGAGAGGCGTGAACAATATCGCCCTGCTGCCACCTGTCAAGTCAATCTTTTCGCAATATTGATGTTGCGGTTTGTTATCGTCCGCAATTGTTTCTGAATTTTTAGCTCGGGACGAAATCGCGCTTTTTAGTCATCGGCGCTCTCAACTCGCGCGATCAACTTCTATCGGGACCGTGCGACCTTTCAGTGACACGGACACGCGTTGCATCACTGTGTCGCAAAGTGTATGGGAGCCACGGCCGGTAATCTAATCATACTTTGACTGCCTTGCGATTCAATTTAACGGCGTCCCGGCACTATGGCTCATACCCAGCCGTCGCCCACGGGAGGCGTCACCCCTCACCATGGTCATATCGCAACCCATCCACAGGTCAACGGACACATTCAGTTGCAGTCTCAAGGCCAAAAGGGTCACCCCCTCAACACGGCTCAAAAGATTGCTGCGCTCAATGAGCAGGTCTGGCTTCAAATTGGTAAGGATCTTTCCTCTGCGCGTTTGTCGCGGGCTGTTGAAGCATCGCTGCAAGGTTAAATTTATGCTGACAACTCTTTCCAGGGAGTTTGACCGAGCTGATGGGCGACCTTGATGGCGCAATGAATGCGTATGAGCAGGCTTTGCGCCACAACCAATGGTCTATTCCTGGCATGAATGCGGTATCCTGTATTTTGCGAACAAAGGAGCAGTTTCCGAAGGCCATTGAATATCTTCAGAATATCCTGAAACTGGACCCAACGAGTGGAGAAACTTGGGGTAGTTTGGGTATGTGAACCGCGCGTGGACGCCTTGAGACCACGGTGGGCTAATCGCGTTTTAGGTCATTGCCACCTCATGATGGACAACCTGCAAGAAGCCTATACTTCTTATCAGCAGGCGCTTTATCATTTGCGTGATCCCAAGGTAAATGAAATTCTTGAAGGCCGATTTGTGACATTAGCTAACTCGCGACCGTGTTTTTAGGAACCCAAGCTTTGGTATGGAATTGGTATTTTGTACGATCGCTACGGCTCTCTCGATCACGCCGAAGAGGCATTCTCCCAGGTCATGCGGATGGCGCCCGACTTCGAAAAGGCGAACGAGATTTATTTCCGCCTGGGAATCATCTACAAGCAGCAGCAGAAATTTAACCAGAGTCTGGAGGTATGCTCGACCCGATCATAATAAACGAAATTTCGCCCTAGCCCGATAGCTTGCTAATTTCTTCTGCTTCTTTTTTCTAGTGCTTCAAATACATTGTTACCGACCCTCCTCGCCCGTTGACGGAAGAAGATATTTGGTTCCAAATTGGCCATGTCCACGAGCAGCAGAAGGATGTAAGTCGCTGAAATGGTCGAGCCTACCGCGCAACAGAATGAATGCTTATACTTTCATAGTTTGAAGCTGCGCAGCAGGCTTACAGGCGGGTGTTGGATCGCGACCCGAACCACGCAAAGGTCTTGCAACAGCTTGGATGGCTGTACCACCAGCAGAGTACCAGCTATGCGAGCCAGGAGAAGGCCATTGAGTACCTCGAGAAATCAGTCAGCGCTGGTGAGTCTTGGGAAGCCGAAGTTCGATCGAATAGGATGCTAATAAACTTTGGTCGGTTCAGATAACAGTGACGCGCAGAGTTGGTATCTACTTGGACGTTGCTACATGTCTCAAGCCAAGTACCCTAAAGCCTACGAAGCTTACCAACAGGCGGTCTACCGCGACGGAAGAAACCCGACATTCTGGTGCTCGATCGGTGTGCTCTATTACCAGATCAACCAATACCGCGACGCTTTGGATGCCTACTCTCGTGCCATCCGCCTAAACCCCTACATTTCGGAGGTTTGGTATGATCTGGGCACTTTGGTGAGTCTAAACGCAAAGTCCCCTTTGATGAACGAACGTTTGCTAATATCTTTTGCCTTCAGTATGAGTCTTGCAACAACCAAATCGCGGATGCCCTCGATGCCTACGGTCGCGCGGCTGATCTCGACCCTACCAACGTTCACATCAAAGCACGTCTGCAACTTCTCCAGAGTCAGCTTTCGGGCTCCAACCAAAACAACGCTCCCGCGCCTCAGCCCCAAGATGTTCACCCCCAGGCTTACCAAGCCCCTGGTGTTGGCGGACCCCCGGCGCCTCAGTGGGCCGCACCGACCCCGACCGGAGGACCCCCTCCTCAGCCTCCAGCACCCCCAAGGCAGATCGCCGATTGGAACCGGGGCATCAACGAGCTGCAGTCGGCCCAGGTGCAAAGCGCGAACGGATTCGATCACCGTGATGCGCTTCGAGCTCCGGGAGCTATCCAACAACCTAGTCCGCGACAGGAACCAGGAAGGATGTTCCCAGAAGTCATCCGTGCACCGCCATCGGCGCGTTCTCCCAAGACCACCATTGCCGGCGGCCCTACTGTTTACACGCCAGCTCACGCTCTCCCGCAACTTGCCAATCCCCCGGCGCCTTCTCACGAACGTGCTCCCAGTGGTCCTGTGCCTTTCGCCTCTGCTTCTCGCGGCCCGCTGCCTCCCGCTGCCGCGCCTCCGGCTGGACCTGGTGCTCCCAATGGTGCTCCCACATCTGGTGGGCCTTTGCCTCCCTACCATCGCCCTTTCACTCCGCCGGCTGAGATCAGGCCCCTCCGTGATGAACGTCCATCCTCCCCCGGATCTACCTACCCCCATCAACAGTACCACCACGGCCCTAGTGTGCCGGTGCAAACTCCTGGCAGCACGGGCATCGCTGGTGGTGCACCTCCCCCTCCCTCTGCCATCACTGCTGCTGAGGTTGCTGCCCGCGAGCGTGAGGATCGTCCCGCCTCGGCTATGAAACGTGGTCGGGAATGGGATACTGAGACGGGCCCTGTCAAGAAGATCGCCAACGAAGAGACTCGCGCTCGTCTGGATGAGCAGGTCACTCGTCGCGTGACTCCCCCGAACCGCATTCCCTCGCCTGGCGAGATTCAGCGTCGTAGCTCGTCTGAGGTCCGACGTGAAGATCAACGTCGCGTCAACGAGAACTACCATCCGTCCGAAGCGGCTCATCATCCTCCCACGTTGCCTTCTATTCAGCACATGCCTCCCCACCCTTCCGGCGGACCCAGCCTTCCCCCGATGGCTGAAAGCTCTGCTCCGGCGTCGAACGGACCTCCGTCTGGCCCACCATCTGCGCAGCTACCGGTCAAGGAGGAGCCCACTCGTGGTGAACAAGCCCCTGCTCACGAGCCTGCTGCACGGAAAATGGATGTGGACGAGAATTACGACGATGACGAAGATGATAAGCGGGCGAGCACCGTTGCGAAGGGCAGCCCTGGGAGTGGGTCGGGCAGTGTCAACAACAGCACCAGTGGGGGTCTAAGCGGAGGCGCCCCGAAACAAGAGTCTGCCGCCTAAGGCGCTCTGCCATCCGAGCAGAAATCTTGAGCACTACTCCGGAGCACCTATGATTCGCTTTTGCTTCTTGTTACACGGTTCTCTTTCTTCCATTCGTTAACCAATCCCCCCCTTTTTCCTTTTCACTTCGTCTTATATACGTATAGTTTTCCTCCCCTCTTTCCCGGTGGCATTCCTTTCGTGTTCATCAGCTGTGTTAGCACCTGGATTTGTATTGTATGACTTGATAACCGGTGGTTCGAAGTGGTTTTTCCGAGTTACTCTTTTTTTGTACCTACATGTTCACTTTATTCACATCCTATGACTCCTTCTCCCTTGTTCTTTTTTTGCTGTCCCTTGTGTTCTGTTCCCATTCTTAGCCTTGTGACAACCCATCTGTTCAGATCTCCTATCTCTCCCTGTTATGCTCTGGTACTCCAGTGAATGATCAAAACTCGTTTATTATATATGGACCTGAATTCTGCCACGTAGTACAAAACCTCAAGTACGGTAGACTGTCACTCTATGCGGGATTAAATATCATTGTTTACAAGTCGAATGTTCCAGAGCATCTACTAGTTTTTCCAAGCGAGTGGCGATGGATGAGAAATACTCCGTGGAGACGCATTTTTGGGAAATTCTCGTCGGGTTGTGGCCTGAGGACGCTAAACTCCGAAACGGGAATGGCCGCACCGAGGGCCTGAGGCGGTCAGGTTGTGCTGGAGCGATTCACGTGCTCTGTGGAGACCCACGCCAAGCCTTCGCTTAGCCCACATTCGTTAAGCGTTGCAAAATACGACTTTCGGCGAAATCAGAGATAGACCTCTCTCACTCACCACTTCGACGACTAACGACAACAGGGTCAAGATGTAAGTCCCAATGCGCCTATACCTCCATGATATTGTCGAATCGATGGAATTGCTAACGTCGCTTTTCTTTTCAGGAGTCACCGGAAGTACGAAGCGCCTCGGCACGGTTCGTCAATCTATCTTCAACTCTTGCGGCTTCGAAATTTGCAGCCGTGTGCGTTCGTTTGTGCGATATTCTAACACTCTCTCTACAGGCTCGCTCGCCTTCCTGCCGCGGAAGCGCGCCACGAGACACAGGGGAAAGGTCAAGAGGTTAGTTTTCATTCGACTGGGGAAAAGATTTTTCTGTTCGAGGATCGTGGACTAAAATTTGCGGCAGCTTCCCCAAGGATGACCCCAAGAAGCCCGTCCACCTGACGGCCTCCATGGGTTACAAGGCCGGTATGACCACTGTTGTCCGTGACCTTGACCGACCCGGTGCCAAGATGCACAAGAAGGAGATTGTCGAGGCTGCTACCGTTGTCGAGACTCCTCCCGTACGTTTGCCAGAATCCTTGCCCGTGTGAAATTTTCTCTCCTGAGCTAGTAACTAACCGGTGTCTTTCGAACGATTAGCTTGTCGCTGTCGGTGTTGTTGGTTACATCGAGACTCCCCGCGGTCTCCGCTCGCTCACCACCGTGTGGGCTGAGCACTTGAGTGACGAGGTCAAGCGCCGCTTCTACAAGAACTGGTACAAGAGCAAGAAGAAGGCCTTCACCAAGTACGCCAAGAAGCACGCCGACGAGAGCGGTTCCGCCATCACCCGCGAGCTTGAGCGCATCCAGAAGTACTGCACCGTCGTCCGTGTGCTTGCTCACACTCAGGTCCGCAAGACCCCTCTCAAGCAGAAGAAGGCCCACCTTATGGAGATCCAAGTCAACGGTGGCTCCATCCCCGAGAAGGTCGACTTCGCCCGCAACCTGTTCGAGAAGCCCATTGAGATCGACAGCATCTTCGAGAAGGACGAGATGATCGATGTCATTGCCGTCACCAAGGGTCACGGTTTCCAGGGTGTCACCAGCCGTTGGGGCACCAAGAAGCTTCCGCGTAAGACTCACAAGGGTCTGCGTAAGGTCGCCTGTATCGGTGCCTGGCACCCTAACCACGTCCAGTGGACTGTTGCCCGTGCCGGTCAGATGGGTTACCACCACCGTACCTCTTGCAACCACAAGGTCTTCCGCATTGGCAAGGGTACCGACGAGGGCAACGCCGCCACCGAGTTCGATATCTCCAAGAAGCAGATCACTCCGTAAGTTCCTCTTGATTACACTCCTGTGGGGTGAGAAGAACAACAGGCTAACAATCTTCCAGCATGGGTGGTTTCGTCCACTACGGTGAGGTCAAGAACGACTTCCTGCTCCTCAAGGGTTCCATCCCTGGTGTCAAGAAGCGTGTCATGACTCTGCGTAAGACTCTGTACCCCCAGACCAACCGCAGGGCCACCGAGAAGGTCGAGCTCAAATGGATCGACACCTCGTCCAAGTTCGGTCACGGTGCTTTCCAGACCCCCGAGGAGAAGCGCGCCTTCATGGGTACCCTCAAGAAGGACCTCGTTACCTCTGCTTAAGGTGTTTATGGGAATGTTGGTATGGTGTAGTGCAATTATTATCTCTTTTCAATAAAAAAAGCGAAGAATACCTTTTTCAAAGATCTCTCCGTTTGGTGGAAAGGGATGTGATGAATTCTACTAGTTGTTACGTAGCTGCCACGGCAATTTCATGACTGTTCTAATGGATTAATCATCTTCATTGCGAAAGACATAGACTGTAGTTTGTATCAAATGGTTGGCCTCATTGTGCACTGGTGAAAATTTTGACTGGCTGCGGTTTGACTTGTCAACATTTTCCCCTTTTATCCTCCCTAATTTTCCCTCTTGAGAAGTGAGAGCCGCCCGTCTTAATTTTTCTTTTTTCTTTTATTAAAAATCCTTGCCATCCACCTCTCGCCGTCTTACTCCCTCAGCCAGTCAAAATCGTCATGCACAAGTGGCAGGGCATCCGCCGTGCGCATTGCGTCATTGATCGCATTTCGAGTCGGGCTTCAACTTCATCGTCAGCCTCCCGCCACTCCCGTCAATATCATCACCAGGCCTCTTTCCAGACTCATCCCCAGCGCCAGACCCTTCTTATCACATCAACTAGACAATTCGCCCACTTGCCTTCCCCTCGCGTGTCTCATTCAACCATCATCACCCGCAACATGTCGTCCGACGACGCCTACATGTCCTTCCTGAACAAGGCCAACGCCGACCTCAACACCGCTCGAAACCAACCGTCCGAGAACGTCTCATCCGCCGTCGCTCGCACCGAGACCGTCGACGCGGGCGTCCGCGTCCCCGCCCCTCTCACCTCCGTCGACGCCTTCTACATCTCCGAGACAGACGAGCCGTTCGAACCCGTCACGCTGAAATGGGACGGTGCTTCGCGGGGTCTTTGGCCTGACGCTGGTATGTGCATATCATATCATCCATCCTCCCCTCCCCACCTCATCCCGAAACCATAAAATCAAGATACTAACATTCTGCGAACGCAAAAATACAGCCCACCTCTCCTCCCTCATCTCCCCCTCCACCGACCTCTCCTCCTCCATCACCACCCTCCCCGCTTCCTCCTTCGATCCGAAGAACCAATACCCGGGCCCTCTCCGTGCCGTGCGCGCCGCAGTCGCCCAGGCCTCCGGGGGCGGAATCGACGAGTCCGCGGTCGAGGTCAAGGCGTATCGTGTGGAGGTTGGGACGTCGCGCGTGGAGTATTATTTAGTGGCGTTGGATGCGGAACAGGGGCTGCTTGTGGGGTTGAGGGCTAAGGCTGTTGAGACTTAATTTCTGTCCATGGGTGTATGTGTTTCTGTTTGTGGTTCATCTTGGGTGGTGTGGGTTTTTTGAATGACTGCATTCTGTGTTAATATTTTTCCTCCACTCTTGTTACTTGTTCGTTGATATGTTGATAAGAATGAATGAATGGATCATGGCTGGTTGAAGTGTGCTAGAGTTATATATGTTGGGCCGGCGTGGGTTATATATATTAGTAGTGTGAAAGCAACAGTTTATGTGATTCCACTATGTCGATGATGCTACCGGGTATATATAGTGGGTAATACTACCATTACTATGACCAGATTAAATGTATGGGGGAATCTAGGGACCCTAACCGGTTAAATTGATTGTATATTAGTTAAATTCGGAAGAACGAGGTCTTCCACGATGTGACGCTGTATATAGCATAAATATAGAGGGGTAAGCAAACGGCGAAATCGCTGCTTGCACCTCGTGTTCCCTCAGTCCAGTTAGTATGCAAGGACCTGTTTATAATGACCCATCGGCATTACTATTTATATATATGCATCCCTTAGAGACCGGCTATGATAAGATCTACATTTGGACAATATTAGGGCGAGGATAGATAATTATGGCGCAGGGTTGCATGTTTCATGGGTGCCTCAGGCTGATATCTGCAGCAGGGTGCATACAGAAGATTTATAGCGACAGACGTAAGGGATAAAAGAACATGAGGGTTCATTCAGGTGGAGATTTGGGAGTTCTATTTTAGTTTTTGCTTTCATTTCTTTTTCTTTTTAGATATGGTCAGCTTTCTCATGGAGCGTGCAGGTAGATGAGTGTCGTGGATAGATACTATTGCTAAAGAATATATGTAGAAGCTGTGAGCTGTTTTTCATAATAAACAACTCTGGTATATGTACGCATTCCTGATAATAGCCTAGGGCGATGAGCCAGCAATTGAACGGCCGGAAGGACTGAGATATACTACTCGACCCAGATCTGCATGGACGGGTCTAAAGATAGGAAGGGAAGAGCACCGACTGAACAGCAAACGGCGAATGTGCTGCTGCGAGGATCTCGACCGGCACCCCCTGTTTAGGAAAATTGTTTGGGGGAAAATCGTTTCGGTGGAATGACGGGAATCGGTTGGAATGAAGGTGGGATAAAACCTTCCGAGGAATCTCTTGCAGAGTAAGTCTCTAACTGCCAAACTGGCCAAAGAACGCGTGTTCTGGAATGGTATAACCAGGAAAACCGTCGCGGTTGGACCTCGACTTTTCGACATTGAGGAATAAGCCCGGTGAAGTAAAAGTCGAGGTCGTCGGAGACGTTGAGAACTCGTGCCTGTTAAGTGGTTAGGAGAGGTACCCAGCAGGTAGTCAATACCAAAGGATATCGCAAATTACTGCGACGGTTAAGGTACCTGGTACTTGAGGACACACGGGCAGAGTGGGCAATGGTTCGCCAAGACTTGGGAGACCCACCAAACACCTGCGAGATTCCAACGTTCTCTCAATGCATTCATTCCGCTCTTTGCCAGGAGCAACGGGGTTCTTGCTCAGGCATGGAAAATGGGTCAGACGCATGGACTGGTAAATGCTGTACAGCTCAGTCCCCAGACTCAGAAATTGCCAGGAATCATGGCGCCTGCACACCCCAAGTATAGAACGACACGATGAAACTCACAGCTGTAGGTGCACTGCATATACCGTTTGCTTGATTGCAATAACCATGCAGGCACGACTGGGCCGAGATTATCTTCGCGCTCTGCAGGCGACAATCTCCACATGCAGGGGGCTGCCCTGCATGCTCGATGGATCTTAAAGCATTCCTGCGCTTTGATAGCTTCGCGGCCAAGGGCAATGCCTCGTTGTGAAATATGAAGCTGTCAGGCAAACGCGCACATTGTTTTGTTTATCCCTTGTTTGAATTTAGAGAGATCTCCATTTGTCAGAAAAAACATGAGAGAGACAGGAGAAAAAAAAGGTGTGCATACACTCGTGCTACCTGAAGTGGGCAAACAGGGATTGGCATCGGACTACTTTTTTCATCCCTTCCTTGAGTGTCTGGACCGTCTGCCCTCTCATGCCCGCCTTCATTGCTTGCCATCCCTCTGCTCTTCTAACTGGCTCTTGTTGTTTTCCCCTCCTCCCATGCTCGTGTTGTGTTGACGCCCGAAACATCTGCCATTCGCCGTCGCCATTCGTCTTCATCCTCCGCCTCTTTCCCTAACCTCGAGCGTGTGTTTATTTTCGTCACTCCCTAATAGTATCTGATTTTTCGTCTATCTTGATTCTTTTTTTTATTCAAGGGGCAATAGAGCATTGACCTTCTTGTCCCGTCCACTCGTTATCCTCGTCGTTTCCACCTTCGTTACCCGCCACGCGTCGACCATTTCGCATCCCCGAACGATATCCCTAAACCAGTCTTTACCGAGGAAGATACGCGATTTGATTGAACTGGCAGTGAATCTCGCTGAACTGACACCGTGGGAATAGTGCATCCTGGTCGAATGCTGAGGTGATGCCCAGGTGATCGCTTGCGCCGAGAGTAGAAGACTGTCGACATAAACAGTCAGGTTAAATCCACAAGGCATACTGCTGGGATACAGACCAGACATCTAGTCACCTAGATCGAGCGTTGAATGATACTGAGAATCGAGAATACATTGGGCCGAGACAATCACAGTGACACAGCAGCATAGTTTGTAGTAACAAACTATCAGCTGTTCAGAATGACCGACAATTTGACCAACCCGCCGACGCAAGAAAAACCTCACATTCGACTTAATTCGGGTCAACATGAACCGCTTGAAGACATGGAGAATGAGAACCCGCCACCACGGCCACAGTCCATCGGACGGGCCTTGACACCAGGAATGATGACGTCGAACTCATCACAGACGATACCAACCGTATACGGATCACCCGTCGCTCAAGATTCAACAGAGTTCCTCATACCGCCGAAACCCTCTCGGCGTCGCGAAGACTACGACAGCGTGGCCTCGCCAAATCTGTCCATGGTCTCGTCGCGGCGAACGAGCTGGAGCTCTGGAGATACTCGAAAATACTCTTACACGCGAATGGAGGATTCTCGAGCACCGTCGCGCGCAGGGAGCGACGAAAATGATGTAAACACGCAAACTGTTACCGAGAAATTCAACATCATGCCGACGGAGGGGTTACTTCTGTTCCCGGAGGATGTGGAGAAAGATGATTACCTGCACAATCCTGACCCTAATGAGCGGGAGAAAGAGTGCGATATTTGGAACCGTCGAGGGATGATCAACGTCGGTGGGCTCGTTTTGCTGACTCTGGGATTTCTGGTCTTGTTCGTCGGCTATCCTGTAATGTATGGCTCTGTGTCTATTGGATTTGTGCCTGTTGAAAGCTTGCTCGCTGACTATTACCAGAACTGCCGCGAAAAATTTACACAAAGGGGGAAACCCGGTATGCGAAGCTGGGGACACACTCTGTCTTGACGTAGGGGAGCGACCGGTGCTCTCCAACCTACGTAAAGGGCTAATAGATCCCGACACGCCGGAATCTGCGAAGACGAAGACGTCTGTGGACGGCAAGGAGTGGAAGCTAGTGGTAAGTTCCCGACGAACATATGCAAAGGATTCCTCGCGATATGGAACCGGCTGACTCCGACGGTAGTTCTCGGATGAATTCAACACCCCTGGACGCACCTTCTACGATGGAGATGACCCGTATTACCAGGCAGTGGACATCTGGTATGGTGTGACACAAGACTTGGAGGTTTGTCACCGGTTACTTCTCCCTCTGAAGATGGGCTAACATTGGCCGCAGTGGTACGACCCCGACGCCGTAACGACAAGGGATGGCGTTCTTGAATTGAGGTTTGATGCGTTCAAGAACCATGAATTGAAGTATCGTTCCGGCATGGTTCAAAGTTGGAACAAACTCTGCTTTACGGGAGGTCGTCTAGAAGCCAGTATATCCCTGCCCGGCTCCGGCGATGTCTCTGGTTTCTGGCCGGGTTTCTGGGCCATGGGAAATCTCGGCCGCCCTGGATATGCCGCGACAACCGATGGTATGTGGCCATACAGTTACCATGATAAGTGCGATCCAGGGATCACTCCCAACCAAAGTTCTCCGGACGGAATCAACTTCCTCCCCGGAATGCGTCTTCCAGCCTGTACATGCGACGGGGGAGACCATCCGACCCAAGGGAAATCCAGAAGTGCACCAGAGATCGATGTGATCGAAGCCAGTGTGATCCCATTGAACGACAATCCTAACGCGGTCGTCGGCTCTGTATCGCAAAGTTTGCAGATGGCCCCGTTCGATGTCTGGTACATGCCTGATTATGGTACGCTCTGATCCTTCCTGACGAAATTACCTGTCGTCTGACCTTCACCTAGACTTCACCGCTGTTTATGATCCGACGATCACGGAAATCAACGACTACCGCGGAGGTGAATTCCAACAAGCAATGTCCGGCCTCACCAACTTGAACAATGGCTGGTACAACGGCTCGGAATATCAATCCTATGCCTTCGAGTACGCCCCGGGCGGCGACGGCAATGTCACCTGGTTCGTTGGTGCGGATAAGACGTGGACGCTCGACGGCCGGGCTATAGGCCCGAACGGCAATGTTGGCCAGCGTGTTATCCCGATGGAGCCGTTGTCGATCGTGATGAACTTGGGAATGGCGTTGAGTTTTGCCGCCATTAACGACTCCATCAAGAGCTATATGCCCGGATATATGCGGTTCGATTACGTCCGCATCTATCAAGACCCGGATGATGTTAGTGTTACTTGTGATCCCCCGGGGTACGAGACGACCGAGTACATCAAGCAGCATCCCGAAGCGTATAACAATGTGAATAAGACTACCTGGTAAAGCAACTCCCGCAACTCCACGATTCTCCTTACTGACCTTTTTTTTCAGGAAGGATGCTGGCTACGATTGGCCAAAGAACTCCTTTATGCATGGGTGCTAACCTTGTTACCTGTAATCGTTTCCTTCTTTTCTCTTCTCTTCTCATTGTACACGATTGACGAGACCTTCCGATTCAATCCCGACAGCCATCTCGCACCAGTCTTTCGTGATCACACATATCTTCTTTTAACTACTTGTGGCAATCTGTATGATCTGGGCGACGGGCAGCATCTCATGTTGACGGTCTTTGTGTCTCATAACCTTTCTCACTCCAGCTGGTCCTCTTTATGGTGTCGCCGTTTGTTTAGCGGCATTGATTCTCCGGTGTTGGGGCGTGTCGGGTTGGAATTCTGGCTCATTTTTCTTCTTTTTCTTTCCCCCCATTTGGGGTAGCTGGGCTGGGGTTGGCCGCTTTGCATATTCTAGTACATTTATCTATTACCTATTTATTTTCTGTTGATCTTCGTATTGCGTCTTTAGTTTCTTGTTTGTATAGTTCGCTGGCGGAGGCAGGATGACTAAGCGAGGCAGTCGATCACGGGCACCGGCATCGATCGATCTGCAGCCATCCTTCCTTGGGCTTTGCCTTCTGTCGCCTTTTCATCTCCCCCGCCACGTGTGACCAGTATCCCTGCCGGCCAGGGCATTTGATTGATTCTCGGGTTGATATTGCGGCAGACAGGGCTCGCCCACACAATCCCTCTGTTGTCGCGAAATCCCGCCCCGCGGAGCTAATTGATCAACTAAAACATTGCCGGGCACTGAGGTCATTCTCCGACTTCCAGCTCCGGTACATCTATGACCTGAGCGCAGTTTATCGGCTATAGCTCGCTTCGTTAGGTATTTGGGTATATATCTGAATCTCGACCTGTGGTGTACAGCGTCTCAAGTGGCTCGTCTACCAGTGTCCTTCCTGTTCACTTCGTTTTCTACAACTATCATCGCCTCTTCTTGAACATACAACACAACACAAGAGTAACACAGCACAACACCCACAAGATGTTCACTCCCCACACCAACAGACCCAACAACAACCCCATAGTCATCCCCAGCGGCTCCGACAGCGACGCATACAGCGACAGCGAGCTCAGCGATATGGAAGTCGACCCGCCGAGTCGGCCGCATCGGCCCGGCATGAGCAGTAAGTTCAGGTCCTTACCGGTTCGTTCAATTCATTTGAGATGAACGAAACCATAAGAACAGCGAAGCTAACACCTACACAGGATTCGACGCCGCGCCGCCATCCTCAATGCGCTACCGTGCCTCCCAACCCCCCTACCACACTTCCCTCGAGCAGGAGAAGAAAGTGCGTAGTCGGCTGCGCGAGGAACGACATGCTGCGTTGTCGGTGCTGACCGATCGCGAGCTCTTGACTACCCAGGCGCTGGCTGCTCAGGAGGTTAGTTTCTTCCTTCTTTCTTTCCATTAACCCCTCTGCCCTGTTGCTTCTGAAAGAAGCATGATCCCTTCTCATCCCACATCCCCCATCCCCCGTCCCAAAAGTAAAGAGAATAGAAAATCTAACTAACAAAAAAAAAAAAAGACCCTCCCACAAACCCGCCGCCGCTTCCTCTCCAAACTAATGGCCCCCGAGGACCCCGCCGTAGCGACCTCCCTGCGCGCCGACCGCTTCATAATCCAGCACCCGACTGCCGCAGGACACCACTCGAGCTCGGGCGTCGGACGAGCCGGCGAGGGCGGCCCTTCCTCGTTGACGTCGCCGCGGCCAGGCTCCTCGACGACGGTGCCGATGATCGTGCAGAGAGGTATCGTCGATGTGCATGATGAGGATGATGCGGGGTGGAGGAGGCCGACGATGGAGGGAGGGCGAGAAGGAGGAGCTGGGACGGGGACGGGGAGTGGTGGGTCCTCCGGGGTAGGATCGCCTGCTGGGTCCGGGGGTGGGAGGTTGAAGGGGAAAGGGGCGACGAGGACGCCGGATCGAGGGGAGAGGGATCGGATGAGAAGTGGAGGGGGGCGGATGAAGACGCCGGGCAGTGCGAGGCGGGAGAGGGAAAGGCGGAGCCGGTGGAGTGGAGCGGAGAGGGAGGAACGGGATCGGGGGTCGTCGCCTTAGTTCTCGTTGAGAGAGACTGAATATGTGCTCTGTCTAGGTCTGGTCTGCGCTTGAAATCTACATAGCTACATACTACCTGGTTGATTGTAGTCAGAAAGACTGGATTGAATGACTGATTGAAACGAATGATCCAAATAATCCAAAGCAAAGGCAGAAGAAGAACATATTCACATGCCGGCTCATTGTATACATCGATCCATCCCTATAAAGCCGTAAAAGGTCCTGGCTGTTTCAAACCGTAAGATAATAAAGAAATTGCAATCCCAACGTGTAATCCCAAACGCAAACGCAAATAATGATAGTCTACTGTACAAATGATTGACTTGGAACAAGAGTAAATCGCGAGCCCAAAAGAGAGATAATATGGAAAGCAAAATAATTCAAAATATCTGTCCTCAACGAAGAGGATAGGGGTAGATTGTGGTAGATAGAACACCAGACAAAATGGAAGCCATGTGAGAAAAAAGGTTACTTTTGCCCTCCTTTTTTCCAATGATATGATGTTGTGAGTGAAAATGGGTATCAAGATTTCAAGGTTTGATCTGCTTTTGTTTTTTCCCTTTTTTTTTTTCTTTTTTCTTTTTTGAAACCGTCTATCGATCTTTTCTGATTGACCGAATGAATCGACGCGTGCCATGTTAGTGGCATTCCAAAAGCAAACCTGAATATAAGTTTTCAGAAGCATCACATGTCTCTTTCCGAAGAGATGTGCCGTTGTCTATTGACCAAATTTATTGCAAGAGTCGGTGACTGCCTGAAGTTGGATGGAGGGTTGAGTGATATCCAATGGATCAGATCTGCTGGAATGAGACCGGTCGTAACGTTCCCGGAGACGAGTGGATGATTGGTTTCAGCGGAAAGAATCAAAGATCAAAACGAGAGGCTTGTTTCAATTTGCCGACCTCTCCGCATTGAGCATACTTTCGGCATCACCGACCTGCTTGCGTTCGGAAACTTCCCGGGTGCGCATCCGGGCGCGCGCCGCTTGAATGTTCATTGGCGTCAATCCTTGAGATGGTGGCGGATCCGGTTCTGAGTAGAAAGGGTGAAGGCGATGGGAAGTAGAGAACCGGACACGACCATCCCTCATGACTGGTAATTGTCATTGGAGGGGTTCCGAACTCGAGGAGAGTCGGTTCAGATGAAGATACACGTCCGTGCCATAGCTAAAGAAAACAAGTTAGTGTTTGTCGAAAAGAGTAAGCTGGTCGGGTGGATGAGAACTTACCCCTCCATGCTGATCAACTTCAAATCTCCGCCAAAGTATCGGGCATACAAGCGACTGATCGGCAAGCCATAACCAAAACCGGCCATGGGAGCCTTGAAGTCGCTCTTATCGAAGTCCGGATCCAAATTGGGCGTCTGTTCCACGGTGGTGTACATGTATGTCCAGACCAACGGAATGGCCGAGCGGGGGATGCCGCCACCTTCGTCGGAGACCTTGATCGTGATGTCTTCCTTGCCCTCGGCGATGATGACCTTGGTGACCGGGAATGCCTCCTTGTCCGCACCGTGTGTTTCCACGACGGCACGCAGGGAGTTCTTCAAGGTTTCGAAGAGCATGTGAGACAAGTGGCCGGGAACGTACATAAAGTTCAGGTCGTCCTTGCAGACGAGCTGAACCTTGGGAGCATCGAAAAGACCGTAGTAATCCTCGCAGACAAAACGAGCGTTGTCAATGGCCTCCAAGGCCACCTCGCGAACATTGGTCTTGGTGCAGATGATGCCGACGTAGTTTGGATGCCGAACATGCGTTTGTTCCGTGAGCGCGATGTGTTGACCGATTAACATTCGTATACCAATCCGAGACATATAGAAGCGATCGAGGAAGGACTGGACGGTGGAGTCGATTTGCAAACGCTGGCGCTTGCGCTTCCACTCGAGTATACCCTGGGCCACGGTTGTGACAACACTATCGTGGCGACGTTTGATCTGTTGCAGTGTCTTGGCGAAGCGTTCGTTGTAGTCGTTCAGTTCCGGTGGCCAATTACCTTGATCGTCGGACGGCACAAAGTATCTTCGGGCGGCAGCCGCCGCCTTTCCATTGGTATGGCCATTCGTTGCAGATGTGGGAGAGGACCGATACTGTCCCTCTTTGATGCTAGGGTTTTGGGTCGCTTCCGAGAGGATCTTGGAATGACTGCCGTTCATTCGGCCGGGTCGCAGCAGACGTTGTTTCACTTCTTGGCTCAGAGTCGGTCGAGGGAGAGTAATGATTTCCTTGAAGGTAAGGTTAGCAACGCTGCATATGGTGGCGGACCGACTCCCCGCAAGGGAGAGCCGAAATGGGCCATGAGTCATACCTCGAACGACTGCGCATACCAGTCCTGGACCTTCTTGATGGAAGGCATCTCACTGAGCCCATCGGGGAGCTCGCCAAGATCCTGGACACGATGGGCTAGGCGAATGGGGAGTTCTTCCGACAGGAATTGCGAGGCGCGGAACAGGGTGCCTACTTTTCAGACGGGTTCCGGGATCAGCGAGGCCTTGACGCATTGGGCGGTAATCTCTCCAGACAATGACACCCAAACAGACAGGAAGCAGGGGGATCGACTCGATGAACCTACCGGTGGAGGGTCTGTCGCCAAACTGGACCATTTGGCGCAGGGACACGCCCGTGGCGGGGAAGCTGGCATAATGGCTGATGGTTTCCATCAGCCGCTGCGACGGCTTCCACATGGTGGTTGAGAATTCCAGGCCCGATGGCCTGCGATGTACACTCAGTGGAGATGAGCAATGCGGAGGTAGTGTATGGAGCGATGGTGCGAGGATAGAGACCAAAGGGGCGATCGGGGATGGTGCGCCAGGACAGCGGGACAACGACTACCGAGGTTGACTCCGCTCTCAGGCGAGCTCGGGACGGCGGGCAGTACAATGACCCGGGGTTTGCGAACACCGCAACCGAGACCGGACAAGGGAGACGAGGAGTAAGGAGAGAGAGAGAGAGAGAGAGTGGGACGAAAGAGAGGAGGGACGAGAAAGACAAACCACCCACACCACGACTGAATCGATGACAGAGAAGTGGCACGAGAGACAGACGGGATGGAGATGGAACGACTTCTTGCGGAGACTCGAATTCCCGGGGAGTCACGTGTGGGGGGTTGATCCCGTGCGTCGCCGAAGTCAACAGGAAGAACTGTCCTGCGTAGTCATTATTCATGCCGGTCGTTTGTTCGTTGTCTTCAGAAGACGGCAGTCCTCCCGGTCCCCCCACACTCCAAGAAACTCTACTGCTCAAAGCCTTTGTTTGCCATGCTGGCCTTCTTTCGTCCTTCCCGACACCTCGAATTGCCGATGCGAACGTGAAGGGCGTCTCTGGTCCGAGTTTCCCCTTCGTCCGAAAACCATTCGCTCCCCCTCTCCGAATGGCCTGGATCCCCGTCCCCAGCTAGGTTGCTGCCATCCACGGTTATCGCCGACCGTGACATCCCACTTCTTGCCTCCTTGGGAATGCCGACGTAGTATATTTGAACCGCCGGTTCCTGGCCTCGTTTGCAAGGACCAAACGTCCGGTTGGATTGGGAAGATGCTAGCCCACTCCAGAGAACTAACGGTACGGGCCTTCACGGGCGGGTTTTAGTAATCTCCCTTTTCCATCTGGAGTCTCAGGGGCCGGCCTGTTTCCGTCCGACAAGAGATAATAATAAAATAAAATGACATGAATAAAAAAAAAAGTTAAAGAAAAGATCGACGGTGCCGATGATGTTGTCTGCATTAGGAGAGATCCCCACCCTTGCATCTCGTTGCTGTCATATTCCCGTTGGGCTGAAATCCACGGGCAGGAAGGGAAGAAAAAAAAAATAAATAAAAATAAAAATAAAAAAATAAGGAAAGGAAGAAGAAAAAAGCAAAAAAGTCCAAATGAGACATGCGAGATGAGACATGTCGATTCAAACCGAGACCGGTCCCATGTCCATCGTCCTTTTGTTCGGTCCAGAATTCAACCTCCCCATCACCAATCACTGCTGAACTTGTCATGATGACACGATAATGCATGACACCGGTCACAACGGTCTGGCAAGTCGACGGGGAATCCCAAATCCAAAAGACAGACCGGCTCCGACGTGCAGCCACCGGCGTGGCTCCTTAGGCCTGAAGTCCGATTTAGTCCTTCCTGGCATGATGTATGTTATATTGGCGGTTTCCAGAAGCCAACTTCCGGGGGCATATCCCAGACGCGGCCGCAGGAGTTCGTTGCGATTAGCAGGTTAGTCCACGACGCTGGTTGGTCTTGGGCCGAAGGATTCTTTTTCCCGGTAGTATTCACGAGGATTTTCCGAAAAGCCTCGTAGTGGAGCCGCTCGTCAAGGTTGCGCTTTGGTTGATGGCCAGATTGGTTGATATACAGTGCTCCGTGGTCCGTAGTAGCGCTGGCTAGTATTCTTTGGGCCTTGGGACTTTTTTCCTTTGGTTTTATTTGACACCTGTCTGGCCCACCAACCAGAGTCATTTGGCTCCGTCGATTCAGCGCCGACTGCCTCAGTGCTTTTCCGACTGGCTGTCATCGCATCGCAGGTGGGATTGTCTGGACCCTCAATGCGACAGCCCGTTTTTTTTTTTTCTCCCGTCGTCAGTGCGAGAGAGGCTGGGGACGGATCCATCGTCTGGATAAGAATAATAAACCCTAATAAGGGCACAAGCCATCTTGTCAACGCCGGCTCTCGGCGGATTCGCAGCACGGTACGTGTGCCTTAATCAAAGGAATCTCCGAACCAAAAAAAAATTAATCAAAAATAAATCAACACCAAATCGGAATTCCGTTTCTTTATTTAGTTAAAGAGGATTGGATTGCCTGGCCTCTCGGGGTCTTGAGGTCGGCCTCAGCCGGTCTCTGGCTGTCGTGGATAATGAAAGCAGCAAAGATGAACGATGATCCTACCCCTGGTGGGTTCTCCCTGACGGTGGAAGTGATCCATCCGATGCATCGTGCAGTGATGAGTTTTTCGGGTTATCCATCCGGAAGCTGGTTATCATTGACTGAAGCTGGGTGGGCTGGTTTCCATCGTGGGTGTCGATGATGCAAGCCTGCGTTTGAGAAGCTCCCCCCCTCGACGGGAGGCTGTGATTGGGGATGCCCTCGTCCTAGTCTCTGTTGCTATTGATTTATTGGTCGATTTAATTTCTTTTCTTTGTGTTCTGGTGGTTTTTCCTTTTTATTTGTGTTTTTCTTTTTTCTGGCCTTTTCAGTCGTCGCCTCGACGCCTCCCCTGGGAGAATCGGGATATTCCAGCGAAAATATTAAGTAGGAATTGTTTGTGAACCGGCCTTCGGTTGCGTTGTCACCAAGTGGTGAGCGAGAGGGGGAAGTAACCCAAAAAGAAAAACGAAAAATCAAAAGCCCGAAATTAATATAAAAAAAAAGGTCGAGGATCCGCAGTGGTTTTTAATCGAGGATTACCTTTTTCGCTTTCCTGCTGGTGATGCCAAATTCCTGCCCGTGAACGGCGCCATTTCAGGGGAAAAAAATTCCCACGGCCCCTCTCCGACCTTTTCTCCCTCGACGACGTATCCTGCCCGACTTTGACGGTGGATTTCAAGGTGACTGTCGGGCTGGGCGACTTCTTCGATTACCCGATTCTATTATTACTATCGTCCCCGGTGGAGTTGGTTTGTGCGCGCGGGAGGATCATTATCATAATTAGTATTCTGGCTGGTCGTCCTCACTGCCAGGGTCTCTTGGATTCGGAATAAAGCGTGTGGGGGAGGCCTGTTAAAATAATTGGAAAATCCCCCGGTATCAGACGAGGAGACTTAGATTTCCCCCGTCGGTTTTCTTCTCCCCTGTGCACGAGAGACCGGAACCGAGCGAGAAGAGAGTGTCCGAGAGAAAGAAGGGAAGAGAAAACGAAGGGAAATCGCAGGAGAGACGCGGAAGAATCACGAGAAACCCGGTGGTTTCCAGTTGGGGAAATCAGATAAAAACAGCGCACTCGCAAGTCGTCGTGCCTGCTGCTGCCCCTCTCGCTGTCCGTCCTTCAATCCTTCTGTCGTCCCCGTCCTGGATTCCTCACTTCCTTTCCATTTTTTCCTACTTCATCCCGGTCGTGAGGCCTCCGTTCCCCCCTTCTGCATTCTCCAATCCATTGATTCCCTCCCTCGATCCCTCATTCCCGTCTCTTCGGAAGTCCCGACAGGAACGTGGGAGTGATAGAGATAGAGAGGACACCCTCTGGCTCGCCTCGTCTTCATCGGCCCTCAGTTTTTTGACGGATGTACCGTTTCATCTAACGGTCCAATCTCTTTCATTGCCTACCCGCTTCCCCCCGAATATACTTCTGCATCCCTCGGCTGCAGCTGCATAAACAGGACAGCAGACCATGTCTCGTCGTCGTCCCTCCCACAGCGAATCAGCTGCCTCAACGATGAACGAAGCCGTTGCATATCCTTTCTCTGGCATGCAGCAAGCTAATGGTCAGCCCCCGCGGCGTGGCCCGATTGAAGGTCCGAACGGACGCCGCTTGATTCGAAGGGTTACCTGGCGATCTTCCACCTACAAATTGATGGCATCCCTCTGGGTGTTGGGTGTCCTTTACATCGTCTGGCTCATCCGTGACATCTTCTACCTCCCCTTCACCCCCTCGACCACCAACCCCGTTGCCGTCAACGCTGCCAACGAGTGAGTCGCCTCGAGGCCTCCCCCGGACCTGCCTGCTCCTGAATTGTTCCTTGTCCTCTGCCCCCCCTATCGTTTGGATTCCGTCGGAACCGATCTGGATCACCCTACTAATCGTCTCGACTCGGTCTGTCTAGTTGGCTGGCTCAATTCGTCGGTCGTCAGGAGTGTGGCATCTCTTCCTTGTCTCTCTACCAGCCCCCCCAGGATAAGGATGGTCGTATACCTGGAAACTCTTTCTGTTCGTCCAAGGATTCTCTTCTCAGTGCCATGAGCAACGGTGGCCGCCATGGATTTGATGCGGCCTATACTTCGCAAGGTAAGCCACAGAGTTCACCCGTTGAGGTATGCAGGTTTCCCCCAACTGCGTCGGCTGACTTGAGCGTCGAATAGGCTGTTTATACCGCTGGTTCACCAGCGCTCAAGTGTGTGATATTCTGAAAAAGTTTGATGGAGTGGCTTTTGTGGGTGACGAATCCCTCGCCGATGTCTACGCTGGATTCAATATCCTCCTTCGAGAAAACCTGGAAGTCGGCTCGTTGAAAGAATGGGAAACTAGCAGGGAGCATAAACACAAGTGTAGTTGTGACTCCCAGTTCACTGCTGCCTCGTGTCTCCCCCTGCGAATCTCCTCGAGTGATGAAGTATATGACCAGGCCGACAAGACAACCCAAAGTCCTTACACGTGTCCAAACCGTGAGTCTCTCAGCCCTAACCCCCGACAACAACAATCATTCCTAGAGACATGTTCAGGCTCTAATGAGACTGTGGTCTAGGTATTGCGCACACTTTTGTTTCTGCAAATGGCTCTCCCTCCTCCAAGAGTAACCACGAGAGGTTCCATCAGTTCATCACTCGAGGTGACCAAAGCAAACGAATTCCCGTGATTCATAGCATCTCGCTTTCCAATGCGTATTCCTTGTCGACGGCCAGAAACAGCATGGACGAATGGCTGGCACTGGCTCGGTCCACCGGACGGCCGACGCCTTTCCTCTGGATGGGACCCACTGCCCCCGGCCATCAAAAACCCCCGGGAGACAACGTTCATGCCAAAAGTTGGCAGTACACATTGGATACTGCAGAAGCCGCTCGGAGCAAAGGAATCGAGGCCTTGGGAATGTATAACGCCACGCTGCAGGCTGACAGTTGGGACGGAGTCCACTACGGAGAGAAGGTGGCCTTGATGCAGGCGATGATGGTAAGCTTTTGAATGTCGTACAACAGAATGGCTCTAGACTCACGGACGTTTTGCAGGTCATCAATTGGCTGTCGGCGATTTAGCGAATCGATTCCGTGTAACCAGCCCGCACGTCAAATGACACGTCGATCGGTTTTCCTCGATGCTTTGGTTGCACATGGCGGATGACGTGCATCGGTATGCAACTATCCTCTGATTGTCCGTGACACAATGCCCCGCATTTTTGGCTGTTGTTTCTGCTCGTCTTGTTTGCACCCCCTCCTTCGTCTCCGGCGCCCTGGTCATGTATACCACAATCTTCTTGGATACCCCATGTCCCCATCTTTTTCGATTTACCTCTTCAAAAGTTGAGTCTCATTTTGGCGACGCACCTTCCAGACGTTAGATAACCTTTTCACCATCTACCGATCTTGGCTTGATTTGGTTCTATCTCATACATTATGGCGTGTTTGTTATTTGATTTTTGGCATTTATTCTTTCTATTTCCCATCGACTCGATGCATGCAAACCAGACAAAGCGAGACAAAAAGAGACAAGCGGTCCTTCGGTTTTTTCATTTTATTTTTCATTACATTCCATTTTTTTTTTTTTTTTCATCTTGGGCTTCCGTCTTGTATTGTTTTTCTTACCTATCACCAAGTCTTGTTATTTCAATAGATACCTATCTTAGTTAAGGCGTTTTTTCTCTTCTTATTCCTAGTTCTTAATGTCGGGGTTGAATCCCCTTGTGATTATTCACCTTCCTGTGCAAGGAAATAAAATACTATTAATAACCGATCAACAAAACGACTCAGAGTCTAGAATGCCGTAGAATGCAAGTGACGGTGATCAGGAGGCGATGTTCGAGAACGGCGTGATAGTGGCATCGTGGCTTTGCAAAAAGTGGAAATTAACATAGCTTGGATATAGGGTCACACGTAAGTCATACCGGGATAATGACAAATTACTATGCTAGGTCTGCTAAGGCGGACAATGAAATAATGGCCTCGCTACAGACAAGGATAAGAGCTATGCTGAACAATAAAATACCACATATTAATAGTTACTGTAGTAGCAGACCGGCAAAGATTACTGCTAGCCAGTCGGCCGAAATCTTTTTAAATCATCAAAATATTACTATATACATACATAGGGTAGCTACCTAGTTAAACTAACTAACTAACTATACTGGGTTGGGGCGAGGCTTCGCTCTAGGATATCTGGGGCTGGACAAAGAGAGTCGGTCTATTTGCTGTTCTTTCTTTCTTTCCTTTCTACTGTCTCCCTTTGTTTCCGAATAGAGTGTTCAACACCACCCCTACCCCGCGCGACGAACGGAAATTCTAGACGTAGAGCGCGGCGGTCTCGGCCTTGGCCAGGTGCGCCTCGTACGGCTGCAGCGCCTTCTTAATCTCGGTGGAGGTGAACTTCTCCACCTGTTGGGGAGCGCGGCCGACGAAGGTGCTGGGGTCCAGGAGGCTGTCGAGCTCGTCCAGGATAGGGGCGAAGAAGGCGGTGCGGCGGATGCGGTCCAGGAGGTCGTTGTCCTTGCCGTGCTTCTTGACGTTGTCGGCGGCTTGGTGGGAGAGGACACCTGGAAGAAAGAAAAGGGTTGGGTTAGAGATGTGGTTTGGTTTGATATGGGGTGGCTGGGGCTGGACGTACGGATTTCCTCGTGGGCGTCTTGGCGGGAAAGACCCTTCTTCACACAGGCCATGATCACCTGAGGTTCTGTTAGCGTTCTGCTGGGGTGTTTGGGGTTCATTTGTTTAATCGGAAAGTCTTACGTTCTCACTGTTGAGATGGTCAGCGATGGGTCACGATAAAACGCCATGTTATTTCGGGGAAAACTTACGTTGCCATGAAGGGGAGCTCGTCGTTGACACGGCGGCGGATGACCTCGGGGTAGACGACGAATCCGGAGGTGACGTTGTCTGGAAACCGTCAGCGAGGCGGCTAGGTTAATGCAGCCAGCCACAACTTACTGAGAAGAATGAGACAGGCATCAGCGGAAAGGTAGAGTTCCGGAATGCTGATACGACGGATGGCGCTGTCATCCTGGTAAGAGTTAGCGCTCTGGCAGTCCTTGGCATAAACCACACCGTTTTATTCCTTACCAGGGAGCGCTCGAACCATTGGGCCGAGTAGGTGTCCAGAGCATCCTTGGGAAGGTTCTGGAGGTGTCGTCCGAGAGAGCATAGACGCTCAGAGCGCATGGGGTTACGCTTGTAAGCCTGGATGATGTTTGGTTAGATCAAAATCCTTTGCTTGTCCCATGTGATCGAGTTGTCACTCACCATGGCGCTGCTGCCAATCTGGTCCTTCTCGAAAGGCTCCTCAACCTCCTTGAGCATGGCCAGGTGACGAATGTCGATACCGATGCGCTCGCAAGTGGAGCCGAACGATCCAAGGGCGTTGGACACGTCAACATCGATCTTGCGGGAGTAGGTCTGACTGGAGATAATGAAGGCGGAGCTGAATCCAGCCTTCTCGGTGACAAGCTCATCCAGCTGTTCAACCTTGTCGTGGTTACCGTCGAAGATCTGGAGGAAAGAGGCCTGAGTACCCGTGGTACCCTTGACACCACGGAAACGCAGGTCGTCGCGGGCCCGCTCAAGGTTTCTCAGGTCCATCAACAGGTCCTGAAGCCACAGGCATGCTCGCTTTCCAACGGTGACGAGCTGAGCGGGCTGGCCGTGGGTGAAACCAAGGCAGGGCAAATCCTTGTACTGCGTGGCGAACGCGGCAAGCTTATCGACAACGACGGCGAGCTTGGGGATGAGGATGTCGAGACCGTCGCGGAGGAAGATCAGATCGGCATTGTCGGTGCAGTAGCACGAAGTGGCACCCCAGTGGATGATGCCGGCGGCAGCAGGGGCAACCTGGCCGAACGCATGAACGTGGGCCATGACGTCGTGTCTCCGGCGCTTCTCCTCCTCGGCGGCAACCTTAAACTCGTCATCCTGAATGGTGAGGTGGGCCTTCATCTGCTCAATGGCATCGTTGGTAATGGGCAGACCGAGTTCTAAGCTAGTGAGTCGACCGCAGATACAGGGTATTTCGAGAGTTTAGAGGAGCATAAGTGTACCTTTCTGCGACTCGGCAAGCCACAGCCACAATTGTCTCCAGGTGGAAAACCGATTTCTCGGCGAGAAAAGGTATTTCATCTCGTCACCTGTGAACGCAATGACCGGGCAATTAGCGTCCGATCACTATATATGACCCGGGGAAGCCCTGAAACAGGGAGGGGCATTGCGGGGGAGAGACATACTCGCATAACGCGAGTTGAGGGGGGTCTGATAGACATCATTGTTTGCCGACATCCTGCCAGAGAGCAATTGAGCAGATTCCACACGAGAATGAGGGATACAGAGCGAGAGAGAAGGAGAAGAGGGCGCTGGCTGTGTGCGTTCCTCCGGGAAATTTTGCGTTTGCGTTTGCGGCGGGCCAGAACTTTAGCGGGGTCTCCGCTTATCAGTCACGTTATCTGGAGGGGCTCATCGTGATTGCATCACATGATCCCGGTTTGGCCCATTTGCGGCCAACTGGAAACTGGAAACGGACATTACTATATTATCATATTAAACCTATGGAGTTCCATCCGATGCATCCACGTCCCTCCGTATCCCCCGACTCTATGTCCATGGCTCTCACGACAGGGCCGCCAGCTGCGCCGAGAGGCTGCCCTTGTCATACTTGACGTATTTGCCCCGTCCTTTGTCTATCTCATGGTACCGGTCGTAGAAGCGGGCATATAGAGGCTCAAGCACGGCCTGGATTTCGCGGGCAAGCACGGCACGCACTTCACGCTCCATATACAGGCCCTTGTGGCGGGCCAACATCTCGTCAAAGCTTGCATTGAACGCCTTGAATTTGTCTTTGATTGCATCCTTGTCCTTAGATGAGAGAGATTTGACGATGGCAATGGAGTCCACCGCTCCCCCAGAGGCCGGCCGAGCTGAGCCGCTTGCGCCCCGAGACGTATATTGCACATCAAGGAGGAAATGCGAAGTCTCCTTCCATGCGTCCAGATAGGTCGAGATGGCGCGTTTCCGGAACGTGTCTACCCGCGCAATGCTGTCCGGAGAGCCGAGTAATCGAGCCAGGTCGGAACTGTGACGGATGCTCCGGTCGACATTGTAGAAGACGTTCGACAGGAAGACACCCTGAACAGCCTTCGTCCGATGGAATGCCCGGCCTCGAGACTCCAGTGCGATCATAAGGGCCTCGACCATATCAAGGATGAAGTGCGTGAGCAGCGTGGAACTATCCGGGCTAACGTCCAAGGGCGCACCGGACGAATTGGACGTCGAACGCCAGTTACCATCGCCTAGGGAGGTTAGAATCGAAGCGAGGGGCCCCGAGTATCCAGTCAAGGTAGTGAGCGCGCTCATGACTTCATTAACAAGAGGCACGGAGCCGCCGTCCGGCGGAAGAACCGCGATATTGTTGGCCTTGCGTTTGGTCTCCTCTAGTAATTCAGCAAGAGACGATTTGGCCGTTTCACGTACGGGCCTCAGAGCTTCTATAAACAGACTCTTGAGTTCCCCCGTCTTAGACTCGACCCGGTATGATATGGCCGTCACGATCTCAATGATCTCAAATGCGAGAAAACAATCGGTCATCAGGTTCGCCCGGATGTAGTGGTTGAGTTCACGAAGGGTTTTCGAGTATTCGGCCAACGCAGGCCGACATGTAGCCTGGAGAGCCAGTCCCCGCTGAGCGCCGGTGAAAATCTGCGAGATTATGTCGTGTTCGGCGTATATAAAGCCTTCCAAAGCATTGGAATAAATACCGATTCCATTTGTGCCTTGTTTGTAAGGGCCGTCCGTGGCTCTGCGCTTGACAGTATTCAGAGATGCGATGGCAAGGTTCTGCAGGCTGGAAGTGACGTAGGTCGCACGGATCTCGGCATATATTTTGAGGGCAGGGTTTCCTCCATCGCTACGTTGAGGGCCATGAGCTGCCGCAGCGCCGATCGCATTGCATATAGGACCCAACTCCGCGATTATCTCTTCAGGAAGCGTTGGGAATGGAAGATCTGTATTTCAAAAGGTGTGTAAGTCGTGGATCTTAAGCTTTATGATCCTTCAAAGTGGAATCCTCTCACCTTTTGTCAAATAATGTAACGGCTCGATAGCACTGACATACTGGCTCAACTTGCCGCGGAACAAGTCCTGGAGCTTGGTGGTGCCGGTATTTAACAACGAGGAGAAATCGGCGATAGCCTTCTGGTTCGACCGCAGGTTTGTAGAGTTGAGATCCGTTAGGGCCTTTCCCACGCGATTCATAGCCGAGAGGTACTGCGACAGTTCGACACTCTGGGGTCTGTTCGGGGGATTATTAGCATTGCCGAGTGACAAGGCGCAAAACCAGCCAGAGGGAGCCTACCCAGCGCGAATAATGTCTTCTTCCCGGTTTTTCGCATCGAGCGGTTGGCGAAGACGATCGATGGCTTCGTTGACCTTATCTATATTGTTGTTGGTGATCTGAAGAGATTGCGTATTGCTGTAAATGGGGCCGATGGCATGCTTCACAACGTTGCCGCCGGTCTCAAGGCGCACCATGGAGCCTTGGATTTTCTTGGTCAGGACCTTGAGCTTCTCGAGGTTGGCATACAGCACTTCCACCTCGGCGCTCTCCTCCGCATACGCGGTATTCCTTGGAGCGACCATGGTCAGGATGCACTCGATCGGCAGGGTCCCACAACCAACATCAAACAATCAGAGGACTAGATATAATCTGGGCGCACGGTGTATAAGAAACGGAAGAAAACGGTCCTGCCTTGCGCATTAGAGAACACGAGATAATCAATCACGAAACAGTCCACATGTAAGAAAGTAGTGTCAATCTTGGCCGATGAGGCGCCCGGCCTCATAAAGCGAGCACAGTCCAAGCGAAAGGGAGCTTCCCCGATAACAGCAGACGGCAGAATGAACAGAACACAGGGTCTCCCGCCCCCAGCGACGCTAGGCCGAAACAAGCCATACCGGGCCGTCCATTTCTCCCGGGGAATTTCCACACGTGACACGACGTCATTCGTCTGCATGGAGCCAGGATCGCCATGGTCTGGCCCGGCCCACTTGCGAGCGTCATGGCTTTAAAGGTTGCATGTTGCCCTCGTTGCCTCCTCTCCTGCGCAGGACCCGTCTCAACATGGGTGCTGCAACGGCCCTGAGTTTGCGATGGACAGTCCCTCCCGCGGCATTGATTGCCCTGGGGAGCGGAGTCCTCTATACTACGGGCGAGCGAACCTCGTCGCGACACTCTCTCCTACGGTCAGAGCAAATTGCATCCCTTTCCACTTCAACGGCGCGGAGTGCGGAACAGGGCCATAACAAACCTCCACCCGGCTGGGGCAAAGGGAGCTTGGCCCCGGAGTCCGAAAAGCCAACTCAAGATGGCGACCCGGGCTCCATTTGGACGAATATCCTTCATAAATTCGACGGGGTGAAGCAGTCGGTTGGTTCGGCCGATTGGATTGAGTTGGATAACATCAAGAGCTACATCGTCCCCGACTGGACTCGATTACTCCCGTTGACGGTACAGAAGCTTCAACGGGAGCTCTCAATGGCCCCGGGCTCTCTCGCAGATGACATCTGGAAAGAGGCCCACGACCCTTACCTCAACCCCGAAATTCTTCAAGACGCAACTGTCCGGGTGAGTAGTGACCTCTGTGAACAAGAGTTGGCATTCCGGAAGAAAAGACAAAAGCACGCGGTAAAAGCCCTGGCAACGTATCTGGACCTTCCCGAGGACGACATTCACCCCGACGATGTGCCGATCATTGCGATGTGTGGCTCAGGTGGCGGACTACGCGCGCTCGTCGCCGGCACTGGCTCATATCTCGCGGCTCAGGAGGCCGGTCTTTGGGACTGTGTAACGTACACGGCTGGGGTTAGCGGCAGTTGCTGGCTCCAGACCCTATATCACTCGTCAATTACCGGACGCAACTTCAATAAACTGGTGGACCATTTGAAGAACCGACTGGGCGTGCATATTGCATTCCCACCCAAGGCACTCGATTTGCTTACGGCGGCCCCTACCAATAAGCATCTTCTGAGCGGCTTAGTCGAGAAACTGAAGGGTGATCCCGGCGCGGATTTCGGACTCGTGGACATCTATGGCTTGCTACTAGCTGCAAGACTGCTGGTACCCAAAGGAGAGCTCGGCGTCTCGGATGGGGACTTGAAACTGTCGAGCCAATGTCAGAATCTGCTGAACGGAACCCATCCACTTCCCATATACACCGCTGTCCGCCACGAGATCCCCATGCTAGACGATGAAGAGCAGACCCATCATAAATTGCAACCAACGAGGGAAAATCTTTTGAAGGAGTCCAAGAGCGAGGCCTGGTTCCAGTGGTTCGAATTTACGCCCTATGAATTCTTCTGCGAGGAGCTCGGTGCTGGAATCCCGACATGGGCTCTGGGACGACATTTCAATGGCGGCAAGAACGAAATCCCCGAAGGCCATCTCCCAATCCCGGAGTTGCGTGTCCCTGGTCTCATGGGCGTATGGGGTAGTGCTTTCTGCGCAACCCTATCCCATTATTACAAAGAGATCCGTCCAGTCGTCCGAGGCATCACTGGCTTTGGTGGCATCGATTCTCTGATCCAAGGAAAGTCTAAGGATCTCGTCCGAGTACATCCAATCGACCCGGCCACCATCCCGAATTTTGTAATGGGCATGAAAGACCAACTACCCCCCAGCTGTCCCGAATCCATCTTCCATAGCCAGCATCTACGGCTCATGGACGCGGGAATGAGCAATAACCTGCCTATCTACCCATTACTCCGCCCGGGACGAGACGTGGACATCGTGGTTGCTTTCGACGCCTCGGCCGACATCAAACAAGAGAACTGGCTCTCCGTCGTGGACGGATACGCGCGTCAACGAGGAATCAAGGGCTGGCCACTCGGCGCCGGCTGGCCCCGAGCAGACCCAAGTCTAAAAGAAGCGAAGGAATCACTCCGCGAAGCCCAGAACATGACCCAAGCAGGCGTGGACAAGAAGATGGAAGAGGCCCAAAACAACGGGCACCACACCAGTCCAACTAGCAACAATAACAACCGCAACCACCACGGCACCCACGACACCGACCTGGGCTACTGCAACGTCTGGGTCGGCTCGATGCAAGAAAAAGTCTCTGACGAGGAGCCCCCTCCCTCCAAACGTCTCTTCCACCCCCAACACGCCGACCACTCCGAATCCGACTTCCACCTGATGCGTCCCGACGCTGGCATCGCCGTCGTCTACTTCCCCTTCCTCCCCAATCCCTCCGCCCCAGAGACCCTCCCCAGTCCTGCGCCCGGCCTCCCCGGTCGTCCATCCACTTCTCCCAAGGTCGCGGACCCGTCTAAACCCTTGTCTCCGCGCCCGAACTCCATCGACCCCGACGTCGATGATTTCCTATCAACGTGGAACTTCGTGTACACGCCGGAGCAGATCGACTCGGTCGTGGGTCTCGCGAGGGCCAATTTCTCGCAGGGTGAGGAGCAGGTGAAGCGTGTGGTCCGGGCTGTCTATGAGCGTAAGAAGTCGGACCGGCTGCAGCGAGAAGAGCAGGAACATCGTCGGCGGATGGAGGGGTTTGTTCCGCTGTAATCATGCACACATATGAAGCCTTTCTGATATATTTTTCTTTTGTTTTGTTTGAGACTGGTTATCCAAAGACTACCTTACTTTGTTTTGCCTTTTTGTACAATACTGCCATGTCTTTTTCGTTAGGCGTCCTGGACATTTCATACCCATAAATTTATTCATCTATTTGTTTTTACACCATCACTCGTGCATATTCACAAAGTAAGAATTGAACCAACCGCATATACCGGACAATCCTATTACACCTTTCACCGTACCCAAAACTCACATAAGAAAAGGAACCATCTCAGCATAGCGTCTCTATCTATCGAGTCTAGAAACCAATTCATCCATCCGTTTTACCAGACGATGTGTCTTTCTCAGAGGTGTTGGTGTTGCTATTACCGTTTCCAAAATACGACTGAGTTCCTTCAAAGTCGCCGTTCTCATCTTTCTCCTGCGGCTGTTTCGATGGCTCCTCTTTCTTGTTGCTGGTGGATTTGCCCTTGCGCCGGCCCAGGACCGACGAGTTGTCGTCGCTCTCGGCAAGACTGACGTCCTGGCTCTCGGCGGTTTGCTGACGCAGGCCGAGCTCCTTGCCTAGTTCAGAGCCGAGCTCTTGGATCGAGTGTGCGGCCGTGGTGGCCGCGTTGGCAGCGGTGGTGGTGATGCTCGTTAGATAGGATTGGTCGTTGGATTGGGACTCGTCGCCTTGACCTTGGCCGCCCTTGGGTTGGGGGCCTTCTCGTGGCGGCTCGAGGTGGATGGGGATGTTTTCCTGGTTCCGAGTGATTTGGGCGCTGTTTTTGCCTGTTTCTTCGCCGCGCCAGTCAGCCGGGCTGCTTTCGTGCGCGGTCTCGCCGGGCTCGGGCTCTGTGATCGTTTGGCCGGAGATCGGGGAAGAGCTTTCCTTGCCCGGTTTGGGGATGTCGAGCTGCGATGGGGTCGGGTAGCGCCAGACGACCTTTAATCGGTCGAGCGCTCGGGTGCCCTTCTTGCTGGTTCCTTTGATGCCGTCCATCGCGTCCCATTCGAGCTCGAAGACGCCGGAATCTTCTTTATCGCCGCCTTCGAAGAACGTGTTGAACCAGACGTGTGCGATGGACGTCACCATTGCCCAGCCGGTGTAGGCGGCTTTGCTGCGCCGTTCGAAGTCGATGTTGACATCGCTGGTGGGGACGATGACCGGTTTGCTGGGACGGAAGATGGCTGCACGTGTCCGTTTCATGGGGTTGTTCGACTCTTCGGAGGACGAAGAAGGGGCTGTGTTACTCGACCAGGCCGATGATTCCGTCACGGCCGACTGAGGCTCACTGTTGGTGCCGCTCTTGGTCTTGTCGGCGTCCTTCTCCGTCTTCTTGCCGTTGTCGACGATCGTGCGTTCGCTGCGATGGAACAGGTGGAAGTTCTTAATCTTCTTGCCTTCGTCGACAAAGCCTTCCACCGCAACCTTGACGCCATCCCTCAATCCCCACACATGCACTTCGAGGATCTCCACCGGTCGCTCGATGTACTTGCGGTCCATCTGGTTGGCCCAGCGATCCACGTATCGCACCCAGCGCAACTGACTCGGGATGCTCACGCCGTGCCCAAACCCAGCGCGCATGCGCCGCTCCGTGAACCGCTGCAACGCATCCTCGATCTTCCATCCTTCCTGGCTGATCAGATAGCTACAAGCGACGGTCCCACTGCGCCCTTTCCCAGCCTTGCAATGAACGACCGCCACCCGTTTGCCCCCCTTCTCGCCATCGGACGAGCTGTCCTTTCCCTTCGCCGGATCATCCAACCGCTGCAGCCAGTTCTTCATACTCCCCATCATGGCCGGAATGAGCGCGAACGGCGGCGGATGATGGTCCGGGAACGGGTAGTGGTGGATGCGGCCATAGACCTCCTCGTCTGGGTAGCCGGTGCCCTCGGCGCGAAACTCCCAGATGCACCAATTCTCGCCATGTTTGGCGTCAAGGAAGTTCACCAACTCATCGAGCGGATTCCTGTATGCACGCTGCGGGTAATTGGACGACGGACCGGACGTTGCGATAACTGCGGTAGCGACGGGTAAGCTAGGTTAGCTAGCGATAAGTTTAAGCGCCGGCCATGGAACCGCCGAAAGGAACGAGGGCCTTCCCCAAACACGCACCGTTATCTGTGACGTAGCAGAGATCTAGATTGGCTTCGGGGTGCTGTAACCTGGGCCCGGCAACAATCTGCCGGAGGATCGACGCCTACATTCGGTCAAGAAGCCAAGCGCAGCACGTCAGTCTCGGCAGGGACAGAAAGTGGGACGCAGCACGCTGCAAAGGGGGTGGGAGGGCGCAGGAGGATGGAGGCATCGTACCATTTGGAATCAGGTGGACAGATGTCTTGAAAAGGCGGCGTTACTATTCCTGGGGACGTTCAGCTTTTGATGGCAGGAAGAAGACGCAGAAAACGAAATGAAAAAGGGGTGGAAGTGGAAGGTGGAGAGAGAAGTAAGACCAAGCTCACCATTCGGAGTCCTCGTACTCGAGCGGAATGTAAGTAGTCAGGAACGACAGTAACGGCCAGGCGATCGGTGGGGATTATTTACAATTTAGTGCGACGAACATGGAAAGAGGGAGATGGATCTTGTTCTTTGAGGCCATGACCAGGTCAAACGGACAAAAGACGAGCGACAAGGAGACGCTGACGGGCGCGGATGATGTCACCGCACGCGCATCGACTGGGAAAACAAGACCAGTCGACCTACACTACTCCGTACACTACTGCTGTTGCTGCTACCATGGAGTCGCTTCAATAGTTTGGTGTTCAAAACATGTCATTGGATAGGTATATAGGCACAAAGTAAAGATCGTCATTAAACCATCACATCAACTGGCTCCGTCATTAGACCAGACATTACTGATAAGTGGTAACATAAGAAAAATTCGCTTTTCGTCCCCATGGGCATATTCGATATGGTACAGGTAGAGGTGCCCACTTTCGTCTCGCCCCCGGGTATCTATAGTCTTTCGAAACAACATTCTTCACCGTTCCGACCGTCTCGTGGTCGGAAACGCGGTGAGACGCGTGCTCTTCGCGGTCACTCGCCCGAATTTAAGCAGAGCCAAACACATGGGTCACCGGGATGGTGAAGTTGGAGGCAGATTGGGTGACGTTGGTCGCGCCTTGAGCGTGGAAGGAGGCCGTAAGGCCCTGGCGCCAGGAGTGCTCGGCCTTCACGTTCCGAAGAGAATGGGACTCCGGGGTCACCAGGGCCGTGATGTTGCCGTTGGCACAGGTAATGTAGTCTCCGATCTTCTGGCCCGTCGACGAGCAGATGGTGGCGAAGCCGGGGGTGTTCTCGGTCTCAATGCCGCGGATGTTGAAGTTGTAGACACACTCTTCCTGGGCGCAAGTCGAGGTGAAGTTAGACACCTGCCAGGTCAGAGCTGGGCTCTTAGCACGACGCAGAGGACCGGCCGAGGCAAGGCTGGCGGCGGAGAGAGCAACGGTGAGGATGGAAGTGAGCTGCATAGTGGCGAGGTTGGATATGGTATGTATGTCTTTTCTTGGGGAGCGTAGAAAAGTAATGGGAGGATGAAAAGGGGGTGAGATTAAAATTAGGAGTAGTATTGGAGGTAATTGGATTGATTGATAGGAGAGGATGATATAGAGTCGAGAACGTCCCTGAGGTGGATGGAGGGTATGTTTAAATAGCACGATCGAGAGTTGACTTCTTCAGGACGGGGCAAAATCCCGCAATTTTTAGCATCAAACCTCAAACACACCAAGAAGACTGTCCCTGTGGCGAAACGACGGATATGAAGTCAGTCCGGATGGCAGTGGAGTGGAGTTTCGACCCCCATCCTCGCAAAGGGCGTGCATTCTGTCGATCTCTCGGATTCCTCGCTGACTTTCACTGCCCCTTAGGAAACCGGGTCATGGTGGGATCCTTTCCCACGGTCAAAGCACAGAATTCACCGGAGAAAAAAAATCGTCCAGTCATGTCATCGCTGCACTCAATTCCCACGATGCAGGGATTCACCTGTCAGCTCGATTGCGTGGACGCAGGTACAGCCACGACTGCTGCAGCACGAAGTATGCAAACCTCGGACTCGGGCCACTCTCCTGTGACTGTGACCCTGTCCGACTTGACTTGGCGACGATCTCAATCTCAGCGGAAGTGTTTATTTATAGCAGTGCAGCACGGTGGTGGTTGGAGCCATGGAGATGCTTATTGGAACGGTTCGAACCATAGTTCCTCTGGTGGAACCCACTCTGCCGTCTCCCTAAACATGGGAGGCTTGAAACTGGGGAGTTCGGGACGGACCAACCGGAGGTTTGAGAACGCCTGGATGTTGCGTCTTGAGTCTCAGAGTGAGCCCGGGACGAGATCGATTCCGTGGGACGGCTCAGTTGATGGATCGGGCGAGCGATTTGACTAATGGTGATGGATTTATTGCTGTGGTGGTGGATGTTGGCACTCGGGAAGATGTTGGGTTTCCCGCTCTCGTTGGAAACGATCGGCCAGTCCTCCGTGGTACTCCGTGCCTGGGAATGCATCTAGCCAGTTGTGGCTTTCGATCGATGGTCTGTCCACTGGCACACACGGAAAAGACCTGTTGTTTCGAGGGGATCAGGTTGATTAAACTATTGTACAAAGAATTTAATTGGCTTATATACTGCGCGTTATTCGCTGGACTGGTCCTCGGGAATCAAGCCTCCGGGCTCATAGTCCTCCCATCCTTCCTCCATCTTGTTCCTCTGGATGGCCATCCGCCTTCTCTTCAGTTTCCGGCGCTCTTTGTTTTCCATTCGCCGCTGTGCCTGTTGTTCTTCCCGGGTCATAGGTCGCCGGATTTGGCGTCGCGGAAGATGGGCATATTCAGGCGGTGGATAAGAAAAAATCTTCTTAAACAGGAGTGGGGTTTCTGCGGTCAAGTCTGTGTCATGACTCGGTAACTGTATCACTTCATCCCTGACCTGCGGGTGATATCTCAGTTGAAGCGCATACTCGTTGCTGGACGCGGAACAGAGCTCCCGAATCTCCACGCGCACATCCTCGTCGAGAGTGAGCTCTCGCTCCGACATGTCCTGGAAATACATGAATGCGGATTCGAAGTTGCCGGCATCCAGACACATAATAATGAGATGCTGGAATGTCGTGCCGTCAGGGATTACTCCGAGGGATGACATCTCGTGGACGACAAACATGCCCGCGTTGGGGTCTTTCGCCCTCCGACACATCCCGACCAGAGAGTTGTAAATCGAAGCGTCAGCCTTGGCCGAACAAAGCGCGTAAAGCTCTTTGTATAACGCAATCCCGTCGTCCACCATGGAGGGGTCACTGAGAGCCTCCTGCTCGCACATTTGAATCACCACCAGGGCGCAGCGGAGAGGAATCTCGTATTCCAAATCTTTCAGCCGCTTGAGCATGGCCCAAGCTTCGCGCGGATGAGTTCTATTCCGGATCATGTGGGTGAGGAAAGCATTGATTGAGCTTTGCTCTAGCGCAGTGCCCTCTGCATGCATTTGGCACAAAATTTCGAACCCGGAACACAAGTCACCAGATCTGAGATGGGTTTCAGCCAACCTCTCGTAGTCGTCCAGAGCCAGTGCCACATTGGTTTCAACCAGGAGTTCGATTACCGACGTAGCAAGCTCCGTATCCCCAGTGTGCCATGCGGTGGTCATGACGTTTTTGCAGATCCCATAAGAGGGCGTCAGATATCTCAGTTCCACCATCTGCCTCCATACATAATGGGTGGCTTCATGGTGAGCAGCAGCGCTCGCCGCATCCAGCACGTATAGCCACAAATCTGGCGTCATGTCATGGCCTCGGCTAGTTCGCAAACGCAACAGCCGTGCAACCTCCTCGAACTCTTCAAAGTCGCAAAGATAGTATATAAACAGACTGTAGAGCCAGTTCTCGACCATAATCTCCTTGACCTCCATCTTTTCGAGATGGTCCAAGGCCAATTCGAATTGATGCTCCCGCAGAAGACCAGCCACCACGTAATGCCAGCCGGTAGGACTTAGGGGCAGCCATCGATCTCGCATGGTGTGTAGAATTTCTTGTCGCAATACATAGTCTGGGTGAACCGCAAGGACCTAACCATCGGTTGCCGTCAGCATCCAGTCACGCTGTTATTCTCCTCCCGAGACAACATTATGGGGTCATTCATACCTGCAGGGCAGCATGCAGAGTACCGGAATCTGCAGTTATCCCATTCGCTTCCATCTCCGACAGCAGTTCCCGAACGTTCTCTGGCGAGCCACGCTCCGAATCCGTATTGGCCAAAATCAACGCCTTGTAATGCCGCGTGTCGGGACGCACATGCCGGTCCCTAATCAGGGTTCGTAATATCTGAACCGCGCTGACAACCCTGGGGCGCTTGGCCGTTATCTCCTGCAGTCTGGTCTCTAACCGTGCCGTCGGCTTTCTCTTGAGTGTATCGGGAACCCGGGATGGCTTCGGCGCGCGGTTGTTTTGTCGATGTGGATGGCTTGAAGCTCGCTTATCGTGTCGGGGGGTATCATTTTCGATGGCTTCAGGTTTATGTTCTTTCTCTGCATCGTAGTCCTGGGGTTTCGGGGTAAGGCTGCTCAAGCATCTCCATGACGGAGCCGATGTTGAATGTCCTGAGACGAGCGGAACTCTAGGGCGACGAGCTTTTCTGATAATCGGAGGTGCGGAGCGGACGAGAGTATCTGGATTGAAAGATGGACAGAGACAATGCCAGAGTCCATCTAGAATAAGTGTCCTCCGAGGCATTTCGATGCCTTGAAGAAACCGAATTACTTCCGCTCTCTAGCTCCAATAATCCCGGCAGGACCTCAGATATCACGTGATTGACGTGATCCACGACCAACTACCAGGACACGAAGACTACTCGGACTACTAAGATGTTCTAGTGATGTCTACATATATGTTGAATGGGAGCGAAACTGGGGGGTTGAAGGGATAAAAAAAAAAAAAAAAGTTGCGTTCCTAATTAAAAATAGCATAGATGGCACAATTCCCATTGAAAATACAGAGCCATATACGCCAAGGCCATGCTCGACTAGCCCGCCAAATGGATCTCCCTGGCAAACTACCTGCTTGTTCTCCCCCGGGGTATCTATCTTCGTCTCTTCTCATGTAACCGGTTGCTATTCAGTCCTAGTTGCCGCCCCGGCCTCGTCCCCGACCACGACCCCGACCACCGCGGCCGCCCCTATCACCTCTGTCGCCCCGGTGGCCACCGCGACCGCGGTTTGGTGGCTGGTTTAGTTGTTGCTCCTTGACGATCTCCACAATCTCCTCGGGGATCCGTAGGTATTTGATCTGCGAGGGATTAGCATTTCAGGCCGTTGCGATGATTCAAGGGCCAGGGCGCAATCTGCCATACGTTGTTTCCTCTGATGTACACTTCTGGTAGTCTGAAAAATCGATCGCCTTCGGGACTGGTCTGGACAACTTCCTTGAGTATTAAGTTCATCCAGTTGTCGCAATTGGCAAGGTGTCCGTTCAGCGTCTCGCCATTCTTGAGTTCGACAAGCATGGGGTGGCCTTGCGCGGCCGTCAAAAGACCAAGGGGGAGCTATTCATTGCGCATGCTCCGTTAGCATAAGATTCCCAATGGGCTCGCTGCGTTTGATGTGAGAGTATTCTTACCATCGTCGATCTGGATTGCTCAATACAAGCTGAAAGCCCTTGGAGAAAGTGGGGTTGAAAGCACGGGCGGCGACCTCACTTGGGAGGGTTGATGGTTTGAAAATGAATGCGCTGAATGTACAAGTGGTAGATAGCCCAGAAAAGATCCAGTAATGAGCCTGCCCGCGTCAATGTGTGAGTGTGATGACCAGCAAAAGCTCCGCACCAGCTTCCGGCGGAGATGATCGCAACCTGGAGAGCCCCGGAGAAATAAAAGCGCCGAGATCCGCCCGGTCAGGCTGTGGCTTACTTCTACTTCCTGCCTCTCATGACTTACTCGTCTATCAAGAATCGAGTCATCCTACATGGTTCGACTCCGTCAGACTGTGGCAGAAGATTTATTTGCATCTAAACTACACGGTGTGGGATTGATCTGCATCCATCGATCTTGATCAAGTGCGACCATTGCATACATGTAGTTCTCCCCACCGCTACTATGCGCTGGCCAGCGAGATTAGCCTTATTCTTTGGGGCCTTCGAGCCCGTCCTTTCCCAAATTACTGGTTCATTGTCAGCAGCTAACAAGAACACGCCTCCTTACATGCTGTTACATCAAAGTTAGTCCATCGTCTCTTGACGCATGCACATGTTTATCTCATTGTCTAAATGCCCGCATAGACGAACAAAATGCCACCGTGAGATTCCAAGCCGTATGCCCCGGTTTGGCGGACAGATATGATTCAGGCTTGGTAAGGATACTACCTTCAATGTGGTGCTGTTAATTGCTTCTGACAGTCCGGGCTTCAAGTCTCTAGAATTAAATGTTGGTGTAGCAGAAGTAGCCTGTGGTGGACAGGGCATCTCTTTGAATGGAGATGATCTGATCCACAGCTGGAACGGAAGTTCCGGATCTGGATCTGGATTAATTACATCATTCCACGGAAATGCAGCTCTGACTGCCAATTGGCAGAGTGTTTGCGTTCAACCTCCTGCAGGGGCATCCGAGAAGGATACAACACAGTACCTGACCGTTCGGGTTGAGCACATCGGAGATGTTGATATGGCCGGAGAACTCGGCTTTACCGCTTCCTTCAAGCAGATGCACAAACCGGTAATTCTCCGACTTTATACTTCACCGTGGGATTTGTCAGACAGTATCTCATTTGACGAGAACTGGGGCAGTATAGCGATGGTGAATCATCCTTCCGAAGACCCGCCAGACGAGTCTATTGGACAGCATTGGGACGACTTGCTGCAGTTGAAGGCAAAATACCACCAGCTAGGGCTGCAAATCCAAGAGGAAGAGCACAAGATCCGAGAAATGCTGCAACAAGATTGTCCAAGCAACCCCTCAAGCTGGAAGAATTGCAGGAGTCTCGGATGCAGGTTCAAGGTGTCAATAACCAAGGTTCCTGATCTAATTCGTCAAATCAGATATCGATTCGGACCTTTCCCATCGTCATTGCCTGCTAGCTATTGCTCGCGGTGCCCACAGCAAGGCGAATGCGCAGCAGCTTCTAAGCCAGAGTCGGATCCAACATCAACCGAAAAACCAGGCAGCTCACCCCAGAAAACACCACATACCACAGCACAAACTGTGCCGACCGAAGCCGAATACTCCTACAGCGCCCAGGACATCTTCACCATATGTGCAGTAGTCATTCTCGCAAGCGCCGTGCTCGTATTTGGATTCACGCTTTGTCGCAGCACGACGTATTGCCGACGACGTCGAGCAGACAGGGCTGCCCGCCGCGAGGAGAGACACGCGCGCTGGGCTTACGGCCTAGCCGCCCACAGGCTTCGATGGAGACAGTGGTGGGAGGGAAGTTCTCACTCTGCAGAACCCGCGCGAGAGGAACTCATATCCCCACCAAACTACAACATGGCCATGATCGAACAACCCGAACAACCGCGCCTTTCGGACCTGGAGTCCGATATACCGCCCGAGCCAGGCGTCATGCAAGCTGAAATCCGCGGTTTCAGACAGGCGCTTGCGTATGTCGGGGAACTTGTCCGAAGCCCAGCCCGCGAGAGAGAAGGGCCGTACTCTTCTTCTCCTCGAATGAACCCAAACTCAGATCACGAGATTACCGGGCTTCTCGGTCGGCCGGCAAATACGGCCGCATCGTCGACAGCGGGTCTTTCGACGGTGTTTTCAACGGGCACGAGTAGCTTGTTGAGTCTGGATACTCCATCGTCTGCGACGGTAGATACGCTGGAGACGGCGGATACCGCCGACCCGCCGAGCTACCATGCTTGAGTCTAGGCTCTCATTGTATTATTTATCTTTTTGGAACTAGTTCGTGTTACACAGTACATACTCCGTATAATAATGACCAAATTTTGTTTCATGAACGTTTAGAATTACATCGAAGCTTCATTCAGGCAGCGAAGGCAAGAAAGAAGGCTGTTATCGCACAGCGGTATGAACATATGACAGAAGAGAAAAAGGGAAAAGAAAGCGACAGAAAAGCAAGATCCTCAGTCCGTTAGACCTTTGCCCGCTTAGCCGAATCATTAGCATCCTCCTCATCTTCCTCCTCGTCGTCTTCAACGGTGAATTTTCGCTTCACGCGCTGGTCTTTGCTGGAGCCTGCCACATCCTCCACAACGGCGGTCGTTTCAGGATCGGCCAGATCGCCAAGTTCTTCCTGTCGTGCTTTCAGGGCCTCTTCGCGCTCGGTGAACGCCGTGAGCAGAACTTCGTAGCCCTCTTCCACGTTCGAGACGGTCTCTTCTAGCTTCTCGATGCGATCGCTCATGTCCAGCTGGATGAGCATGTCGCGCGACCGCTTGAAGAGACGCTGCTTAACGAGCATGCGCCACCAGTAGTATTTCCGCTCGCTGGGGTCGTCGGCATTGGATTTCTTGATCAGGAGTCTCGCCATGTTGGCTCCGCCGGCGTGGCGGTTCTTGACCGGGATCTGGCCGAGAAGGTACATCTCCAAGATATGGGCGAACTGTGTCGGGGCGATCTTGAAAGCGAGGCGCATGTCGTTTAGGGTTTTGGTGGGGATGATGGCGGAGGTTGGCACGCGGCGAGGTCGCTGCTTCTTGGAGTATGCCCCGTTGGGGTCCGGGTTGATGTCCACCTTCTGTTTCAAGAACTCGGGGTACAGGATGTGATAGTCTGCGGTGTCGCGGAGGGCGTCGAAGGCTTCATTGGGGTCCTCGACTGTCAGCTCAACGATCGTAGGGTCGTCAGTGCAGGCTGTATGGATCGTCGTATACAGATGGGTGCCGTGACCGGAGCCTTGGTGAGGAGGGAGGATCAGGAATTGGGCGATGCGCAAGCGGGAGGAAAGCTGTGCAAGGCTGATCTCCGGGAAAGGAAAAGGGTCGTCTCGAGCAACTGCCTTTTGCAATTGATCTTTCTGATAGTGCCACCAGCGATAGGTCGTCGCATATCCGACCAACGAGTATTGTGAGGCCGTCGGGGTAGGAGGTGTTACTTTCTCGTATCTAAAGGTAAAGTTTAGCCGCGAAATCAATATAAGGAGCAAGCGCCGGACGGTCGCATACATGAAATAAACAGTCCACCTTGCCAGGGTCCACTCAGGGTCATCTGTTGCCAGAGGAGTGCCAGCTTCGATGAACAGAGAAACGAAGATCTGCGCTCGGTCCAGCAGTTGTTGCACCTTGGGGTCAGCGAGAGAGCCCGCCCAGATTTCATAGGATCTCTGGCCAGTGACATAGCTGTGCACTAGCTTGCCCGGCGGTACAAAGTCTTTCGCATCCGCATCTTCTTGGACCGCTTTCTCATATTCAGGGAGGGTTACAAAGGCCTCTGGATCAAACACCGGCGTTAGAACTCGAGTTCGAGAAAATGATATTTTGGGGAAAGAAAATCTTTTGTGGGGTCGTTTACCTTCAGGAACCCAAGGCTTGAGCGTCTTCAGAAGATCGACCGCCGAGATATCTTCCACGGGTTTGAACTTCTCGTCGTAGGAGATATGGATGTGCGGGCGCAGGTCATGAGCTGCGAATCGCAAACGGATAATCAACCCTCTGTAGCCAAAAATTTGTTCCTCGTCACCAAAGATCGGATACGTAAACTGCGGGTGGAAGCTGGATAGTGTCTTCGGTTTTTCTTCGCTCGGCTGAACGACGGTGATGTGCACGGCGTCGTTGGCGTCGCAGGTCCCTAGGAAAAGCCATTCATGTCAGCCGGCCTGGAACTCGACGAAGAAGGGAGGAAGGAAGGGGCCAATGGTATAATTACAGTCGCCTTCGCCAGACATTTTTCCGACCACGACAGAAGGGGAAGAAAATTCAAAGAGGGGACTGGAATGGGAAGTTGGATCGAGACAGTGAGGTCGGACTGTCGTCTTTTCTCTGGCGGCGCGTGTTGAATCGCGTTGCGCGGGAGCTGGAGGTTATAACCGTTTTGGGCTTAGCGTCTCCGGGTCTAGGGGCGCCGATACGTCATTTCAGGATGTACGACAAATTGCCTCCATGGCGGGAATTGAATGTAAATGATTCCCAGGGAAATTCAAGACAATACCAAGAAACTGTGGTCCGTGGTCATGATGGGGCTTGGGCTATGGAAAGGTAGGATATACTTCTGGCACGCCATACCCGAAGGGAAAGAACTAGTCGATGCGGGGGAACTTCACCTCCATCCTCTACCTATACATTCTCTTCTCTACTTACGAGCACCCGAAGACCAGAAACTATTGCTTAGCTGGCCTTGATATTTGCGACAGCATGTCAGCTACTACTCCGCAGCGCATTGCCCTGATCGGGCTTGGCACCATCGGCATGTCGATGGCTGCACTCCATCTTGCTCGCGAAAACACCACAGTAGATGTATTCGACACCCGGCCAGACTTCGAGCAATATTTGCGCAAGACTCTACCGGTCTTTCTGAGTCACCACTTGACATCTGACGTATCCGAGCCTGATTCGGTGCTTCCAGAAGCAGTGGTCTCCTCGCTGATATCCTCTGGTCGCCTTCAACTCCACACTTCATTGGAAACGGCCTGTGCATCGGCCACCATCGTCCAGGAGCAAGGGCCGGAAAATGTCGCTTTCAAACAGTCACTCTGGAAACAGGTGGAGTCGATAGCACCGCCATCCGCTCACTTCTGGACGAGCACATCCGGCATTGCCGCCTCGATCCAGCAGGGTGAAATGTCCGACAAGACGCGCTTGTTGGTGGTACATCCCTTCAACCCGCCGCACATCATGCCACTCCTTGAGATCGTCCCCTCCCCCGAAACTTCGACGGAGCGAGTAGAATTTGCCCGTGCATACTTCTCCGTGGCCGGCTCGAAGCATCGACCCGTGGTGATCAAAAAGGAGATTCCGGGGTTTGTCGGGAACCGCCTGGCATTTGCGCTTCTCAGGGAGGCATGCTATCTGGTCCAGGAGGATGTAGTGGACGCAAAGGATCTCGACACGATCATGAAGGCCAGTCTAGGTCCAAGATGGGCAGGGAATGGTGTGTTCGAAAGCTACCAACAGGGCGGCGGAGAAGGTGGCATCCAAGCCTTCTTTGAAAAACTGGAACCTACGCTACAACAGGTCTGGGATGGACAAGGAAGAGTGAACTTGGTGGGGAACGAAGAGACCCAGTGGAAAGATAAAGTGATCTCTCAGGTGAATGAGGCTTACGGGTCCTTTAGCAACGAGCAGATCTTAGAAAAGGAAGCGAGACTGAAGGACTTTGTGAATGTACAGACCAAAAGCTATGGGCATCTCGACACCCAGAAGTGAGTATGCTTCCGACAAGGGTGTTCCCGGTCAACGTTGGATACTGTACAAATGATGTGAACGGGACATTTTGATTTGACCAGAATAATCCCAGTCATATTCATGGAGTAAACTGCATTTTATTTCTTTCCTCACCCATTTTTACAAAGTATCCAATAAAAACAAGTAAATAAAAACTTTGGGAAAATAAAGGGTCTTCTAGATTTCTGCCGGATCCCGTGCGCCTGTCGGTTGCGGAAAAGCTACTCTTCCCCCACACGGCTGGTCCTCTGCAGCTACAGGCTTTATGCCTTCGACTGGTGCAGATTCCATGGAGAAGGTTTGGTTTCAATTCCCGTCAACCTCTTCTGCCGCCCTATACATCACTTGCTGGTCCGGGACTTGATTGATGATTATTATTATTACTATTACTACTCCGTATTATTATTATTGACGATTTCCGGGACGGCGATTCCCCTGGCGCAGTGGGTCTTCCCGTCGTCGACCTCCGTTCCTTTTCCTTTTCCAACTGCGGCGGATCGCAATCTGTCCATCCCACGCCACGTCTTCTGCCTGTCCCCCAGGTACTCCCCGTGCTGGAACGTCTTTGCCCGGTCCTCGCTCTTGCATTTTTTTTTAATCCGCCCTCTGGTATCCTCAATCCAAGGCCTACGAATTTTGGCTTGCTCAGAGAAGGTTTACAATTGAATTGGCAGAATGTTTGAGGTTCTCTAAAGCAGCACAGACGCAGCTCTGGGAATCGACAAGCCGACAACTATGGAGGGACTTTTTACTCTGCTCGCTTTGAGCATTGTGATGGCCATTACGTGAGCTTTGAATGCCTGCATCTGTTCTGCACTGCGACCGTCAAGCTGACAGCATTGTTCGTTGGTAGATCTTTCGTCGTTGGCTCATTACCGCTCGCTTTTACTCTATCGCCCTCGCAACTTCGACTCATATCTTCAATTGGAATGGGAGTCTTGGTGGGAACATCCTTGATTGTTATAATCCCCGAAGGAGTGGAAACACTATATAGCGCGAACTCAATCAGTCGCCAGAAAGAGCTCAGCACTCGTTCGGCATCGGCAGTGCATTGGCAGCATTCGGCCATCCCGGCCGTTATCCCGAATGAAATCCCGACCCTGGACGGCCATTCCGATCAGTTCCTGCACGCCTCGTTACCGCCTTCACAGTCATCGGCCGATGACTCGACTACGATTCACGTCACCCGAGAGCATTTGCAGCGGCGTAAGGAGAGTTCGTCCGATGGTGACACAGACCACGACCACGACCACGACCATGAAGAAAGCTCACCGCACGCTTGGATTGGCATCGCGCTTATCAGTGGTTTCATTCTGATGTATCTGATCGACAAGTTGCCGGAATTCGCAACTCCATCCAAACAACAAAGACCACCCCATCATATTTCCTTGGATAATTTGGGATCTGGTCTGCGACGGAATTCGTCCCCCTCGCGCGAAGGGGGTCTGTTAGATGCCGGAAATATTCCTCGAAGCAGCCACAGCTTCGCCACAACCACGGGACTGGTCATCCATGCGGCTGCCGACGGAATTGCTCTGGGGGCGTCCAGCTCCGATGCCGGCCTGAGCTTTATCATTTTCTTGGCCATCATGGTTCACAAAGCGCCGGCTTCTTTTGGATTGACATCAGTGCTGCTCAAGCAAGGGCTTTCTAGCCGCGCTGCGAGGGCTCATTTGTTGGTTTTCAGTCTAGCCGCGCCTGTGGGTGCTCTGATGACGTTTCTCTTTGTACAAGTCATGGGCGCTGGATCTAGCGGTGACGAAACGGGCACCCGGTGGCGCACCGGAGTGCTTCTCCTATTCTCGGCGGGTACCTTTTTGTAAGTTCGGCAACGCGCGAAGTACCGTGCAGAGTGGCAGCCGCTAACATCTTTCTAGATATGTTGCCATGCACACGATGCAGGAGAACAGTCCCAACTCTGGTGCTCGCGAGGTACAGGTGAACGGATATGGCGATCCCCGAGACCTGCCATCTTCATCTGAAAAGTCGATGAGAGACTTGATAGCCTCCGTCATTGGCATGATCCTGCCGCTGTTTCTGCAGATAGGCCATGCCCACTGAAGCTCTATATATACCTTGCTCTTGCTGTTTTTGGTTTTATTTTCGTTCATCTATTTATCTATTGTATTTGAAGAATCTCTTTTTTCTGGTCGAGTTCTGAGTTGAGCATTTTTGGATTTTGCACCAAGATTTCTGTTTAGACGTGTACATTGAGTCATGTGAACACGACGGGGTGGAAGCGAAGCCATCTGGTTGAGGCTGTGCCCAGCATGACGAGGGCATACGTTTTGCTGTGGTCATAGAATACCTTGGGTGATGTTGGACGATTGCTTTTGAGGAATCCTGTCTTGTACTATTGTAGACAACGCCATTAGAATTGCATATTGCTATAATCATCTTTACGTAGAGGCGACTGTCTACTATAAAGAGCGAGTGGTGTCCGGTTCGAGGGCCGGACGATTCTGCGCTTCCTTCAAGTCTACCATCGAGCAAACCCGTCAGTCTGACATCGCGGGCGGAGTTGAATGTTCCTTCCTGACATGTGCCCGCCGTTGACCCCGGAATCTCAGGAAACGTTCCATCGGTTGGGTCAAGAGCTTACGATTGCCGGAGAGCCGAAAGGTTAAAACATCTGGCTGTACCCTTAACTCCTTATACTTATACAACCACGCCGGAGTATCCCAGATTGGTCATCAGGAGGACCGTCAGGAACAGAGCAAAGATAACTTCCCCTTCCTCTAAGCAAGTTGGTTAATTGCGGGATGGAGGCTTGCTCAGTTGCCGCGATCCATCGATCCATCTTTTTTCTTCTTTTTTTTGGGCCTGGTGGTTCTATTCCATTTGACCCTCCTCCCTCCGGTCCTTCTTCATCGTACCTCGAACAGCCCCTAAGAAGAATTTACACTATACAGGACCGTCAGCGTCATCATTGTCTGCTCATTCTCAGCTAAGTGGCTGTCTCCCACGACTGCTCTCCTGACGGGCACGTCTCGCAGGCGCATTCTCGACCCAACGGCGGCGCGTCTCGACCACGAGAAAGACTCCATCGCGAGTGGAGCCGGGCATCATCGACTGCGCACTAATCAGCCAGCGTGCAGGCTTGGCGGCTCCTCGCCGTGACCGCACCTGACTTGCTCGCTCCCCCGTCACGACATCCCGTCGCATGATCGAGACTTTGCTTCGTCCTGCGTCTTCGTCTTCTCCGCTTGCTGGCTGGCTGGCTTGCTGACTCTGCTGCGAATCACCGTCAATGCTGCTGCTTGTTCCTTTTTCTTGTCGTCGAGCTCCCCCTGCTATTTGTCTGTCCTCCCTTCACACCCTCCCCCCTCTTGGTCTCCCTACTACAACCCCCCTATTACCTATTTCTCCCCGGCTACGGAGTATCACCCGCCAGCTTCCCCCGAGCCGCCCGTTGGAGATCACCCATCTTTAATCTTCCATTCTTCTTCCTTTCCCCATCCCTTCATCCACTTGGCTGTCTTTAATCTCTTTAATATTCCGTTTCCTTTTCCCTTTTTCTTTTCCCCTACCCTTTTTTATTATTTTATTTTATAACGACCTATTCTTTCGTTCCTATTCTTTATTTCGCTTCCCTATCGCCCACGCTCGCTTCTATCGTTACTATCTATGAATGAAACATTCGTCACAGGCTGCGGTGCGAAACAGGTCCAATATATTAGTGCGAGTCGGGCGGAGTAATTCAGCATCCTAGTGCACCTGCTACAATCCCGATATTATATGATCATCCCTTGGACGTGATACCGTGATATCGTGAGTCGGTGCAGCGGGATGAGTCCGCGAAGCATTCCAGAGTCGCCGGCGACGGCGCAGTCCCGGCAGTGCGCTCCTACAGATTCAGTCGCTTCCCTTTCCGATAGCCATCCGAAGCCGGTATCCTCGAACAGACCCATCACTTCGATCCCGGCAAACCTCTTACCGTCAGCGCCGGCTTCGCCTCCCACCCCGGCCCCCAGTCCCACGCCTCATCAGGGACACCTGATATGGCAGCCCGTCGATGACGATTATGACCACTTCCTGACGAATGCGAGAATCCACTTCTCTTCGCTCTCGAATGCCAAAAAGCAGAGATTCCTGGAGGACATTCTGAGCTCCTGTGATAGCCAGCAACTCAGCTTCGTCTCGAGTTACGTCGCCCCCCGCTTGAGAAAGGACCCCTTTGATGTGTTTCCAAATGAGCTATGTTTGAGGGTAAGCCATCTTACACCCCTGACGATCCTGGTCGGCTTCGGCCCGTAATATGCACGGAATGCTGACGTCTTCCCTATCTTGTGCAAATAGGTGCTCTCTTTCATAGACGATCCTAAGACCCTCGCAAGGGCATCTCAAGTATCAAATCGCTGGCGCGATCTCTTGAATGACGACATAACCTGGAAGAACCTCTGTGAGAAACATGTCTTTGCATGCCGGAGGTTTTCGGAAGATCGGGACTTCGTTGAACCGCTCCCCAACCGGTCCGCACTCACCGTCTCACAACCACGCCGTGTCAGCAGCTCTCAGTCGAGTTCGACCTTCCCAGGTCTGCAATCCCGAGAGGGTTTTCCCGGGTTGCCGCACAATTTATCTGGCGACTTGGTTCCGGGGTTAGGGCCCTCACGAAGACGTCGGCCTCGCCCGTTGTCCTACAGGGCCCATTTTAAACAAAAATACATGGTGGAATCGGCCTGGAATAAAGGCGGGGTGTGCGCGCAACGATATGTCACCCCGGAGCAGGGAGTGGTCACAAGTCTCCACTTAACCTCTAAATACATCGTGGCTGCGATGGACAATGCAAAGATCCATGTGTATGATACGAACGGGAACAACCAAAAGACGCTAGACGGTCACGCAATGGGTGTATGGGCTCTAGTCCCGTGGGACGACATGCTCGTGAGTGGTGGCTGTGACCGGGATGTTAAAGTCTGGGACTTGGTTAAGGGGTAAGTGATTCCAATCCGTGTTCCGGCCAGTTAGAGCCAGGGAAGGCTGACAGGGCATGATGTAACAGGGAGTCAATATTCACATTACCCGGTCACACGTCAACAGTGCGCTGTCTGAAAATGTCCGACAAGAACACGGCCATTTCAGGGTCGAGGGACACCACACTGCGCATTTGGGATCTAGCTCGGGGGACCTGTAAGAGGGTCCTCGTTGGGCACCAAGCCAGTGTACGATGTATGGCCATACAGGGCGACACCATTGTTTCCGGGAGCTACGATACTACTGCCCGCATCTGGAGTATATCCGAAGGACGATGCCTGCGGACCCTTACGGGTCATTTCAGTCAAATATATGCGATTGCTTATGACGGCAGGCGAGTCGCCACAGGCAGTCTTGACACGTGCATCCGGATATGGGACCCTCAAACGGGTCAGTGCAATGGTATCCTGCAAGGCCATACCTCCTTGGTGGGACAACTGCAGATGCTCGGCGACACCCTTGTCACCGGAGGATCGGATGGGTCTGTTCGCGTCTGGTCTCTGACCAAGAATGGCCCCATCCACCGACTTGCAGCCCATGACAACAGCGTGACCAGCCTCCAGTTCGACCATTCGCGTATTGTCAGCGGTGGTAGCGATGGCCGTGTCAAGGTCTGGAGTCTGGAGACCGGGCAGCTTCTCCGCGAGCTTTCCACGCCCGCGGAGACTGTGTGGAGGGTGGCTTTCGAAGAGGAGAAAGCGGTGATCATGGCCAGTAGATCTGGTCGTACATTCATGGAGGTATGGATGCCCTATACCTATATCATTGCGATTTGCAACCCGAGTACATATGACTGACCGTATATCCGACAGGTCTGGGATTTCTCACCACCTCCAGATGGTGTGGAGGACGGTTCCGTCCTCGTTGAGAGTGGCTCAAGTACATCTGCCATGCGCTCCTCGTACGACACTCGGCCCCGAAGTTGCTTTTCGGACACGGGTTCGCCGGCGCCTCAAGGTAGCGAGGATGACCACATCATGCCGGATGCCCCATCCTCTTGACGGACACGATTCGATGTTCGAATATGATGATCATGTAGTATTCCTTTCCTGTCTTACGGTTTTAGACCCAACGGGCCAGACTGGGGCTTCCGCTCAGCATCATGGAGACACGGCCTTTAACTAGCCATCGGCAGCATTTGCATAACGGGTGTTGGTACTAATTATTCTTTTCCAGCTTTGTCGTTTCTTTCCCAGATCAATGAACAACATTCAGGAGTTAGCATGTCGGGACGTGGGGCTTTTGCGCGACTGAACATTTTGTCTGCGGGCATACAAGGGGATCCAATATCTCTTCATTTCTTGTTATTTCCAGCTATTTATTTCCATTCTTATTTACGTTTCTTTGCAAAAGGTTAGAAGATACCAACCACGAAAGATGCCATATTTCAATCTAAAAGAATTCTTGTTTGCCTGGACGTCCTTCTCGTGTACATACGTCACTCTTGGTTGCCGCTTCTCCGAGGCACCGACGGCCTTGGTGATGACTAAGCATCCCCGGCTGTGCTTCTCCGCTCGATTGCTGGAATTTGAGGTCTATCAAGATCGTTGCCTTCACACGACACTTCTCGTTTGAGAAGGAAACTCCTCCTTGGTTAAACTCGGTATCTCCACTGTGGCTATCTATACATTCTAAAGAAGAGAGCCCCGAGACACCTTCATCCCCCGTATCCAGTTCACTATGCTCGATTGCCCGGCAGGCATATTCACTGCACAAGCATTCCGGCCGTGATCCCATCATACTATTTGACCAGTGTCAAAACGAATGAACGCCATTTGGACTTCTAGTACCCCATAAGATAGTATTTCCAAAGAGTCAACTTCCCACCATTCTTTTGGTTTCTCTTTATCCCCCTCCCCGTGTAAACAAGAATGGTATATGGGGGAAAGCCAAGTACTGGGTGCTTTCTGTGCCGCAAGCGGAAGATCAAGGTAGGACACGATCCACTCCTCTGCATGGCTTGCATGGGTTGCCGTTTTGCAGGCTTCTATCGAACTAAACGCTAAGTTGAACGTCAAGTGCGATGAAGCGGTCCCCCAGTGTCGAAATTGCCTGGTCTATGGCCGGCCGTGTCCCGGCTATCGAAAGGACACGATTTTCAGAAACGAGACGCAAAAGGTGGAGCAGCTCATGAGGAAGAACAGCATTGTGCTTGCCGATAATGGACGAAGAAGCCGGAGTACTTCCACTAGCGGAGACAGTCACGACTCATCTTTATCATTGTACCGGGTTGCCGACTCCACGTGGGATGAGCGAGCCGTTTGCTACTTTTTTGATCAGTTCACAACCCTCGAAGACCATGAAGTCTGTATTAACCACTTGGGGTTCCTCCCCTCGTTGTATGCGACATGTCGAGATACTGGATACGACGGCTCCGTGTCGTCTTGTCTGCGGCAAGCGGTCGACGCAACGGCCCTGATCGCGCTGGGTAACGAGGTCAAAGCACCAAACCTCATTGTCAAGGCCAGGGATTATTATGGCCTGGCGATTCGAGGGCTTCGGCAAGCATTAGCTTCGAAGACGCTGGCCGTCAAGGACGAAACTTTTGCGACCATGATTCTGCTGTGTTTGTTTGAAGATATTGCAGGCGAGCGAAATGGGCTCGCTAGTTCACATACCGCGGGATTAGAGTTCCTCGTGAAGTTGAGAGGCGCGAACCAGCTAGGCAACGCGCAGGGTCGGGAGTTATTTAGCTTTGCATACGCTCACAATGTTAGCCACATCTCGGAACAGTCCTCCCCATCCGGTACTTGGTGTAACTGACGCTCTTCCTAGCACATCGAGATATTAGCTCTGAGAGAGAAGCCTCGATACCGCACCGACTGGATCGTTGATCAATTAGATTGCTCCGACCCGGTGATTGGGTTGATGGTGGTCGCGTCGAAACTCAGTCGACTATTCCTCGAAGCTTCGTCCTACCAAGGGCCATTTGGACTCGTGGAAATCGAAAAGCTTGTCTCCTGGATCGATGCCGGGCGCCTCATGGATCTGGAACTGGCTCAATGGGCTCAGCACTTACCGAACAACTGGCTTCCTCTTGACGTCTACTCGCCCACGGGCGAGTCTCTGCTAACCTACCAGCGCATCGCCGTTGCGACGATCTGGAAATATTACCGAGCCGTGCGCATCATCCTACAACGGCTGATGCTCGAGCTCCGCCAGACCCTCGCCTCGGTAGTCGACGACCGTCAAACGTACGAGGAAATCTTCCAGGGCGACGCCAACGTCACCGACGTAATCCAAGACATGATCACCGATACCTGTCGCAGCATCCCCTACTGTTTCGGCGACGTCGACATGAGCGGAAACCCGCCCTCGTCTTCCATCAACGACAAGCCCCGCATCCGAGCCATCTACGGATACATCATGCTATGGCCGCTGTGGTACACGTACTCGTGCGGACTGGCGACAGAGGCCCAAACGGAGCAGCTCCGAAGTGCTCTCGCCCGGGTTGGCTCTGCACTGGGAATCCGACTGGCGCTGGTCCTAGCCAGGGACAATGGACCCCAGCATACATCTCCGGGAGAGAACCCGTTTCGAAATCCCATGGGCGATTTTGCGTTTCCCCTGCAAGCATCGTCCATGCAGCTATGATCTCTGTCCCTCTTTGTCTTATTAAGCGAAGGCGTGTTTCATGGGTTGGGCCCATACTTATGACTATGTAATTCTTCACTCCTACTTGACTTGTATTTACATTCTAGCACATGCTTGATAACCAAACCCTTCTTACCTACCTAATAACCTTGTCGATGTTCGAGAACAACAAATGCATAAAATTATGACCGACGATTAGGTCGATCGTTACACCGACCTCGACGCCAACGGCAGCCCGCGGAAGTCATGACGTCATTGTCCTTCCTTGTCCGCCGCGTCACTCAACCCAGTTTCTACAGTCCTGCGTAGAAGCATTAGCTCGCAAGCCACCTCATCAGTAGAATACTCTGTAATGTCCCATAGCGAAATAGATAGATTGATTGATTGATGGGTTCCGTTCAGTCTGTCGGCACTCGGCATGCGAGGTCCAGATCTACATACTAGGAGTAGGAGTAGAGGTGCCGGTCTAGCCGTTCGCATCGACTTGTTTGAGTGGAGCAGGGAAGGGATGGTGCTTCCGTCAGGTGGAATGGATGTCGTTGATTGGAGTCGATCGGTTCCTCGGCTGGGGTTGGAAGGGTCTGTTTGCTGCTGACGACATAGGTTGGTCTGTCTTACTTGACCTTGACCTGGTTTGACTTGACTCGGGACTGGACTCCGTTTGTCTTTTATCTACTGGACTTGTCCGCTCCCTTGAAGACTTGGTTCTGGTAGATTTCTTGCGGAGAATTGTTGATTTGATTTAAGACGTTTTAATCTGCCTAGAGGTATACAATGGCGACTCAAGAGCGCAAGCTTCCTTTTGGGAAGATCGAGCCCAATTCGGCGAGGTATTTCGCGAGCTGTACGGTGGGCGGCATTGTTGGTATGTTTATGTTCGATGTCTGGGTGTCTGTCTTATGAATGGAGTGCTAATTGTATCTTCCTGTGTGCACAGCTTGTGGTGAGTTTGATTCCAGAGAACGCTCGACCCTCATGCAGTGGCTAACGCAGGGTCAATCCGGCAGGACCGACGCACACCGCTGTCACGCCTCTTGATCTCGTCAAGTGTCGCCGTCAAGTCGACCCCAGCATCTACAAGTCGAATCTCTCGGCATGGCGCTCGATCTACGCCAAAGAGGGCCTCCGCGGGGTCTTCTTCGGCTGGTCGCCGACCTTCATCGGATACTCGTTCCAAGGGGCCGGGAAATACGGATTCTACGAGTACTTCAAGTACCTGTACGGCGAGCAGCTGTTCCCGAACATGAACCGCACGGCGGTGTTCCTGGGCGCCAGTGCGTCGGCCGAGGCGCTCGCGGACGTGGCGCTCTGTCCCCTTGAGGCGATCAAGGTGCGCATGCAGACGACGCTGCCTCCGTATGCGCAGAACCTGCGCGAAGGATGGAGCAAGGTCGTCGCCAAGGAGGGCTTCTCGGGGCTGTACAAGGGCCTGTATCCGCTGTGGGCGCGACAGATCCCGTACACGATGACCAAGTTCGCGACCTTCGAGGAGACGGTCAGTGTGATCTATAAGACGCTGGGGAAGCCGAAGGAGAGCTTCAACGGGCTGCAGCAGACGGGGGTCAGTTTCTTGGGAGGATATATTGCGGGCATCTTCTGCGCCATTATCAGTCATCCGGCCGATGTGATGGTTAGCAAGCTGAATGCCGATCGGCAAGGTGCGTTTTTTTCTTTCTCCGGTGTTCTGTTTGTTTCGTGGCCTTGTAAACTGACTGAGTCGTCTAGCTGGCGAAGGCGCGATGAAAGCCGTGTCGCGGATCTATGGGAATATCGGATTCTCGGGGCTGTGGAACGGCCTGCCAGTTCGAATCGTCATGCTGGGAACGTTGACCGGCTTCCAATGGTTGATGTAAGTGGCCGTCTGACTGGTGAATGGACAATCGCTGACCAGTGTCGATAGTTACGACTCCTTCAAGGTGTTCCTCGGTCTTCCGACCACCGGAGGCCATTGATTTTGTGATTTGGTTGTGTTTAGATTTCGTTAGCGATGAGTTATGGTTTGATCAATATAATGAGTGCCGTAAATGATGTATATGGCCGGATTAGAGTAGGCGAAAATAAGAGAGAGAGAGTAAGAAAGAGTAGGAGAGGCAGAAACACCATCGCCGTCCGACCGCCTTCGATCCCCGGCCGGCAGAAACGACGGGGATTCCGGCCATCGCGACTCTGCCTGCCTTCGATTCCCCCGGCAATTGCGGCTGCACGGACTGCTTGACTCCGATACTTTCCTCTCTCATCCCTCAGTTTGAACCGGAGGTTCTTCGCCGTATAACAATCCACTGTTCCTCCCGTCTGAACCTTGGATAGAGCACCCTAACCCGTGGAAAGGGATCGGACCGGTACTTTCGCATCCAAGCCCGAAGCCATAAAGAGACCAGCCTCGTTTTACCTTTCCTCTTCGAAAACCTTGACAGCCGTGGCCTAATTCCCTCCACCGGATACAATCATTCATCGGCCCATCTGTTTCTCTCGTCGCATCGCACATAATTATTCCCTCGGCATCTACCTCGAAATCTACGTCCATTCATCCAACCTTCGGCGCGCATACATACACACACCTTCTCTAGCCACAGTCATTCCCATCTCGACCATCAACAAAAAGCACAATGGAACCTTCCAAACACACCACATCGATACCCTCGTCCAACCCTCCCAGCGTGGAGGTGGCCTACAAACGCAAATGCATCGCCCTCAAGAAGCGACTAACCGAGATCGAGACCGAAAATGAGCTCATGCGCCTCCGCAACCGTCGTGGCTGGCAATACATCCAGAAGATGCGCCTCGAGTCGTGCATCCTGCTTGAGCGTCTTTCCAAGGTCACCGGCATGGCCGAGGAGGCCCAGTCCGGCGTCAACCCCGAGTTGCGCGCTCGTGCGGCGGCCCTCATGTCCAACACTTCCACCTTGAACGGCAACGCGGGCGACTCTGGTAAACATGCTAGGTATTATGAGGACGAGACGGAGGGAAGCTCGGATGAGCAGCCGCCTACGGTACGTTGCTCTATTTTGGGGTGGTGATGCGTGTGTCTCGCAGTATCATTCACTCTCTTGTCTGTCATTTTTTGCACGCACTCTACCGTCTAGAAGCATCCAGCTAAACTCATACTACAGCCCCAAGAACGCCCCCTCCGAGTGAAACGCTCCCGCAAGTCGAACGTCAACGAGGGCGGACAAGACGACGAGGCCGACGGACCCGACGGCGCCAACCCCGATGCCCCGGGCGCCGGAGGATCCTCGTCTCTTCCGCGTCTAGCCCCGGCCCCTTCGCAAGAGGAAATGACCTCCTCGTTCCGCATCCAAACCGGCAGCAACGGCTCGAATGAGAAGGAGAACAAAGATTCCGACGCCAGCGATCGCGGGAGCCACAATCCAGAATCCGGCTCACGAGACAGGGCCGAGGACGCGGGGCCAGAAAAATCCACCACCCCGATGGATATGGATGCGAAAGAGCCGAAAGAGGAGAGCTAGGGATGATTTATGGATGATCTTTTTTTTTTCGATGTTCTTTGGTTCTCATGTATTCTTTTCGATTCTGGTCTCGCTTCGCTTTCTTATCTTTTTACCTTTCGTTTCTTGCTTGAGTTGAGATGTGACCGACCTTGCTTGGTCTATCTATCATGAGTCGTCTTTTTTTGCCCTGTTGCACCCTGTATCTTAATTAGGAGTTTCTTTGTTTCTCCCTATTTTCTCGTTATGTCAATCACCATCTCAGCAAAAGAACGCATACGATTTACTTCCCAAATCCTCTATCCCTGTCTTCTACATAACCCTTTTGTTTCTTATAGAATGGGATTGCTATTTATCCACAGTGACAATGACGACGGCAGGAAGAGATTATGACAACAGTAAAAATTAACATTTAGTTATCGCAATTCCATGCGCGTTGAACGGTCTGGCCTGATGGAGCAGATTCGGATGGTGACTGGATTGGTGGATGGATGACCAGCCCATATGAACATACACGACTTAATTATAGTACAGGAAGGCAATGTAGTAGTTCGTGGCAATGCACGACTGACTGGGTGGTTGGCTCGTCATTGCGCCTAAATTCCGGCACCGAAAGCAAACTGGATCAAGTAAGAGGACCGAGACTCCATGATGGATGTGAGTTTAGAGAGAAATTAAAGAGAAAAAAGGAAATCGAAAGGAACACTCTGCTTTCGGGTCTGGTGGCAACTGTGCATCCTGTGCAATGATCTCTTCGGGACATTTAATCCACTCCAGCGTATAAATCAACCACGATGTTGATAGCAGCAACGAGGATCTCGGCGGCGATGAGCACGATAACTATGTTACGTCGTTAGTAAATGATGATCATAATGGGTTGGGAATTAAACTTACCGATCCATTCGAGATACTCACCATGACGGTGAGTCAATTGTTCTTTCAAGACGGCCAAAAGATCCGCAATCACGTCCAGCCGTTCGGTCAAGAGACTCACGCGTTGATCCATCTCCAAATAGCTTCGGACGGCCTGGTAGACAGGTTCTAGCTGCGGTTCTGCCCACATTAGTTCCGGACTATCGAGGACAGAGCCCTGCAGATGGATATTAATGCGCAAGATGAACAGTTCGCCGATTTGCATGTTGATTTGTCGCCGTGTAAGATTGACACTGCCCGTCTGTGCGATCTGGGCCGGTAGAGGTGCGGTATTCGAAATCGTTTCGGAGACAAGATCTTCGAAAAGAGAGGTCTTGACGGATTGTGCCAGAGCATGTGATATAGCCAGCTTGATCATGTTGCTCTTGGGGTCTCGTAGAGAGATGAAGTCGTTGTATATCCGGGCTTGGTACTCGCGAGCGTAGTAGAAATTGAAGTTCTCGATTTGCGTGTCTTCCGGGCTCAAGATGGAAGTCGCAAATTTCGATATGTCGGAGAGAAATCGTGACTCCTGGGTAGGGGACATGCCCCATATGACGACCGTGCCGTAATCAAACAGAAATACTTCAGGGGTATGTATCGTTGTATCAAAGTCGGGCGTCTCTGTGGAATGAGATGCGGATATAACATTGTCGGATGTATGAGCCAGCTCAGACGGAAATTCCGCATCTTGAAGGTCAATCAGGTCTTCTCTTCGAGCTTTGGCACTATCGTCAATCTCCACCGCGCTGTCTGAGTACCTGCGCTCTCCGGATGGTCTCTCCGGGGGTTGGAGATTACCTGTGCCTATGTTATCATTCGAGGTATTCCGGTAACCCGACTTCTTCTCCTCATATTCATAATCATACGGAGAATAGACACATTCGTCGTACAACTTCGGATTAGCCCCACGGGTGTTGGCCCGCGATTTGAGAAACCTGATCACCCCGTCCAATCGATAGGAATTGGCAGTACAGTACGCCGTTACACGAGGGAGTCGATCTCTGTCTGCCTTTCCTAGCCTTGCAGCGTGACTTCTCGCAGCAGGTTCTTTAATTCGTGCAATCTGGGAGTAGACGTCGGACGGGAAATCATCACCCTCGACAGCTTCCTCAGCGGCCGTCACCGGATCAGGGAGCAGCTTGAGCTTCTGTGCCTTCTTCGTTGTTCGCTGCGGACCGACTTTCGAAGCTGCAGTCATCGGTGCAGATGCGGCGCTGTAAGGGGAGCCATGGCTGTTGCGACGACGGAGCTTGCTGTTCAGCGCGGATAACCCGGTCGGGCGCTGGCCATCGGAAGAACTGGGGAAGGAAGAGGCGTTCGAATGCAACGGTCTGAATGTAGGATCGGCAGAGGCAGCATCGTGGTATGTGCTGACCGTGGCTAGGGGATTGAATGTCACTGTCCGCGGCGGGCGGTTTCCTTTCGGTGACGGTGACGTATTGGAGGAAGCCGGGCGTTGGTGATGCTGGGGGAGGAGAGGCGTTGTCTCTCCGTTTGAATTGGAAGCCATGGTGGATTAGGGGGATGGAAAGGAATTAGCAAAATTCCGCCATTGACGGACAGGTCAATGTTCCGGGTGGAGGGAGAAACCCAGAGGAGGAAAAGAAATGGAGGTGAGGCAGAAAGAACCGGACGGAGCACTGAGAGCTCGAAGCTTTGCACGTGCCGGTTTTACCCCATGAGAATTTTCCCGTCATCGAGTGCAAATGGCCTGAGTCTGCGATCTACAATTCTGAATATCTTGGGGTCTCTACAATTTCCTTGAAAGATAGAAAAAAGAAAAAAAGAAAAAGAAATATACAAGATCTAACCCATTGCAGCACCTTGCTGGTGATCATTAGAAACTAAACCATCTCTCCTCCGTTCCGACCGTTTATAAAATCCTATTTACGAACGCTCTTGGAGCTTGATTCTCACATCCATTGTCTCATGCCTCCTACTCAATGACGTGGTAACTTGATGCGGTGGCACGATATTCGCCTCGTTCTTTTCTTGTGTATCCCCTGAACGACCCTCCGTGGTACACACCAGCATGACCCCTTCAGATCGGATTTTGACAGGAAAGATTGGGGTAGCGCAGACAACCTGACTGCTGAATTCCCAAGTAACACCTCAAAAAGACTCCGGTTTGGACTTTTGTTTGAGCTCAGCCAATTGGATGGCAACGCAACAATGACAATTTTGAGAGAACAAAGTGTAGGTATTTCATCGCCGCACAAAGCCTGAAGGGCCACCCTTGGTTCTCCGGAGACCGTTGACATTCCCCGTGCTGCGGGATTTATTCAACCAATTCTCCTTAGCATTCCGCCCCGTTTTTGAGGCCTTCGGCGCCAAAGAGGTTTTGGCCTTCTTCTGGGGAGGTTCGCCGTCTAGAACACGGATGGTGACATCGCCCATTCTCACATCCTTCGGGCGTTTTTCGTTCTTTTCGAGGAACCGGAGTTTGTTGGACTTCTTGGGGCCGGCTTCCGGTTCTTCCAATGGAGGCGTCAGAGGTCGAGTAGCAGGTGCCGCGTTCAAAATATCATCCGGAAGGAGGGCCGGAAGCGCAGACCGCTGTATATCCTGTGTAGTAGAGCCTTGAAGAGTTTCCGTGCTCTCGGAGAGCAAATCGTCTGCCAGTTTGTCTTTCTTGTTGGAGATCTTCGCTTGCGATTTGCGCAATTCATCCAATTGCCGTCTCTTTTCTTTCTTCGCCTGTTCCTCTCTGTGCAAGGATTAGATGGTTTCAAATATATAGATCCGACATGCAATTAATACTCACAGTTGTTTGGCTTGCTCCAATTTCTTAGCTTCTGACCTGATCTTGGACAGTTGTGCAGAATTGTCAATTGCTTCGGGAGCCTCATCGTCACTGCTGTCGTCGTCGCTATCCTCTTTTTCCTGGGGTGTCTCTGTGTTCTCTTCGGCCGGGGTATCTAGTGGGATTTCTGGTTCTTCGCTGTCGAATCGGAAGTGCTTGGTCGGCCCATTTGTGGCCGGTTTTTCTTCGGGTTCAGGCTCGGGTTGAGCTTCAGGCTCCGGCTGAGGTTCGGCCTCAGCGTCGACTTCCTGGGTCACCTCTGGTGTTTCGGATGGTGTTTCGCTCTCTATTTCTTGATTCGACTCCAGGCTTGCTCTCTTCCGGCGCTTGCCACCCCGAGTTTGGGTGTTTGGGGCAACGGCAGTATCGGATTTGCGCTTCGACCTCGTCTCTATCCGAACCTCAACATTCGGGTTTGTAATGGGTTGCGCGACTTCGAGAGTCCGCCGTCTAGTAGCCGTAACCATGGTGGGTTTGCTGCCAATTGCTTTTTCTGGCGAAGTGGAGTTTGTTTGGGGGGGCTTCGAACGAGATTTGTTGGATGATGGCCGATGAAATAAACCTTTTGCTGCAGTGACAATCTGTGAGAACATATGCGGCCAGAGAATCCAAGAAAGAATTCTTTGCAGCCCAAAGATGGAGGGGAAAAGTGGCTGCGTCCAAATCTGGCGCAGTTTTACTTGCGAGGAAAAACGGCAGATCGATCAAATTTCCACGGAACCACCTTTCTCCGGGGCCGGCGGTCACTTGTGGGGCCATCTTGTATACAGCAACAGTCTGTAGAATTTCAAATGATATATCAAACATGGCATTTTTCTGGTATCTCACATGCAGTCCATATAAAAATAAGAAGGATATCGCTCAAAACCCGGTCCTAGAAGTATAAACTCACAAACATCACATCAAACCAGCTCCGTGCTGTATATGAAGACATCCAAAACTCCAATCCCCAAAGATTTTAAGTACTTTTTCCATGCGCATTAATGAGTGATCAGGATGGCAAATCAAACGCCGCCAACAAATGCGCTAAAATAGCGTACTTTTGCCTTATCAAGCCGTTATCATTTGCGTGCGTTCCGTGAACTCCTCATTTGCAGCAATGAAATCATCTTCTCCAATATCACTGGTCTCGTCCCAGAATTTTGCATGCTCTTCACCATCATCTCCACTCACAGTCCACATGCTTTCTCGGAGACGCTTGTTTCGTTCCCGGTCTTCTTCAATGCGCTGTTCGATCTGCCGTTTGTCGACCCGCATCCCGCTGCCCCTCGAGCCACGAGGTGTCCCGTTTTTCGATTTCCCACTGCCTTCGGGTCCCTCCTCGGCTTCCAAATCGAGGTGTGCTGGGTGAGTTTCTCGTTCTTTGAGTCCCGCGTCGATTTCCGCTACCGTCTCCGCGGAGAGGATGGCCTTGGTCTGGAGGCCGTTCAGAACCCGACGCACGTGTTTTACATTCGCTGCGCCTGACCCATCTGCCGGGGCAACGGCGTCGACGACTCGCAGGATGTCTCTTTGGATCATCCGGACGTAAGGAGAGTGATCTTCTTTGGTGGCCATTTCGCAAAATTGCTCGATGAAATACATGATGTTGGCCCTGTTGTTCATGTTGTTCTTTGGCAATGAACGGTCCGCGTCAGAGTACTTCTCCACATCAGCAGCAATACAGGTACTCACCCTTTCAAGCTGTTCCAATATACACGAGTGAAGGTCCTCGTCCAGATCGCGATATTTGAGCGCATAATGCGCGGCTTTCTGCGACGACGTGACGGAAGCATTCAGATGCTGCAGCTGCAAAGTGAAGCGCATGCGAACCTCAAACGGATCGACCATCATACTGCCGGTTGCCACTTTTCAAAAGATAGGTGATAATATAATGTGTAGGAGTCCCTGTAGGTAATTGCGAGTCAAGAAGATCATAAAATAGCAATAAAGCCCGATTGGTCTCCGCGAAGGCGGTGGGCTTTTGCGCTGGCAGAAAGTGCGGAGTTCTGTCGGGCCTAGATTCCGGCGGAATTGATCTATGGCCTTTGCTTGGATGCTTGGTTCAAGGCCCCCAGTATGCCGCTGACAGGAGGGAATGGCATAAACGAAGAAAGGGAGAGGACAAGAGTGAATTGTGAATTGGACGTAAATGACCAACACCACATCCCAGAAACTTTGGAAAGACCAATCTTGTTGACGAACATATATACACATTGTCAATCAACAAAATAGAAGCCATACGGCTAATCGAAGCAACAGAAAGAGCCAAAATCCTCAGCAGCAACTCAGCATACTAGACATGACGAGTGTCAGTTCATTCACACTAACCAATTCATCCAACCGTATCCCAAAGATAAGTCTATGTACTGAGTATAAGAACCAAAACATAAAAGAAATTTGCGCCAGTATCTCAAAACCCCATCCCAGATAGGAATATAATGAAAATCGTCAGCTTGGCTTGCATCAAAGCGACTGCCTTCTATCCATAGAGCTAGCAAGGCTAGTTATATCGTCGCCTTCGAGTAAGCCGACCTCCTCCGCTGTGCTTGGCTGGTGGAAGTTGTGTTCCTTCAAGGTTTCACCCTGACGGAAACCTGACCCGTTAATGACGGACCAGACATCTTTCTTAGTGAGCAACCCCTGAAGTATGCCCTTATTGGCAAACAGAATGTAACGGAGACCAAGTCTCTGGAACATCTGTAGTATAATCAAGAATGTAGTACCGCTGTTGAGAGCTATAGGTGTCTGGTCCATCCAAGGCCGTAGGTCAAGGGTTTCCATCGGATCTGCGAATGGCTGGTGAGCAAATAGCACCTGCGTCGAACCAGACAGCTCACGGTCTGCTGGTGTCGAGGAATGTTTCAAAGCGTATGAAAGTTCACTGCGAGAGATGTAGCCCAGAAGAATCGGATTGGATGTATCAGTGACGACGGGGAATCCGCGATAGGAAGTGGTATCGAGAAGTTGACGAAGAGAGTCAATGGTATGACCAACAGCGATGATGGAAGTAATGTCATCAACCACAGTCATCACTCTGCTCGCAGGCACATCCGGGGGAGCGGTATCGTCACGGTGGTCTATAAAGGGGTACTCGTTCAGATGGATCCAAGACTCATAAATCCCACGTTTCCCGAAAATATCACCACACCACTTAGACAGCATGACCGCAATCATGATCGGAATAACGTAAGTAAGAGCGCCTGTTAGCTCGAACATGATAACCACAATTGAGACGGTCATTCTTGTGGCGCCACCAAGAGCCGAGGCTGCACCGATAATTGCATATATTCCAGGTGTCACGCAAGGGATATCAGGATCGCATCGTCCAAAAAGAAAGGCTCCTGGGTACGCCTCTTGCCACATTTTGAATGCCGTACCCATGGCACGTCCATAGAGAGCACCGATGGCGACTGACGGAAGAATTATACCAGCAGGTATATCGAGACCAAAGGTCAGCGACGCAAGAAAGAATCCAAGAAGGGCAGCTGCAAGCAGAAGAGCTATCGTGCTGATCGATACCGCCCCAGGCTTACAGAGGCCAAACAAGTCATCATTCCCACTGCCACATTCAGCAAAAAGATAATGGACGAGCTCGGAGTTTTGGGCTCTCATGAACAAATTGGGAAAGTTGATCAAGGAGGTAAGAAAAGCTATGGCAAGCACTTCAAGGATGGGGTAAGACCAGCCTCGAGTTCGTCGCCATTTTGCAACTTTCAAATTCAGCCGAATTAGAAATGCGCCATATATCCCACCTACTATGCCAAGTATAATGAACGGTATCATTTCAAAGCGATGCCATCCGCGTGTATAGGTGACCTGGTAAAGAACGATGTTTCCTGTTCGGAAGGGATTGATCGCCTGTAAGGTAACTGCAGCAATCATAGCACATACAAAGCTTTGCCACATCGTCTTATCCGGGAAATAATATGACAATTGCTGAAGTACATTAGTCACCACGATTCTAGACTTCGTCTTGGATACATACCTCTAGACTAAACAAAACGCCTCCAATAGGCGCTCCAAAGGCAACGGAAACACCTGCAGCTGCAGCCGCCGATAAAACTTCGCGTTTCCTCGCTAGATACTTGATTAGAATTGATCGAAAACATAAACTGTGCATGTGTTTTTTTACCTTCATTGTTGTTTAGGCTTTCGAAAGGTTTCATTAACACATTGGCACAGCAGCATGCAACATGAACGAGTGGGCCTTCTTTACCAAGCCACATTCCAGAGGCCACAGATAAGCACTTTTGATGAGTTAGCGATTGAAGACTTATTGACAAGGCAGAGGCTGCCTACAAGACCTATTGACTTGATGGCAAGAGTCCAAGCTCCCATAAAATGCTTTATAACAAAGCCACCAAGAACCGTCTTAATCTCGGGGATTCCACTATGCCTGGCATAGATTGCGTAAGACCTGACCAATATGCTAGCACAAACAGCAAATAGCACCTATATAGCCAGTCAGCACACTCAAGATATAAGTGAGGCCAAGATTCCCCTACAGAATAAAGAATATAGAAAATATATTCGACTGTAAAGCCGCCGCCCTTGGAGGTAACCCCAAGTGCACTTCGCCATGGTGTCCAATCTATACATTTCGAAAGGTCTGGTTCAAAATACGAGATGAGCATATTTTGAGATAGAGATCTGATGACGGCAGCTAGCTTACCTTCGTGCCCCCAACAACAGAAACTCCGGTTTAGGTAAAACCGTCCTCCTCCGGAACCGCTCTTGCAGTAGCCGGTTTTAAGATCTCCCAACCAATTGCTTGTGATATCAATGCAAGCTGCAATGATGCCAACCGAAATACCTGTGGCGATCAATACGATCCAGACATTTCCCGCATTGATGAGCTTGTGAATATATCCTGTGATGCCTTGTCCGCTGGAATAAAGCACCCTCTTCCGTTGCCGTTCTTTGGAGTATTCGAAAATCCAATCAATAGCCGTTAGATCGTCGTAGCCTACTCGTCGCCCTGGTCCCTCGATGTACCAATCGAGTAGACCCCCATCTTTCTGTGTATTTAAGTTCTCGCTGGCACCAACTGATCCAGGTCTTGACGACGAGGTATCGCCTGGTAGATGTTGGTTCTGAGAGGCGGAAGGATCGCTACCGGTAAATATCTTGGACAAACTGAACGTAGACCGGTGTTTCTGTTTGCGCTTGAAGGAGATTCTATATAGAGGTTTTCATTAGCGTTATAGAATAATTGACATAAATTGAGTACTCACGGTTCGTTCAGTGTCCCTGCCAGCGGGTCACTGAAATCGTGGGAATCCGGTGAAACTATGCCACTATCACGGTATCCACTCGGAGATTGTCGTTGTCCATTCGGTGGGTGCGTGTACGGGTACTGGTCATCGGTTCCTCGGTCAGGGTGCATCATAGACATATCGGATTGCATGGATGAATGAGTGTCCTCATGGCAGGAGACGAAGAACCCGTTATCCCTGAACCGGCCGGTCTCGATGTTTGCGACAACTGGTACGAATCTCGGAGGTGTGGCTCAAGCTCCGCGCGTGCGCAAAGGCGGTGACTGCAGTCCATGTGGGGCTGCGCCACATATCGCGGCAGAAAAAACGGGCCTAAAAAAAAAGAGTCGCTATTGGAACGAGATATTTTCAACTTTCTCTCCTCGTTAGATTTAAACTCGGCACATGAGTTCCTCTGGCGGCAGGATTCAGCATGGACGCCACGCCTGCCTACGAGAGGGCTCTCAATGAGTCCCAGATTCATGAACAGCTTCCGAATGAGATTGCGGAACTCATTCGCACAGCTTCTGGGACCCAGTACCTGAATGCGCTTGCGGTTGGCGCTTCAAGGTCAGGATGTACAGAAAATTTCTTTTGCATATATGAACCGATTTTTGTGGACCTGGCTGCACGATGGCTTTTGTCAGACTCTCATCTGAACCAGATCGAAGTTATTTCCGCATTTGCGCGAATCTTACCCTTCGCGCCGTATCTTCGACCCTTTGCAAGCCAATATGCCATGTCTCGGGCTGGACCTTTGTCGGCGTTGGCTGCGTCCGACGAGCAAACACTAATGCAGACGGATGACGCTACGATTCGCACCCTACTTTTATCAATCTTCCGACTCCTTTCATACGACTTAGAGACCTTTTCGAATGCCGTGTCGCCGTCCCGACTCCAGCTCCTTTTCCGACACCGAGACTCGTCCGTCCGATACCTTGCAGTGCGATGCTTTGCTCTATATGTGCGCGCAGCTGATGCTGCCACGGAGAAGTTGGTCCGGGCAAATATCACCGGGGAGGCTTTTGAGGGCATTTGGGAAGGCATCACAATCGATTATCGCTGCCTTGGCCTATGGGAAGAACGCCGTTGGGACACCCTTGCCAAGAGGGTCGAGCTTGCGAGATCCAATCGTTCGAGCGTGGAAATCCTAGTTCAGGTTGAGAGTCTACGAGAATATTTCACACCGCGAACTGCCGAGGTTTGCGGTGTTCTGATTCCACGACTGAATGACACGCTGCCCCCATCGTCTTCAATGGTGAAAACACCGACTGCTGTGGGAAACCTGCGGAAGGTCGCTTCATCTTTGAACACTTCTAGTCCTTTGCTGTTGATTGGTTTGCCAAACTCAGGGAAGACCTCACTAGTCAATGACATTGCGGCGACAATGGGCCAATCAGAATCCATGGTTACACTTCATCTGAATGAACAAACAGATGCTAAAAGTCTTCTTGGAATGTATTCGACATCCCCGACCACAGGATCTTTTGCGTGGCAGCCGGGTGTGTTGACTAAGGCGGCAAGAGAAGGTCGCTGGATCCTGATTGAAGACTTTGACCGCGCTCCTTCTGAAGTCATTGGTCTCATCCTCCCTATTATAGAAAAAGGGGAATTGACTATCGCTAGCAGAAAGGAGCGAATCAAGTGTGCTGAGGGATTCAGAATCATTGCAACGATGAAGTCTTCGTACAACATCGCCGGTGAAGAGATCGCCCCAAACACCACTATTCTTGGGAGCCGGTTGTGGCAACGGGTGTCTATCGATTCCCTCTCCATTGACGAGATCCGCGAGGTGATAACTCAAAAGTTTCCTCTTCTGGAGTCTCGGATCCAGATCATCATGAGCGTTTATCAAAACCTCTGTTCCTCTTTTCACGGGAGTCTTGCGATCAAAAGCTCCCAAGGCCGAACACCAGGTCTTCGTGACCTAATCAAACTTTGCAGTCGACTGCACAAACGACTCCAGCGCCTAGGCGTAAAGACGGGTTACGAAGCTACCCCTGAAGGTGCCGACGATGAAATATTTATGGACTTCGTGGACATCTTCCTCAGTTATATCCCCGAAAAGTCAATGGCAGACTCCCTTGCTCTGGTCGTTGCGTCAGCCCTCCAAATATCGCCTCAGCGAGCGCATTACAGCCTTCATGAGCGAGTTCCAGCGTATTCAGACCAGGGAAATAGTCTTGTACTTGGAAGGGAGATCTGCCGAAAAGTCAAGGTGCCTACTGGGTCATTATCCAAGATGGCATCTGCCTCATCGCGCTTCGCCTCCACAAGAGCCGCTGTCAGTCTCATGGAACAGGTGGCTGCTTCCGTACAAATGGCAGAGCCTGTTCTTCTTGTTGGAGAGACTGGTATTGGAAAGACAACAGTCATCCAGCAACTGGCTACTCTTTTGCGGCAAAAGCTTACAGTAGTGAATTTGTCACAGCAAAGTGAGAGTTCTGATCTTCTAGGTGGTTATAAGCCCGTGAACATTCGTACTATGGCTGTCCCTATGCTTGATGAATTCACTTCGGTGTTCGAGTTGACTTTCTCAGCAAAGAAAAACCACAAATTCCTCTCATCCGTCACGAAGAGTGTTACCACAGGAAATTGGGTGCGCTTGGTCAATCTTTGGCATGAAGCTGTTCGGTTAGCGGAGGGTGTTTTCAAAGCAGACAAAGGTCAAGAGAAAGAGGCCGAGGAAGGACAACCAGCCAAGAAGCGGAAACTCGATTCACCGAAATACCAGCAGTTGCGACAGAGATGGGAAAGGTTCGCTGCGCAATTGAATGATTTCGAAGCTCAAGTTTCCCAAGGCGATGCCAAATTCACGTTTGCTTTTGTCCAGGGCAAAATCGTCAGAGCGCTGCGGAATGGTGAATGGGTCCTACTCGATGAGGTCAATTTGGCTTCGCCAGATACTCTGGAGAACATTGCCAGTCTTCTGCATCATGGTAGCGACGGCGCACCATCCGTTTTACTTTCAGAAGCCGGTGATGTGGAGCGGGTTTTCGGGCACCCCGATTTCCGTATCTTCGGTGCCATGAACCCGGCAACAGATGCAGGAAAGAAGGACTTGCCTCCTGGCCTTCGCTCTCGGTTTACTGAAGTATACGTGCATTCTCCGGACAGTGACCTTGACGATCTACTATCTTTGATACAGAAGTATCTTGGTGACCTGACATTAGGCGATTCCAGAATTGTATCGGACCTTGCACATCTTTACATGGAAACGAAGAAGCTTAGCAACGAGAATAAGCTCACAGACGGAGCCGGGCAACGTCCACATTTCAGCATAAGAACTCTCGTCCGGGCCCTCATCTATGTGACCGACCATGCACACATTTATGGGTTACGTCGATCCGTTTTCGAAGGGTTCTCCATGAGTTTCTTGACTGTTTTGAGTCAGGAATCGGAAAGGCTTCTGGCGCCTCTACTGGAGAGACACATATTCACCAATGCGAGGAATGTTAGAGCGCTTCTTGGGCAAACCCCCAAGCCCCCCAGTGATGGGCATTCTTATGTGCAATTTAAACACTACTGGATGCGGCAAGGGAACACCATCCCCGAGGAACAGCCTCATTACATCATTACGCCTTTCATTGAGAAGAATTTGAAGAATTTGGTTAGAGCAAGCTCAACTCGCCGATTCCCAGTTTTGTTGCAGGGTCCGACTTCTGCTGGAAAAACCAGTATGATTGAGTATCTGGCAAAGGTCTCCGGCAATAAATTTGTTCGAATCAACAATCACGAACATACAGATCTTCAAGAATATCTGGGGTCATATGTTTCCGATGAGGACGGAACTCTGCGTTATCAGGAAGGTATTATGGTCGAAGCATTGAGGAACGGATACTGGATCGTCCTAGATGAGCTGAACTTAGCGCCATCGGATGTCCTGGAAGCATTGAACAGACTTCTTGATGACAACCGTGAACTATTCATACCCGAAACCCAGGAGGTGGTTCACCCGCATCCGAATTTCATGCTCTTTGCGACGCAAAATCCCGCTGGTCTCTATGGTGGCCGGAAAGTGTTATCCCGCGCTTTTCGCAATCGTTTCCTCGAGCTTCACTTTGATGACATCCCGGAAAGTGAACTCGAATTCATTTTGAAGGAGCGTTCTCAGATTGCGCCTTCATTTTGCACTCGAATTGTATCCGTATACCGGAAACTCTCCCTCCTCCGCCAAGCAAACCGACTTTTCGAACAGAAGAACAGTTTTGCCACCCTGCGTGATCTCTTCCGATGGGCACTCCGACGAGCAGACGACCGTGACCAATTAGCAATCAACGGCTTCATGCTACTTGCGGAGCGTGTTCGGAATCCACAAGAGCGGGCGGCTGTGAAGAGCGTGATCGAAGAGGTCATGAAGGTCCGTATCGATGAGGATGTGGTATATAGTGCTTCAGAGCTAGACAAGCGTGCGCCTCTTCTTAAGACCCTTGCTCCTGGAATTGTCTGGACGAAGGCGATGCGAAGGTTATTCATCTTGGTCTCCGTTGCACTTGAAAACAACGAGCCAGTTCTACTTGTTGGAGAAACTGGTTGCGGAAAGACCCAGCTTTGCCAGGCCGTTGCTGAAGCTTACAGGAAGCAATTGCTCATTGTCAATGCCCATGTGAATTTGGAAACCGGTGATCTTATAGGAGCCCAGAGACCTGTAAGAAACAGGTCCGCCATCGAACAAGCTTTGCTGAATGATCTTCGGTCGATGCTTCCTTCAGAAAATGTGGAGTCAAGCTCAATCGAGGAGTTAAAGCAAGCTTTCAGCGCATTGAGCGCCGACGAGCTGCAAACGCGCGATCCGGAGACAGTGCAACGAATCGTGAAAAACATTGCCCGCGTCAATGCTCTGTTTGAATGGTCCGATGGAAGTTTGATTACTGCCATGAGAACGGGACAATTCTTCCTTCTAGACGAGATCTCACTGGCTGATGATTCGGTGCTGGAAAGATTGAACAGTGTCTTAGAACCTCATAGATCGATTCTCCTTGCAGAAAAGGGCCCGGTCGATTCAATGGTGGTCGCCGATGATGGATTCCAGTTCCTTTCAACCATGAACCCGGGAGGAGATTATGGAAAGCGTGAACTCTCAGCAGCCTTGAGAAACCGAATGACTGAGATATGGGCGCCCCAACTGTCTGAAGATGAAGACATTCTCCCCATTCTCCAAATGAAACTTGAGATGAAATCGGAAGATGTCCCTAAGGGCATGTTGCAATTTGCGAAATGGTTCAAGTGGACATTCCAGAACTCGACGACTGAATCGCTTTCTATCCGTGATCTTCTCGGATGGGTCGATTTCGTCAACAAATGCCAGACTACCGACCCTCTATTCTCGATCGTGCAGGGAGCGGCGATGGTTTTCATAGACACTATCGGTGCGAACCCGGCAGCGATGCTCGCATCAACGTTGCACGATCTTGAAGGGAATCGACGACGATGCCTTGTCAAGCTACGAGAGCTCTTTAATGTGGATGCCGAGGGCATTTATCTCCAGCGCTCAACCATCGATATAGAGAATGGTTCTCTACGCATTGGCCCGTTCATCCTGGAAATAAACGGCCAGACAACGCCAGACCCTGAATTCATTATGGACGCTCCTACCACCATTGCCAACTCGGTTAGGATCGCCCGTGGGTTACAATTGCCGAAGCCCATTCTCCTCGAAGGCAGCCCAGGTGTTGGAAAAACCACGCTTGTGACAGCTCTTGCCAAAGCATTGGGAAAACCTCTCACTCGGATAAATCTGTCTGAACAAACTGACCTTACAGACTTGTTTGGATCAGATGTGCCGGTGGAAGGTGGTGATGTTGGTCAGTTTACCTGGCGCGACGCTCCTTTCCTACAAGCAATGCAGCGTGGTGACTGGGTTCTCCTGGATGAAATGAACCTTGCCTCCCAGTCTGTTCTTGAAGGTCTAAATGCCTGTTTGGACCATCGTCAAATGGTTTACGTTGCAGAGCTTGATCAAACATTCAAAAGACACCCCGACTTTGTCCTCTTTGCTGCGCAGAACCCGCATCATCAGGGTGGTGGCAGAAAGGGACTTCCGGCCTCTTTTGTCAACCGATTCACAGTTGTGTATGCGGATAGCTTCACCAACGATGACCTGAAGAGGATATGCGCAAAGCTTTTCCCCGGAAGCCCTTCAGCACAAACCGACGGACTGGTAGATTTTGTGTCGAGGTTGAACACAGCCATTGTTCAAGAACGAAGATTAGGAGCAGTTGGAGGCCCGTGGGAAGTCAATCTACGAGACATTCAAAGATGGCTCCAACTAGCAGACCGTGGCAATTTGCAGATCCCGGCGATCAATTTCCTTGATATCATCATCTCTCAACGATTTAGATCTCAAGAGGATCGACAGCTGGTCGCTCAAATTTACAAGCAGGTCTTCAAGGATACTCCAACAGCGGCCAAGAACTACTACCACAACCTCACGCCAGACTACATGCAAGTTGGTTTTGGGACAATGCGAAGGGATCTGTTCCTCCAGCAAACCCCTGAACCCCAGATGAGAATACTCCCGCGAGATCTTTCGGTTCTCGAGTCTCTCATGCTATGTATTGAGCAATCATGGCCCAGTATTCTGGTAGGATCTTCTGGCTGTGGCAAAACCACTTTGATCCGAAAGCTCGCGGCCGTAAATGGTGCTAGCCTGGTTGAGTTGGCCCTGAGTGCCGACACCGACACAATGGACCTGATCGGTGGCTTTGAGCAAATTGACCACAAGAGAGAGGTGTCGTCGCTGATGCAAGATATCTCGCTGTTGCTCCGACAATATATCATTTCTGCCTACTCCTCGGGAAGCGGCTTTGACGGAGTCCCCGCCTTTCTTCAGCTCTTTGAGGCCCTACAGGAAACGGAAACTTCCCTGGACAACATTTGCTCATCGCTCACGACACTATGCCGGCTTTATCCGGAACAATCCCTTGAAGTCCTCCTTCTCCGCGCTCAGGATTTGTTGGAGAAGTCAAAACAGTCAGACAAAATGAAAGTGGGCTTTGAATGGACAGAAGGTGTCTTAACTCAGGCCGTGCAACACGGCCATTGGGTTATCCTTGATAATGCCAACCTTTGCAACCCATCTGTTCTGGATAGGTTGAACTCTCTTACCGAGCCCAATGGAGCTTTGATCCTCAATGAGCAACGGACCGAAGATGGATCTGCCCGCGTTATTAAGCCCCATCCAAACTTCAGGCTATTCTTGACAGTTGACCCTCGTCATGGAGAACTTTCACGCGCCATGAGAAACCGATGTGTTGAGGTTTGCTTCCTGCCTCAAGAAGATGACAACATTGTGGGCACATTCACGCCTTCCTATACATGCCAGTCTTCCCTATATCGTCTTCGCTCTATCTGGAACTTCGATTCCTCAGTCACCTCTGAAGACCTAGCGCGGATAGCTTATGAAGTGTGTTTGGACCACCTTTCGATTGGAGACCTTGCGTATCTCCAAAAGAACCTCAACTTCTTCCTGCCGTACTGTTCGAATTCCGTGAAAGAGTTGCTCTCGTCAATGCTTCCTCAATACGTGTCCGCTGTGCATGATAATTCGGGCTGGAAGCCTCTTAACCATTTCAACGGCTCGATCGCACTTGGGGGTGCTTCCTTGTCGATTCAGGGACAATTACAGCCTCTTCATCCTTTGGTCAATGAGCCACTAGCTTCGATCTTGTGTGATGATGCGTCCTTCACTCCCCTCGCAATCCTGGCCCAATTACAAGAGTCTAAGCTGGATTTGCATCACTTAAGGCAGAAGCTGCAACAAGCAGACGAGTCAGGAAAGTATTTGAAACCGAGTCAAATGAGCCGGTTGGAGCGGTCTCTAGCTTCTGGACGCATTCCTGCTCTCATGAAAGATGCAACTCAGCCAGTTGGCTCTTTCTTGTCGGATTGTGGGCAAGCAGTGTACGACTTCATCCAGGGTTTGGATCAAGACATTCTTCACGCTCCCCAAATTCTCCCCATCCTTCAAGCAATTATCAACTTCACCATGGATGTCTTTAGACTAACTGCAGCAAATGAGGTCGATGAAGGTGAGTTCCAGGTGTATCTTCAAATTGGTAGAGAGCTATCTGCCTCATTGGCAAATTCTTGGGCCCTTTTGAAGCCATTGGCGTTTGCTCTATCCCAAGCGCTTGACCGATTCCAGGAAAACTGGGCATTGAAAACCGGGCTCAGCATGCAGAGACTCTGGGAATCGTGGAGGCCTGCAACATCCGCCACGCAAAGTCAATTGAAGTCTATTCTGGATCTGGAGGCTGTTGCTTCTGAGTTTACTGACATTGCCATCAAAACTCGTCTTGATTTATCGAAATTAAGCCGAGTTCGCGACTCTCTTATTAACGCGCAGCACTCTATTCTCGTTGACGGCGCAGACGAGGGAGAACTTGTGCAAGTACGTTTTCATTCTTTGTTTCCATCCTCAAATCCCCCATATCAGTCTTTAGATGCTTACTCGCAAATAGGGTCTCAAACAGATGGTAGCGGAACTGGCAAATGTCACACAAAACCGCGAGACAGCTCAGAATCCATACTTCCTGGATGAGTTTGAAGCTCTTTGTCAATACCATGACTTATCTTCTGTGTCTCAAAACAAGGGCGGTAATCAGGTTATCCAATCTGTGCTTCCATTACTGGCTGGCCGCCCTGCCCGGCCTCTGGATGTTTCGATGTTCCAGACTCCAGTTCCCAGTATCCTCCATAGGCTATCACTGTTCTCAGGATCTGGACATTCCTCGTCATTCGGCACTGCTATCAATGGCACCTTCTCTTTGGATCTACTCAAGAAATTGACATTTGTCAATCTCACGAGCTTAGGTCAAATGGATTCCCTAGAAGTGGAGAAGCAGACCCTATCCAAGAGCTTGACCTTGTCTTCACATGAGATTGCCATGGATCAGTTTAGCACGCTTAGGCGAGTGCTGTCTGAACTTACTCGAGAGCTTATTACAGTACACAAGGAGTTCTTTGAGCCGCAGTCGTTTGAGCAATTGGTTTCTACATTGGAATCAATCGCTAAACAAGGCATTTCTCCTGGCTCCCAGTTGCTCAAGGTTCACCTGGAGAAGAACCTACCAGGTGATCATTACTTCAAAGCTTTTGCGGAACGAGCACTTCCAACACTTCTGGTGTCTCTGTCGACTGATTCCGTGCATGCAGAGGATGCTGCAAACACCGGGGCTGCTGTGGTTCAGTTGGCTGTCATTCTTTTGCGACTTTTCGTCCCAGACAAGCCATTTGATCCCTCTCTGAGCCTGGTTGTTCAAAGAGGTCGCCACTCACAGCGCACCTCTGAGCTTACAACTAAGGCACAAGCAATCTCCTCGTTTGAACTCGGCTTCTCCGGTCAGGCTAGGAACATACGGCACGATATTCTGCAGGAACAATTGCGTGCCCTTGGCTCGGCGCCTCCCCCATCTTCTATCACTCGACCACAGGTCTCGGAGATGGGCTTGCTCCATGCAGAATTCTCAAGTTTAGTGCGGTCTGTTCTTGATAGACATCCCGAAAATATTGTGAACGCACCGATCGAGAAGGCATCAGAAAGCTTGGTGGGATTATTGCGTGATAACATCCACCAGCTAAGCCAACGTCTAAGCACGAACTACAGATCTTATGATGACCTGACGGTTCCTGTTGTTCGTTTCCTTCAAATCTTGGATCTCGGGCTTTCTCTTGCCTCCAGCAGATTCCAATCACCAAACGATATGCAGGCTGTTCAAACCATCAGCGAAAGCACACCCTTCCTTGGAGGTCGTGCTCATCCCATTTCGGCTTTCGAAAGTCAAATCACCGATTCCAACCCCAAGCGTGCTATCGATTTGTGGTTCCACAAATTATCATCATTGAGAGTGGCCGCGAATGCGGATGCAACTGTTCTTTCTACTCAGGCGGGACGTAACGCTCTTTACAAGCTGTTTGATCACTTCCATGTGTTGTGGAAAGCAAAATTGCGGGAGGATCAGGAAGAAGAGGCACAGAGGTCGAACTTATACCATTACAAGGGCTCCTGGGAGGATGGCGAGGAAGTTGACGAGAAGGAACTCAATGAGCTGTTCCCTACTTATGATAACGACACAGCTGAAGAAGACGCTAAACCCACCCGCATTGATCCCAAGGCAATCTCTGTTCGACTTGCCTCCCTGCACGCCAAGCTGTTCCGAGTCGAAAATCCCGCGAGCGTTCTGACAACTTACGTCAAAGAATCTGCTTCGTTGCTTGGTTCTATCTGGTCTGAGAAGGATGGTTCGACATCATATGTTCATCCTAAAGAGCATATCTCCGGCTTACTCCTGCTGTTGGAGGACGCCATCAACATCGAGACAGATTCCGCGAACAACTACAATTTCTATACCGATGCAAACATCGGAGAAGCCAGGAAACTTGTCTCTTTGGCACTGTCCACGCAATCTCGATTCCTCCAGATCCAGAAATCTTGGCCCGACCATGCTGTTCTCGCAGACGTTATCATGTGTTGCAATGAAATTCTCCAATTCAAGCACGCCGAGCCTGTTGCGAAGTTCATTACCAAGCTTGAGAAGCTGCATGGACTGGTTCATGAGTGGCAGCTTGTTGCAAGCAGAGAGTTCTCGGCGGTAACTGTATACGATGAGATTACGGCCTTGACTATCAGTTGGCGACGAATTGAGTTGTCCACTTGGGCTAGGCTGTTGGAGATCGAGAGAGAGAAATGTGCGCAAGATGTGGGCTCGTGGTGGTTTGTTGCCTATGAAGCAATCATCGGTGCCCCCATTCGCATCGCGGAATCTGGACCAGAGGAAATGAGCAACCACATTCTCGAGGTCATCTCAACATTGGAACAATTCTTCCTTTCAACCACCTTGGGCCAGTACAGCGCACGCCTGCAACTCATCAAGGACTTCCGGTCTCTGCTCCTGCTTTACGTTGAAGACCTTCCTTCCCTGAAGCAACTCACCTCCGCTTTGGACAACTTCATTCAGCGTTACACGCAGTACGAGCCTGTGGTGAACAAGCTTCTGCACGATAGAAGAGTGGCCCATGAGAAGGAAATTAAGGAACAAATCCAGCTAGCCAGCTGGAAAGACACGAACATTGTTGCTCTCCGAGACAGTGCCCGACGATCGCACTCCAAACTGTTCAAATTGGTCCGCAAGTATCGGGAAATTCTCAATCAACCAGCTCAGCAGATTCTGGAGCAGGACATGCCAGAGGATAATGAGGAGCCCAAGCTCTCCAACCAGAGGCCGGACTTGTCTTCCGCAAGCTTCCCAGGAGCTCTTGAGGTGTGTCAAACGGTTGACAAAGCCTGGGCCAATCGCCCGCCCAGATTCAGGGATCCGAACAGTACTGTGGGCAACATGACACACATGTACATGTCCATTCCCGCCGAGTTCGATATCGCAGGTGAACTCGAGGGCTTTGTCAAGTTCTTCATTGAGAGTATCCATGAGTTCAGGACCCAAACACCCAAGGTTTTGACCGAGGAGAACAAGGATGGAGTGCAACACCTCAAGGTCCAAAAGCGTCGCTTCTACGCGGACACTTTGCGCCGGATCATGGAAATGGGTGTCAAGCGCAGTGCCAGCATGAACTTGATGGAAACGCAAGCATCCGTGTCCCAAGTTCTGGCCACCAGCCCATCATTAGGAGGCAATACTGTGCAGAATGGCATCACGAAGAGTGCCGACCTCTACTTCCATCGATTCTTGGATCTACTCCCTCGTGTCCGTCAGGCATCGCGCAATTACTCTGAAGATCTCAGTAACGTGGAGATTTCAAGGAGCTCGGGATCCATCGAGCACTTGCTGTTCTTGATTCGCAAGCAAAGAACCGTAATCTCGCCCGCACTCTTTGATCTCGAGGCCCTCCAGTCAACGCTTGTCAAGACTGCAAACATGTGGACCCTGGGCTCAAAGTCGATCTTCAAGCCGAATGCCGAGTTTTCGGAACAGAAGCAGGACGTCTCAAGGGCTGTCTCGTGGTTGGTGCCTATTCTTGGGCTAGCCGCGACAATTGTGGAACTCCACACCAAATTCTCTGGTATCGACTCTCTGGCCGTCTCTAATGGCTTGCGCTCCTGGAAAGAGACCTTTGACGGCTTGCGTAAGTCGTTCAACAGTCTTCCGGATCTACCAAACGGTGTTACCTCTCAGGACCATAAGGGAGTTCTCGAGGAGGCTTCATCCTCTTTCATCGAGCTGAATAATCAAATCCTCCAGTGGACTGAAGCTCGTCCTGATCTCTCCTTTGCCTTGTCCCAGGTAACCCCTTGGACCAACGTCAATGTCCACTCAATCGAGGGGGCGCATGCTACCGAGGGATTGGCGATCGAGGAGTTTGACGGAGGCCTTCTTGCAGCAGTTGACAAGATCCTCATCGGCATCCAGAAACTCAAGGAGGCACCAACTCTGGTCGCATCGCCCGGGCTGCTGGCGCGAAGTGACGAATTCTTCAGCAAGGCAGTCAAGGCCATTCATCTGGCCGATATCACTTCATCACTGGACTCCGTCCTGGCAACGCTTCAGCATGTTCAAGCGCGCGCAGATTCCGGTCTTGCGTTCGCAAGCGCATTGCTCGCCAGTCTGCTTCCCATCATGAACAAGTACTGTCACATCTGCAAGGACCTTCTGGATCGGTTCATCACCGTCCACCGTGAAACGTGCAAGATGTCGTATGTGCTCGCGAAGTCCTTCAACCAGATCGCGTCTGAAGGATTCTGCACCCCCGCAGAGGCGTCCGGGGAAGAAAGCAAGTCCGGACAGTTGGAAAGCGGAACTGGTCTTGGTGACGGCGAAGGTGCTGAAGACATCAGCAAAGATGTCGGGGCCGATGAAGACCTGTCGGAGCTCGCCCAGGAACAGAACGAAAAGCCCAACGAGGAGATGGACAAGTCAGCGGACGCAGTGGACATGGACCAAGAAGATATGCAAGGCGAGGAAGGAGAGCGCAAGGAAGACGACGATGAAGAAAAGAACGAGAGTGGAGACGAAGAGGAAGATGGTGATATTGATGAGGAAGTAGGAAGCGTGGATGATCTTGATGCTTCGGCAGTTGATGAGAAGATGTGGGATGGCGCCCACGACGAGCAGCAAAAGGAGACCGAAAACGAACAAGGCAAGGGCCAGTCTGAGTCCGACGAGCAGACTGCGGCGCAGGAAGAGAAGAAGGATGAGAAGGGAGAGGAGGGTGAGAAAAAGGAAGGCGAAGAGGATGAGGAAGAGGAGGAGGAGGATGAAGAAGCCCCCGAGGAAGAGGGCGAGGCCGTTGGACGTGAAGACATGGATGTCACAGATCCGCATGCCAAGGAGGAAGAGGCTCTTGACCTTCCAGATGAGATGCAACTTGATGGCGAAGAGAAGGGCGATGAAGGCCAAGAAAGTGATGACGGCCTTGACGATGACCTGTCGGACATGGGCGCTGCTCCTGCAGAGGAGGAGCAGCCGAACCTTGATGGTCAAGACGACAACCAAGAGAATGATGGCATGGAGCCGGGCGATGAAGAGCAAGAACAGGATGAAGGCGAGGGAGAAGGAAATGAGGACGACAACATGGCTGAGGCTGAGGCCGATGGCGAAGAAGAAACCGAGAAGCCCGGAGAGGAACCCGAAGAAACGCCCCAAGATGACCTTCTCCTCCAGCGCGACGAGAACGAGATGAATGGAGAAGATGTGGCACCTAGCGAGGCTGTCAATGGCGGACTGGGCGCTGACCAGGACCAGAATCAAGAAAAGGGCGCATCCGGTAATGCACAGCAAGAGAACGGCGCCGCCGACCAATCTGCTGAGCAGCAACAACAAACCGGTGCTTCTAAAGACGGGGAAGACAGCGAGCGACACAGAGATGCAGGAGGTGCCGACGACTCCAACCCTGAGGACCCTCAGCTGCAGGCATTCAAGAAGCTGGGTGACATGTTGGAAGAATGGCATCGCAAGCAGAAAGAGATCAAAAACGCTTCGAACCAGGAAGACGAGGATTCTCAGAATCCTCTGCCTCAGGATACCGACATGGCAGATGCAGATTTCGAGCATCTCGCGGACCAAGACGATGTTGCCGATACTCAAGCCCTTGGTCAAGCAAATGAGGATCAAGCGAAGGCCCTCGATCAGAACAAGGGCGTTGAGTCGGACATCAAGCCTGGTGAGAACGAGCCTTTGCCGGACTCAGATGAACCCCAAGAGCTTCCAGGCAATGAGTTGGAGGACGAAATGCAGCTGGACCAGGGTACTGCGTCTGCCGAAGGACAAACCGCAGGCGCGATGATTCCTGACAGCTCGCGCACCCAGGAGCGCACCACTGACGCTGCCGGCCAACAAGAAGTCAACGAGGAGTTGGATGAAGTAGACGCACATCTCGCCGCCATCCACCTATCCTCCACCCTCCCTCCTCTCACTCCACGAGACGAGGCCCAAAAACTTTGGTCTCACTACGAATCCGTCACCAACGACCTCTCCCTCTCTCTGACCGAACAACTTCGCCTGATTCTCGCCCCAACCCTGGCCACGAAGCTGCGCGGTGACTTCCGCACGGGTAAACGCCTGAACATCAAGCGCATCATTCCGTACATCGCGTCGCAATACAAACGCGACAAGATCTGGATGCGCCGATCCATCCCCTCCAAGCGCAACTATCAAATCATGCTTGCTGTCGACGACAGCAAGTCGATGCTGGAGAGCGGAAGTGGGCAGCTTGCTTTCGAGACGCTGGCGCTCGTGTCGAAGAGTCTCAGCATGCTCGAGGCCGGCGATCTCTGCGTGCTCGGATTCGGCAGCGAAGACCACGTCCGTGTTGCGCATGACTTCGGCAAGCCGTTCTCGTCGGAAGCCGGTATGCAGGTCTTCCAGCACTTCAGCTACCAGCAGACCGGCACCAACGTGCGAAAATTGATCGCCGACTCGATCGCCTTGTTCCGCGAAGCTCGCTGGAAGCAGTCTCCTGGAGGCGGCAATGCCGATCTCTGGCAGCTGGAGCTCATTATCTCCGATGGTATATGCGAGGACCACGACACTATTCGCCGCCTTGTGCGCCAGGCTCAGGAGGAGCGGATCATGATCGTGTTCATCATCGTGGATGCCGTCAAGGGCAGTTCCATTCTGGATCTTAGCCAGGCCAGCTTCGAAGCAGACACTGAGAGTGGAACTGGAGAGATGAAGTTGAAGATGAAACGGTATCTGGAAGGATTCCCCTTCCCTTACTATCTGGTTGTGCGCGATGTTAAGGAGTTACCGGCTGTTTTGGCTACGGCGTTGAAGCAGTGGTTTGCAGAGGTTGTTGATGTTTCCTCTTAGATTTTGTTTGTTTTGGTTATAGAGAAAAGTTCAGCGGTGTCTGTTTATTTATATTGCATGTGAATATTATTTGTTGCTTGTTAGATATTAAGAAAATTCAAAGACTTATATGAATCTTATTCGTGAGACATAAAAGCACTGGGACCTGAATTGATTACTGATTGATATAACGTGATTGGGCAAGAATGCAGGAGGGAAAGGGGGTTATTTGTTTCTGCCTGGAAATATCCAAATCTCCTTATCTTTGCCATGATTCTCTAGGAGACATCCACGGCAATCTAGTGATGAAAGCTCTGGTATAAGGATTGCCGGGGATCCTCGTTGATTCTTACGTTCGTGGTCTACTTCTCGGGTCTTGCAGCGAGTACATGATATTCTATGTCACCAGTAATACGAAGAGCTTGTTAAAGAAGTTAACGCGTGTTCACAGTCCAGTTCCGCCATGTACCGACCAATGAAGTTATACCACCAGAAATCTTCCTGGGTGAACCTGAGTGCTGTGGTGAAGTCCCAATACTCAGGACACCAGCCTGCCGACTCCCAATCCAAAAAACCTGTAACCTGTCCATTACGCACGAGGATGTTATGATGTTTGAGGTCGCCGTGCGTGAAAACAACACGATGAGACATCGAATCTATTCTTTTGGCACGATCAAGTGCATTGTGGTATTCCGTTTCCGATGGGAATCCGCCCGACCAGGCAGGGCTCAGGAGGTACTCGTTGAACTCCTGTTCCGACTCGAAAGGGCCCGCGAGATGATTGGGTATGCGGACATTCCTGATCGCTGTGCCCAACAAAGAGCAAACTCGGTTCTCCCCCCACGGACTTTTCCCCCGCCGCATCGCTTCCAAATACCCTTTTAATTGCGATTGGATTGAATCTCGTTCAGCGTCGCTGAGCGTTTCGTAAACTCTGCCAAGTTCATCGCCGGGGATACGAGTCATCAGAATCGATACTGGAGCATGCGGACTATCTGGATGCTCCCCATAGCAGATCACCCTCGGAACTGGGAGGCCTGCCCTTCTGGCAACCTGCATGGTCAAGACTTCTTCCAACCGAGTGCCATCCGACCACTTCAGGATCAGCCCAAATGGAAGCTGAGCGATCTGGTTATCGTAGGTAGCCCCAACCCAGCTACAATAAGATCGAGAGAACCGTCTCAGATATTTGTGGAAAATGCCCCATAACCGGCGTACCTGAGGGTGCGTCGCGCGGGGGGTTTCGGGGATTTGGCCAGACACTGTATGTGAGACGTGGTTTGGCCAGGTAAAATCAGGCAGGAAGCAGCGTAGTACTGAAGAAAACTCCATTAAAAGCGGGCATGAGGTTGTAGACAAAGCGCAAGAGACCGGAACGTAGTATTGAGCCTGATAGGAGAAGAAAAGTAAAAGCAAATTAGTTTTCTGGGCCAGATGTTGTATTAATTTTCCCTGGGCTGTGATGGTACGGCGTATCAATCCGCCGTTTACCAAAATAAATAAAGTCCACGCTCCATATTAAAAAGGACTGAAAACAACCAAGTTCACCATCCGTACTTGGACCCAGCCTCCTGCTTGTTCCTCCGTCCAGAGGCAAAACTCTCCTCCAAAGCCTCCCGCTGGTTGCTTGCTGCATTGACCAGCTGCTGCAAACTGTGTTTTCCTGGCGCAATCGGACGCACCGGGTTGTGCTGGACCGCCGCAAGATCTGTATTGTGCGCCATCTCTTGGTTGGCAATGTACTCCTTGTCCGTGTTGAAATGGAGGACTCGAGACTTGGACGAGTCGGCATTGCGACCAAATAGTTGCCGTCTTTGGGCGCGCGACAAATTGAGATCGTCGGCGATGTTATCCAATGTTTCGGCCGGCCCTGTCGCTACGCCCGCGGATGTTAACTCGGATTCTGGCGCCGTCGGTCCAGCTGTAGGGGCTTCTGAGGGGGCACTGTATACTAGTGGCTCGTAGGTGGTGCTTGTCGTTTGGGCAGGAGGAGCAGCTGCGTCTGGCTCAGCCGATGACAGCGAGAAAAGGCTGACTTTCGGTTTCGGTTTGGGCGCAGCAGGGGGAGGTGGTGCCTGTTCTTTTGGCGCATCGACAGCAGGCGAGGAAGTCGTACTAGTAGTCGTGCTCGTCGTATTCGTGGTAGCAGTCGTCGTCGCAGGTGCTTTCTTTTTCTTCTGCTGCGTTCGTCCCACCGACAACGGTTTGAACATCATCGGGTTGCCCTTCAATTTCACCTCCACCGGCTTTTCCTTCACACCCTCCTCCCCCTTATACTCTGTATTGGTCTGCGTCTCGCCAAATTCCTCCGTCTTAAGACTCCCAGCCTTGGGTATCGTCTCATCGTCATTCTCACCACCGCCACCAGTCACTAAGTCGAAAGCCTGATCCCTCCGCATTTCCGCATCAGCCTCGCGATCAAACCCCGGCGCAGCCCCCGTCTTCAAACTAAAGACCTTCCGCACCGACGCGGCCTTCGCGTTTTTCTCCTTCTCCGCAGCCGGGTTCCGCTTCGGCGCTGGTAGGAAAGAATTAAACCCCGAAAACAGTCCCCCTCCACCGCCTATCCTGGGTTTCTTGCGCGCAGGACCATCGTCGCCGTCCTGATCGTTGGGTTTCTCGGACTTGATTTCGGGCAGGGCCACGCGGATTTTGCGCGGGTTGCTGCGATCAACGATGGATGGGAAGGATGCGCCGCCGGCGGAGGGTGCTGCGGGAGCCGGGGTCGGTTTTTGCGTCTTTGGCTGCGAGACGGGGGTGGTCTCGGGTTCTGAGTCGGAATTCTCGGAGTCGGAGTAGGATACGAGCGCCATGGTGGGCTTGCTGTGTTGTTAATGGTGGTTGAGGCTTCGGAGTTCTGGTTCTCCGGCTTCAGTTTGAGGATGGAGGGATGACTAAGCATGACATGTGCTTGTATGCTTAAGCCAGTCAACGCAGCATTCTTCACTCCATGTACTTTCCTTTCAATACCAGTTTGCGCGATAGCTGGTGTTCTAGTGCTATTTTGGTAGCCTGGCAAGGGCTAGCCTCCTGCTTCTAGCGAGCTACAGCGCAACTAACATTGAGGATGCGAAGCTCGAAGATGTACGACACAACGAGAACTATAAACCTCGTAACAGTCTGATATGAAGACTTTATGGGTTCACTTTTTGGTTAATCGTACCATGTTAATGACCATGTTGCTTTGAAATCGCCACGCTCCCCATGGCACTAAATCGGAGAAACAAAAGCATCATGTTTCAGAGTGGATTCTCACTCCAAGCTGTTGACGAATGCATGAACAGTTTCGCAAATACTCTAGCAAATGTCCCATGCCAGCATCTTTGGGGTTTCGATGCTATTTCCTCGAAGATGTTTACCTTCGCAGATGCACACCACCCTGTGGACTCGAAACCACTCCAGCACCTGCACAAGCTTGAGGTTACGCACGCAAACATCTCTATTAATAACATATTATCCAATAACCAAGAATATGTCTTTCTCTGCGGCTTCAGTTCTGCATGCTTGCTTAGTAGGGCTAATCCTGGCCACATATATTACTCAGATATCCCGTTCCCTACAAGGAATTTCAGATACTATAAGATCAAGTTACTCCGTATAAAATAAATTATAAACTATTATATAAAAAGTATAAAAAACTATAATTCTAAACTAAGGGTCAGCTAATAATATACTTAATAATCTTATATTTTTTTTAAATAATAATAAAGTTCTAAAAAAACATAAACAAATTATTATATTAAATAATAAAAAGAAGAAAAAAAAATGTAAGGGGCAGCCACGAAGGTTCTGTTCCGGGCACTTGGTTCCCTTAAATAGATATACCAAGGAGTTCAGGACGCCTGCAATATACCTACAGACTGCCTACTACGCGCTAAGAGATATAAGAAATTAAAAAATAAATATAAAATAAATAGAATTAATTACTTAATCTCCTAGAGATTAAGCAGGTAATCTCTTTTAATAAAGGGTTTTACAGGAATTAATTCTTAAATACCTTAGTAACCTTACAGACCTCTGGTAGTCTAGTTATTTTATATTTTATACTAAAATAGGCACTAATAATAAATACATCTTTTTTAACAAAGTAACTATCCTCGGATACTTAATATAATATCTTATGCTACTATTTTAGTATTCTTATATAAAATAAAATTACTTTATTTTATTTTAAAAATTATTTTATATTTAAAATTATTTTTATAGCTTATCTATAACTATTATAATTTTAATATTTAATAAAGGATTAATTTACTATATAAAAATTAAAGTAATTAAATATTTTATAAATATCTAAGGCTACCTGATATTTTTTTATAAATATAAATAATGTAAGTAAATTTAATAAAATTAAATTTTTTTTTAAATTCTTATATTTATTATTTATATAAAAAAAATTAATTATAAGATTCTGTGCTACCCTAATAACAGATTTTATATTAATTTATATAAAGATTAGTTTTTTAGCTAATTTTTTTATTTTTTTTATTATTTAATATTATTATAGCCTTAATAAGGCAGAAGTATATTTATTTTATTTTTTTTTTAAAAAAAGATTTTTTTATTATTTTTATAAGTTTCTTTTTTTTTAAAATCTTAGCGGGAGTCCTATGGTATATAAATTAAATTAATATAAGACTAATTTTAAATATATATAAGCTTTTAAAAAACTAAAAAATATTATTAAGCTAACTAGCTATTATTTTTATAAAAAAAATAAAATTATTATTATTAAGTAGCTAATTTATAGAAATATTACTAAAATTAATAAAGTAACTTTTTTTCTAATTAAAGAGATTTTTTACTTATATAAGATCTTTTATAGTATATTAGAGATATTTACTGTGCTATTAAGGCTATTATTATTTAAGTTATTATTAAAGATTTTATTATTAATAAGGATCTGTTAGCCCATACTTTAAAGCTATTTTCAGATAATAAATTATTTTTTAAACTAAAAAGATTACTAGCTTTAATATACCATTATTTTATATAAAGGAATAAATAAAATACTAATTCTTTTATAAATTATAATTTTTATTAATATACCTAATTTTTTAGGGGAAGAGATATTTAAGTAAAAAAATAGATTTTATATATTTTTAATCTTATACTATAATAAAAATAACTAGGATATAAAGGTTTTAAAAAATATAAAATTTTCTTTTCAAATTTTATATTATTTTTATTCTATTTCTCTAAAGGTAGTTATCCTGTTATTTTTTTAATAAGGATTTAAGATATTTTAATATATTTTCTTTATTATTAAAAAATAATATTTTTAGCTTTATATAAGATGTCTGTCCAAAGGAGTATTATTAAGATCCTAGATAAAAAATCTCCTTAAATTAGTTATTATTTATTTTTTTAATTTTTTCTAGCCTCTCTTAAAAGTTAGGAATATTTTATATTATTATTTTATTTTATTCTGGAGTCTCTTAAAACCACACCTATTTTAGCCTAGTATTTTTAATATATAAAGGTGCTAGGGTTAAAATTACAGATAGTATATATTTAATTATATATTATTAAAGTATATAAGTACTATATAATTATAAAGTATTCTTACAAGCCTGTTCCTGTTTTTTTATAGGAAGAGATAAGTAAAATATAGGTTACCTATAGAAGTAAAGGCTTGTTAAAAATATATAAATAGTTTATTATAATTATAGAGTTTTTTAAGCATTATTATTAGAATATTAAAAATAAGATATTTTAAATATATTAGTTTTTAAATTATAATATATTTTATCTTATATAGCTATAGCAGGAAATAGTAGGTTTATTTTATTTTAATCTAATATAAAACAAGATAATGTCTATAATTAAAAATAATAAAATATTAGATAAAACCTAATAAAAATAAAAAGTTTTTTTTTTATATTAAATAAAAATAGGCTTTCAGGCTATTCCTTTTTATATCTTATTACTGATTTATAGTCTTTAATATATTATTAAAACTTTTAATTTTATAAGATAAAAAAATATATTATTATCCCGCAGGCGGACTACTAAAGATCTGCTTTTTATTAAAAAAATAAAAAATTTTATAAAAAAAATATTATTTTTATTTTTAAAAAGGGTAATAAAATTCTAAATTTTTATATATATCTAAAGTTTTTAAAATATTTACTAAATTATGTATAGGTTCTTATATATTTTTATAGTTAGGGAACCCAGACTATTTAATAAGATATTAAGTTTTTTTTTACTAGTTTTAATATGTAATAATTTTCTTCATTTCCTATTTTTTTTTAATTATTAATTTTAATAGATTCTTAGATTATAGATATTCCGCTGCCGGTCTATTAGATCTATAATTTTAAAAAAAATATAAAAAATTAAATAAATATGTTTTTATAATTTAAGCAGATATAATTAATAAACTTATTTTTTAATAGATTTTATAACTTTAAATAATCTAATATATTTATTATTTAATTTTTTAGATAGTCTTTATATTAATAAGTTTTTTTTATTAAGTAGAATCTTATTATTAACCTAGAATATCACTAGTTTATAATAATAATTATAGTATTTTTTTTGTAAGGATCCATATGGGATCCTCCCAAGGATGCTTAGTCAGAACGGGTGCTTAGTCATAGCCTAGTAAACATATGATAAAAACATGTTCTCGCCGGGGTTCCCCTGAATCCCAGCAACAACACCTTAAGCAGAATATACTATATATTTAATATCCCTAGCTAATTACTTTCACGCTGTCTTATCCTTAAGGCACTAAAGTATTTAATTTTATAACTTTATTATTTATACCTAATTAAGACGGCCTGTTAGTAAAATAACTAATAAAAAAGAAGAAACTCGCGGATAGAGTATTTAACCATTTATTAAGCTAATTTATAAAAAAAAGTTTTTACAGACTTAGGAAACCCCAGAACTAGCAGAACCTTATAAGACTATTAAAAAAAATTATTTAATAATAAACTAGAACTTTCGCGGGTAAAAAAACTACTAACCCTAGATATAAAAATTATTTATAAATAAATTATATTATTAAAGAAACTTCAGGAACTCCAGTATACTTTAATATTATTTTTTAGAAAATATACTTAGGCAGAGAGTTTAGAAAAAACTATTTTTTTTATAAAAAAAAGATCTGGTCTAAAAATCAAGTCTCCTAGTAAAAAAGAGTAATACTTAACACGTGATTATACTATCTACTAAATATTTATTACTAGACAAGAATTAACTATAAAGATAAATAGCTAGGATAATAAAAATAAGATAAAAATAATAATTATATACCTAGATTATATACTGAGCGATCTTTAGAGGAGTAATTTTTTAAATAGTTATTACTCGCGAGAATAAAGGGGTTTTTATAAATTTTTAGAGGACTAACTAAGTAATCTAAAAATTATAAATAAGATATCTAGTCTAAGATACTATATTTTAAGTCTCATAAGAATAAGAATAATTATACTTACTTCTAAAAATAAAAAAAGGCTAAGTTTAAGCTCGGGAATAAAACAAGAAAAATAAACTACTTATAATTTTATTTATTTTATAAAATATTTAATTAAGATTTTAAACAAAAGATTTATAAATAATCTAAATTCCCAAAATCAGAGCAAAAGTTAATCTTACTAATCTTATATTTATACTTTTTCATAAAAAGCTACCAACCGGAACCTAAAAAAAACCAGTAATTAAGTTTATAAGGCCCGAACCTAGGCTAAAATTATTTAGGACAAAGATCTTCGGGATTCGCGAGAAATAATCAGGCACAGAAAAACTTGCTTAAAACCTCGCGGGAAAAGTCACCTGATAAAAAAATAAATCCCGCGAAAAAGTAAGATAACCTATTATAGGTTAAATACTTTAACTATAACAAGCTGGGCTATAAAATATTTAATTATTAATTAAAAAAATTAATATAACTCCGAGGCCTCCTAGTAGGAAATATTAACTTATTATAAATAAGCAAGAAAAAGGGACCAGAGAAACTACTTCTTATAAAATTTTTATTAATAAAATTATAGAAATAGCTGGTACCCTAGGATTTTATAAAATAAAATAAAATAATACCTAAGTAGAAAAAAGGGGACTTATTAAAGATATTAATTAATATTAAAGCAGAGGCAAATCTAGTATTTTTTAATCTTATAAAAAAAATAAAATAAAAAAAATTATTTACCCAACTTAAGGCAGCTAGAATAAATAATTATAAAATTTTTTTATAAAAGATTATATAATTCTATTTAGAGCTAAAAAATTTATAAGATTATTATAAAATCTAAGTAAAACTTGTAATAATATTTTTTAATATATCAGAGATAACTTTAGGAATATTATAAATAACTTAAAAAAAATCTACTACCTACTTCTATAAATACTATCTAGAGTTTTCTCGCGAAAATCAGATCTGTATTACTTTAGTATCCGCGGAAAAATAGATAAAAAAATTTAAAAAAAATAAATCTAATTAACTAATTATAATCTATATTTAGCAAATTAATACAGCAGAACCAGAGAGATATAATATTCTAAAATAATTAAAAGATTTTATAAAAGTCTTTTTAGAAGATCTCGCGGAGGGCCTACCTCCGCACTATAAAAATATTAATTTAGAGATTTATCTTATAAAAGATTTTAAATTATAAACTAGTTTAATCTATAAAATATCCCCCGCAGAGAGTAAGATATTATAAAAATATTTTTAGAAAAATTTAAAACAGGAATAAATTCAGACTTTAAAATTATTTATCAGGGCGCTAATATTATTTATAATAAAAAAAAATAAAAATTTACGGGTATATATAGATTTTTAGGATATAAATAAAATATTCGCGAAAAATACTTATTTATTATTAAAAATTAATAAATATATTAATACACTGGCCGGAGTATTATAATTTATATAACTTAATTTTTATAATATTTATTATAAGATTTACATAATTATAAGCTATAAATAGAAAATAGCTTTCCGAATAAAATTTAGACTATTTAAGTATTTAATAATATTATTTAATTTAATAAATACACCTGCAATATTTCAGGGATTTATTAATAACCTATTTCGGGATTATCTTAATAATTTTATAATAATTTATTTAAATAATATTATAATTTACTTACAAAATCTAAAAAACTATAAAAAATAAATCCGCGAAATTTTCTAAATTTTACAAGAAGCAGGCCTGTATATAAAGCTTAATAAATATAAGTTTATAATAATAAAAATAAACTTCTTAAAATTTATTATTAACCGGGATAAGGTCTAAATAAAAATTTTATAAGTCTAAATAATTATAGATTAGCTGACACCAAAAAGTATTTATAATATTTAATAATTTATTAAATTCGCGAACTAGTATCAGAGATTTATCTAGTAATTTTTAGGTTTAGTTATAACTTTAACTAAAATAATTAAGAGACTCCTAGAGGGGAAGGAGAGAAAATCTAGCCTAGATTTTTTAATTATAAATATAAAAGAAAGCTTTAGAAATCTAAAGAAAATTTTTATAAATATAATAATTATATATTACTTTTATAAGGATTTGCCCTTATAAATAAAAATAAATATATTCATTTATATAATTAATATAATTTTTTTATAGCTAAGTAAGGACAGTTAATAAAAATTAATTATTTTTTTTTCTTATAAAATAATTCCTGTAGAGCAGAATTACAGGATTTATATTTAAAAATTACTTGTAATAATAAAAAGCTTTAAAAAATAGAGACACTACCTGGAGAGAGCGAAGTATCCTATTAAAATCTTTATAAACTATAACATACTATATTATTTTGCCACGAAAGAACTATTATAAAAGCAGGTATAATAGATATAAAAGCTCGTGAGTTTTTTTTTTATTCTAAAATATTATCCGGGAAAAAAGAATCTAATAAATATATTCTTACAAAGACCTGATTATAAAAAATCTGCCTAGTAAAAAAATATATAGGAGCTTAGTACTAAAACTTCCTAATAGCTTATAAATCTTCTAGGTCTAGGGATAGAGCAGACAGTTATAAGAAAAATCCTTATAAAAAAAACTATTATAGCTAACTAGGCTGAGGCACGAGTACAGGCTATAAAAGCTATTTATAAGAAAAGATTTTATTAAAAAAATCCTTTAAAAGAATTATTAGAGAAAATTCCCTAGTTATTTTAGGTAAATATTTTTACGCAAAGGATCTACTAAAGACTTATAAAGTCTAAAAAGTTTATCTATTATAAAAGTAAAAAAAAATAAACTAATAAAATAAAAATCTTGTAAAAATTAGTTATACCAGGAGAATAAGCTTTATATTCCGGATAATTTAAAGTTAAGGCTAGTTATTCTAGTAAAATTTTATAATAATTTATTTACTAGGTATTTTATTTCGCGAAAAATTAATAAATTAGTCTCGCGGAGGTTTTACTGGCTGTAAATAGTAATATTTATTAAAAAATATTATATAGCTTATAAAGAATATTAAAGAGACCGGAAGATTTATAAAAAATAATATAAACTATTAAAATTATTACTAGTCCCCGGGAAGGTCTAAAAATAAATAATAATAGATTTTATTACAGACCTTCCCGCGAGCCTATTTATAATAAGTAATTCGCGAGTCTTTTTTAATTATATATTAGTAGTTATAAAGTAATTTACTAAAATAACATACTTTATTCCCGCGAAGAAGATAATTCGCGGGAAAGAATTAATACAAGTATTAACTTATAAGATCTTTAGACTTTATAGTATGCCCGCGAAAATAATTATTAATTATAAATTAGTATTTATAAAGGGCTTCTGGTCTAAATTTATATACTATTTATAAATTAAACAGAGATTAAATACCGCGTATTATCCTTAAATAGATAACCAGATAGAGCAGTTAAACAGTATATTAAAGTAATACTTATAAGTGTATATTAACTTTAATTAAAATAATTAGGTTGATTACTTTCCCCTCGTAGAATTTATATATAATAATATTTAACAAAGCTTAACCCAGGTGTTATTCTTTTATATATTAATTAGGAAATATTCTAAAATAATTATTTTAAACTCGCGAGAAAGTCCAGAGGTAAGAAAATTAATATAAAAATAAGTCTCGCGAATCAAGAGAGTTCGCGAGGTAACTAGAAAATTATTAAAATATACTTGTAAGTACCAGGCCCAGTATTATAACTAAAAGAAGTAAATAAAAATATTTACTAAAGATTAATTAGTTTAATTATCCTTAAAAAATTAGTAGAGCCTATAGCTAAATAAGAAGCTTAATTAACTGAGTATAAGGCTATTATATATAATAAAAAAAATTAAAAAGTAAATCTACTAATTAGAACTTCCCATAAGGATCAGGATATATAATATATTTTATATATTTTTACTATATAAATATTAGAAAATACCAGGAGTAAGATCCACAGAGTAATTTTTTATAATTTATTAGGATAAAAAACCCCAGGAGTATTATATAAAAGGGCTTTAAACAAAAAAAACCCAAAATAAAATAAAGGAATTCTTAGTTTAATAAAAGAGATATCCTCACGAGGAGGATATAATCTAGAAATCTATAATAAATTTATATTATTTAGACTTATATAAGCAGTTTATAAATAAAGAAAAACTATTCTTATATTAAAAAATAAAAAAAACCCTTCTCTAAAAGAAAAATAACAGAAATCCTAATAATACAGGTTTATTTTATTAGTATTAAAGCTTTAACTGTCTTGTGTGTCTAGGAAGCAGAATATTACTAGAGATATAATAATATATTATAATAAAATAATTATTATCTGATAACACCTATCTACTCGTGAATAAGCAGGTAACACCGCGGTATAGATAGTTATTATATTTTTATTTAATCCTGCCAGAAATATAAGGACCCTAAAATATAATATCCCAGAAGAGACTATATTATCTATAATTATACTTAACAGGGGGCTACGCCCCAGCACAAGTTATAAAATAACTCTCGCGGTATTAGGTATATAAGGTAAGCCAGATAAATAAAGCTTTTTCCTAGTACAAGAGAAGTTTCCGTACCAGCTATTAAATCTACTACTATTTACAAATAATCAGGTTTTCCAGGCCTAACCAGGGAGGAAGACTAAAAATAAAAATAAATACTTATAAAAGATATAATCTTTATATAAGTAGTTTAACTATACAGGCTATATTTTATATAATATAGTCTACTAGCAGTATCAGGGCTTTATCCCAAGTCTTCTTGCTAACTGGGCCTTAGAGAGATGCGGGTCTAATTATATAAAATTAATAAGAAAGTTAAATTATAAGTGGTCTGACTAGATTAGTTAGCTAAACTAGTTAATTTAGATTAAGAGTAATTTAACAGGGCGGCAGGCAGTAAATAATTATTAAGTGTCAATTGGGGTCACCTGATATCACCTGATTCATCAGAATCACCTGATTTAGCCCCACAACCGAAATTATTCAAAATTCACTACAACTTTACTTTCACTTTATTGAACTCTCACTTCCACCACCAAATTGTATGGGAAAAGTGAGGTGAAACTGAGCTTAATATAAGCAGAAAATAAAAAAAAAAAATTTCTAAAGAATTTCCTATTTTAGACTAGCTTATCTTCCTCTTTAAGAAATCACCGGTCGCTAGAATCCTATAGAAGTCAGAAAACATAAGTCGATAAATTTCCTATTTAGGAAATTAAAAGTTTATTTCAACCACTGCAGTCAATGGCTTTGTTCAGATAATCAATACAAAGGGTCCAGAATGTCTCGCCTATTCATTTTATAAGCCATAAAGTGAATATTGCTACCCTAGTTATTCTGATATTATTTAAATAATTTCATTATGATTTATGTGTTAAATCTTGATTGTTCTAATTATTCTGAATATAAAATCTTGATTATTTGATCATCTAAATTAATCTAATGATGATCTATGAGGTTGATTTTAAAGGCCTAGATTAATAATATGACTTACAGGTAAAGGCCTAAAAGGATCTGATGATTTCATGTTTGTAATGTTTGCTTAGGGCCAGATTGAATTAGCCCTGATTTAATTATTTATAAATATGCAGTCAATGACCTGTATTAATTTATTCTTTTTATCAAATTAATTTACCCACTTAATTCATTTAATTGAATTTCATTCATTTATTCAATCAATTTCACCTATCTACATGCATAGCGAATGGTAGGACCTCTGGTCTATCTATTTCAGATCTAGGTGGTCCAAGTGAACTATTTACTTCATCTGACTGATCGATTTCCTTTATTCTATCTAGCCATTTGAAATTTCTATTCAACCCACGTGACCTACCTACCCCATCTGACAGTTATGAGCCCGGTCTAGCCCTTTATTCCTACTATTTATGCATACACGTGAATTAATCATTTACCTGTTTGATTAAATTCACATACATTTAATCAAATTCACACCTACACCTGAATTAATCATTTATTTGTTTGATTAAATTCAACCCACACGTGAATTAATCATTTGATTACTCACTACTGCAGTGAACTATTTACTATTTATATTAATTTAATTTATTTAACCTATATACTCACTTCAAGTGTTTTATTTCACCTATCTGAAGTGTTTGATTGATTTAAATTATTTTATTAATTTATTAATTAAATTTATACACACGCGAATTAATTAATTACTTGTTTATTTACTATTGCAGTGAATTATTTACCTGTCTGATTCAATTAACTCCTATCCACCTAGTTCATTTTCACTTTACCTTTAATTTATTGAACTCTCACTTCTACTACCAATTTATATAAGGAAAGTGAGGTAAAAATCAGGTAAAAATAAGGTGAAACTCAGGTCAATACTAACTTGAATTATCCTGATTATTTAAGCTTATCACTATAGATACGAAGCTTAATTTTCAATTAAACTAGTCACATAACTAGATACACTGGTTCAACACAATCAAAACGATTACTAAAAGCAAATATATTTAGGAATTTATTAATCCTAGTCACATAACTATGCCTGATCAACCTGTACGGCCTAGTTACCCAGAATTATGTGACCTCGATGGAAATACTAGATTAATTATTAATCTAACCTAAAACAATCGAGCGCTTTATCGAGACCTTTTATATGATTATAAATTAGCGCTTCGAGAATACTACCATATGGATGAGGGCTTAGCCCTAATTCTACTCCTAATTAAAAACTTAATATTATTAGTTAATAGGGTTTTAGTATCTAACAAAGAAACCCTATATCACGTGCTGCGGATCCTTTAAATAAAACTAGCTCCTACTAATGAATCAAGAAAACGCGATATTATTAAGCAATATTATATACTTAAAAATCTGCAGAATAAATATTTAATTAATTTATACATTTCACTATGGGAAAATGTTTATACTAAAGCGAAATCGCTTGAAATAAGTGAAGTAAATAATCCACACCGAGTTTAATATGACTTTATTAAAGCTATTTATAGGTCTTATTTAATATTTGCAAATTATTAGAGCGAAAAATTAAATAATAAAATTGAATTATGTAATAAAATACCGTCATTTTTTGATATAACTAAGTGATTTAGAGATCACGTGAAGATGTTTCTAATATTTAAATGTTTAAATCAACCGAGCCGAATCGCTCAGGCAACCTTTAAAGGAGATACCTTGGAAAATACCCTAAGCCCTAGGTTTAACCCTAGAACTCCTAAAAAGGAACGAAACTGCCCCTGTTAATCAGACCCTAATAAAGGCTATTATAAATTTAACTAGTGTTTCTATATTAATGATTTATTGAAGAAACCAGAAAATTGGTCACATGATCCTAAGACTATTTAATAATTTAATAGAGCCTTTAGGAACCCTAAATTTCACGTAGCACTTAAAGCCACGAAAAATCGCTTGAAATTAATAAATCAAATAATAAATTAAAATAATAAATTTTTAACTAATTTAATTATAATAGCTTTAAATTCAATAGGACTAATTAAAAAACACACTAGTCCTAATTAGGTATTTGATACTGTGGCAGATACCCATATCTGCAATAATTAATCCCTATTCAGTGATTATTATGAATTATCTACATCAATCTCTATAAGGAATACGCGGACATTAATTAAAGGTTTCAGAACAGTTAATTTAAAATCTTTAAACCCTTATAAAGATAAAACAACATTTGAATTACATCATTATGTCTATGTTCCATAATTTTATATTAATGTTTTATCTGCCTCTAAGGCAAGGTAATCAGGTATTTATCTTAATTCTAGGGCTATGTGCCTAGAAAGCCCTAATTACCGCCCGATTTGTGAAGTCCTCGAAATTGCAGGCATTCATTTGATTAAATAGAGTATTAATGATTATATCTAATAGTTACCTGAATTAACTCCTGAAGATGATCATATTTATTATTTGAATTTATTACAGAATTCACTATTAAATACTAAAGTGAATAAATTAGAGGCTTATTTAGCAAGAAATTCAAATAAACTAGTTATCTTCCATAGAACAGCTGAACTATGGTATTTAAGATTAGGGCACCCGAGCTCTGAAGTCCTAAAATACCTTGATTTAGTAGTTAATAGAGTGAAAATTAATAATAAATCAACTAAAACTGAAGATTATTACCTGATTTGTCGATTATTAATTTTAAAATGTTAAATTTCTCGAATTCCGATTTAATTAGGGACTAAACCATTCGAAACTATTTATTAGGACCTTATTCATTTGAATCAGGGAATCTACTAAAAATGATATATTAGCCATATATATTGCCCCTATTTAAAATTCCATATGGTTAAGGTAATTTCATTGAAAGATCACGTGAGTAATTTAATTATTGAAATGATTTAATTC